TCTCTCTTGTACGATTACATCTTTGTACATATTTAGTAAAGTTGGAGGTAGCAGTAACAAACCGCATTTAGACATTCGCCGATCATTTTGTTTTAGCTCAGAATAAAGTAAAATTACAATACTACATATAATTCCATAAGCTTGTGTAATGCCCCTTGAAGATTTTGACATTTAATGACAATTCGTTTATACATATTCTTCTTCTTCTTCTACCTGGCAATTTCCCAGCTATAGCCAGGGTCTGCCTTACATGTTGTGAATAGTTTTGACTATTTGTTTTTACGACCGGCCGCCTGCCTGACATCAACCCTCTTTTGGAATCAACATTAATCAGTGATGTCTTAATAGTCTTAGAAAGTACATATGACTCGGAAAAATCACATTGGTACTTGCCTGGGCCAGGATCGAACCCGCGCCCTCGGCTACGAGAGGCGGGCCCTTTAACCACTAGGCCACCACTGACTTTTATTCGTATATACATATTATCGATAGCAAATTTTTGCCCGCCCCCTTCAATTTTACAATTTTAGGCTTTGTAACGTTTTTTAAACTTGGTGAAAAATATCGCGCCCTATATATTATAATCAAGATATACCGTGGTCCATGTAGTAATATTTAATGAAAATTAAAATTATTAAAAAACAATATTCTCCTTAGACTTTAGACAGGTTTTTGAAATAGTCAATTATTTTTTGTTATTGAAAAAAATATAATACCTATAATTGTTAATATTTTTTATCCTATGATCTTTTTTTTTTGTAAACTTCATTTGCTAAGGACGTTGTAATTCTCATATTCCTTTGTTGTAATTTTAAATTCTCATTATTTTCACCTAACTTGGTTCTGGGCTTGTAGGGCGTCAATTTTAAATCCTGTCATGACTAGAATTTCAGCCAGATCAGCGGATAAGACATCAACTACATGATTGGAAGCTCTCCGTATTGAGAGTAAAAATGAGTTTATTAAAATGTTCAGAATGTCACTGTTAATACATAATAGAGAGTAGTGTTGATCCATTCTTGACCGATAATAAATTCTTTAGTTCCTTAAAACTCCATGTCATTATATGCAATATACTTCAAAATTCTCCTCAATACAATATTTCAATCACAAATTTGTTAATTTTCCCATAAAAACCATTACAGTATTAAAACTTCAAAAGCAAGTACAACTTTGCTCCTGGTATTATTTAATGTAATAAATGTTGATTGTTTTTTTTTAGTTATTCATATTTGTATTCTATCTAAGTTTTTGATGACTGTATGATAGCTGATGACATGTAAATAAAGTATTAAAATTTGTGCACAAACTTGTGTTGCTATTATTGATTCATTTCGAAGGGTTTTCATATAATATGATTTAAAATTAACGTCAAAAGTATTGGTATATTAAAGCACATAGTTATTGAGACTTTTTATTCCGTTTTTTTAATACATCGCCTAGCCCACATATAAATATTTTCCTTACCAGATTTCGTTTCAAAATGGTCATTTTACAAAAACTTTCTCAATGTATTAAAATAATTTAACAAACAATTTTTGTACAAAAATTATATTAGGTTTAGTTTCGTGCTATTTCTTTTATAAAAACAAGGAAACGAAGCAAATAGTTTTCTTAATGACTCGTTAGTATTTACAAAACAGTGATAACTTCATGCAAAATCCGTAAAATGAATATATGTATATCTTTATAAATAAAAGAAAGTTGTGTTAGTTACAATATCTATAACTAGAGAACAGCTGTAGCGCTATGATTGAAAAATTTTGGAGACATAGCTTAGACACTTTTCATCCGATCGAAAAAGAAAAAAATTTTTGTTTAAATTAAATTTTCTTATTTACTGTCTTTAAGGCGGAATAGGGTTCGCCCGGTCAACTATACATTTCTTATTCTAAAACTAACGCAGACGAAGTCGTAGGCAACAACTAGTTTAATATATAAATTATTTCTACTTTTTATGTAATACTTTTATCTGACATATCTAAATTTTTATAATGTTCTCAACAGCGATTGCTATCAAATTGAAATGAACATATGTATATAAATGTATAAATAATGTTCAAAAACGATTAAATCATTTTTGATCATGATGTTAACAATAAAGAAATTTCATTAAACAAAATTTTAAGTTGTTTTGTAGATATCGTTACAGATATGTTGTCGCCATGCATTGGCTGAAATCAACTAAGAAATTATTTTGGTGTGTATAGAGTTACTTGAGTCTTCCACCTGGCAATTTCCCAGCTATAGCCAGGGTCTGCCTTACATATTTGTGAATAGTTTTGGCTATTTGTTTTTACGATCGGCCGTTTGCCTGACATCAACCCTCTTTTTGGGAATCAACATTAATCAGTGATGTCTAAATACTCTTAGAAGTACATATGACTCGGAAAAATCACATTGGTACTTGCCCGGGCTAGGACCTTTAACCACTAGGCCACCACTGACTTTAAGAGTTACTTGAATATTTCATTTTAAATTTTATCTTTAGTTCTATCGAAGCGTTGTCGTGGTGACAGAGGATCTTGCTTTGAGGGCGATCCTTTCGATTTTTTTCTAAAACAACAGGCCATCAGCGATTAACATACCTGTCTGTAGCAACTGACCTTCCATATTGAAGCACAACTATCGCAAAATGACCTTTGCGACCAGAGAAAGAGTCGATCATTTTTTTTCCTTAACTTCTTTCTTTCTTTCTTTATCTTAGTTGGCTGATCCTCGAAAGGGAATACCAAACTAGCGAATTGTCTTTCGGTTTCGGTTCCGTAGCAATATATCCTGCTTTCAACACCTCTGACGAAGTAAAATACAGTATTAGAGTCACCACTATTGGACTTATCTAACACTAGATTTGCCCGTGACTTCGTTCGCGTTAATTTCGCCATTAGTTATATATAAAAGAAAGCCCACAAATGAGGCAATACAAAACAACAGAAATGTTATAAGAATTACGTTAACATGAATAGTTTGGCAGTATTTAACAAATTAACTACAGAAAGAAACTGTTGTCTATAAATATTGTCTATCATAACTCTTTTTTTTTATCGAAAGGAATGCATATTGGCTGTCGACCGTGCCTACATAGACCGGTAAAAGGTACATAGCGATAATATCGTTTTGGCTAGGAGTTGAGTTCTCGAGTAAGTAAATATGGTTTTTCGCTTATATAAGGAAAAGTCGAACATTTTCCGGGATTTTAAGTAGCTTATATGTTATTTCTGGACGTCAGCTTCCTGTATACAAAATTTTATAAAAATCGATTCAGCCGTTTCAGCGTGAAGAAGTAACAAACATACACACACACTCACAAACTTTCGCAATTATAATATTAGTAGGATTTAGCGACACCAGTCCATTCAAAAGTAATTTTCTGGTTTTCGCTTAAAGTATAGGGAATCCCTCTGTTACAAAGCTTCCTGACGCCTTAATGTTTGTGTAATATCTTTTGAACTTGACTCATATCAGTGCCTAACCTTGCCCATATCTGCTGATGGATTACTCTTTTATCTTTCTCTACCAAGAATCGCACTGTTGTTATCTTCAGTAGGTGCTGTTAACGGACGTCCCAAAACGGATCATCAATGAAATTGTTACTTCAATGAGGAAACTCGTCAAACTATTTGTAAATTGTGGCACGAGTTGGGTTTCATTAAGAAATGCTTATCGTAGTCTATTATATCTTTGTTGTTGAATAAGCCAACAACGAAGGTCATTATAAACAATTTATAGAAAATTTACTCGGGTAATTTTTATTTTCATATGTAACAACAGTTTTAGAATTGTCGCCAATTAACAAAAACAAATGGCAAATGAATGCAGTATACAACATAAGGTTACCAAAGAATTCTATAATTTAAAATCAAAAAGTTTTCAATAGCAATGTTGCTAACTAACCAGTTCTTAACATTTTCAATATTTACAAAGACACTACTATTAAAATGAGTTGGGTGGTGATTGAATATTCGTTAGGTGTCAGTCAAGATAGCGGTTATATAAAAATATGAATAATAATTAATCTAATTAACACTTTTAATTAATATTCAAAATACCTTGATAAAGTTTTAATAAATAATAAAAAAGCTTTTATAATAGTTATTCTTAATAACGAATTAGCGGTTGGAAACACAAAATAAAAACAATTAAATAAAACAATAAAACGAAATAAAACAAGAAAAATATATTTTAAAAGCACATCAATACCTCCCAAGTATACAATAAGCTTTAAAAAGTAGGTACATTAATTGATTGTAATAAGAGGCAGTAAAAATTTTAAAATCAGCATTTAAAATGACTGAGAACTCTTAAAGTTTTAAGAGGATTATAATACTAAATCATTTGATATCAACGAAAACAAAAACAAAAAAAATCATATTTTAAAATTGTATAAATTTATTAAAATTATTGTAATACTTTGAGGTATAATAAATAATCAAGTCGTCTGGCGTGTCTTCTAGGATCTTAAAAATTGATTTCTACTCATGGCATCTTCGTTGAAAGACTTGGCACAACCAGCGTTGTTAGGCCAATCACAGACCTAGAAAAATAAATTTTGTATCAAATATTGTAACAAGCCTGAATTAGATAACTGCATGTAAAATTTTAAAGTGTCATAATTAAAACTTTAGTAGAAACCTGGCCAGTCAAAAAGCCAGAAAAAACTACTATGTCTTTTTCTTAATTTTGGGTACTACAAATATATATAATTTTGACATTAACAAGCATTGGTAGTAGTAGCCTACTGTCAATATGATGTTCCTTATAATGTAATAAACTTGAATACAATATCTTTTGATAAGAATATGAGTTCATCCAAAAACAGGTGTGATATTGCTGACATAATTAACAATAGAGTATCAATTGAACACGAATATTATTTCATATCTCTTACCTGTAGAACTCTATTGAAGTGTAGTGTTGCAGGACATTGTCTTAGCACTAATTTTCCCCACACACAGTAGTAGAACAAATGACACTCCGATTCATGAGGTAACAGCCAATGTATGTGTGGATTTACTGGGCAACCGTTATCCAAAAAATCTGGTTTAGTTGTCGGTGCTACTGTTGTTGGTGATGTCGGTACAGGTGTGGTTGTAGTAGTTGTAGGAGCACGTGTGGTTGTGGTTGTCGTAGTTCTTGGTCTGCACCTGCGAGTCGTGGTGATTATAGAAGTTGTGGGTGCTGGTGTGGTTGTGGTTGTAGTAGTTGTGGGAACAGGTGTTGTTGTGGTTGTCGTTGTGGGTGCTAGTGTAGTTGTGGTTGTCGTAGTTCTTGGTCTGCACCTGCGAGTCGTTGTGGTTATAGTAGTTGTGGGAACAGGTGTAGTCGTGGTTGTCGTTGTGGGTGCTGGTGTGGTTGTGGTTGTCGTAGTTCTTGGTCTGCACCTGCGAGTCGTTGTGGTTATAGTAGTTGTGGGTGCTGGTGTGGTTGTGGTTGTAGTAGTTGTGGGTGCTGGTGTGGTTGTGGTTGTAGTAGTTGTGGGTGCTGGTGTAGTTGTGGTTGTCGTAGTTCTAGGTCTGCACCTGCGAGTCGTTGTGGTTATAGTAGTTGTGGGCGCAGGTGTCGTTGTGGTTGTAGTAGTTGTGGGCGCAGGTGTTGTTGTGGTTGTTGTAGTTGTGGGCACAGGTGTGGTTGTTGTTGTCGTGGTTGTGGGCGCTGGTGTCGTAGTTGTTGTGGTCGTGGTCGTAGGTGCCGGCGTGGTGGTAGTTGTAGTGGTTGTTGTTGGTGCAGGAGTTGAAGGTGTTGTGGGCGATGGTGTAGTGGGTATAGGAGACGTGGTTTTCGGTGGAGGAAGAGTAGGTTCGTTCCTGCCTGTACAGTCTACACTAGCTGGCCAATCACACTGCCATGTGTCGAGGTTGAACCAGAGACCAGCTGGGCAGGACATTTCTACTGGTTTCCCGTGGGTACACTTGTAAAACTTTTCACAATCATCATGACGCAACAACTTCTCAATAGACCAGTCCTGTTCTTGTTCCGATGGACACTCAGTTTCGTATATTTTGTCAGCTGTTGCTGCAGTCAGCAACAGAAGTGTTATGAGGGCTGAAAATTTAATATAATTCAGATAAAATGAATAGTAAAAAAAAATAATAATACAATTTATAGAAATCTATATCTGTGGTCGTTGTTAGTTGTAAGAGTTTAACTTACCTTGCATGTTTAAATTTTATGAGCCAATACCTAAATTTCACTTTGCAAGTATTATATATATGCGACCTGTTTAATCAAAAGCACAATCGTTAATTGTCTACTATGCTTGCTAATTACAAAATCATTTCTTTATATCTGTTTTGATCTTTATCTTTGTTTATCTCTGACGTATTTTGACGCTAAATATATTAATTCACTAATTAATTTAAGAACATTTTTAATTCAATATTTTATTGACAGAACATATTTTCATGAATTCCAGATAATTTACTTATTCATTATTTTTCTTAAAGCCTATATCGTTGTCGTACTTTTCTTATTTAATAATAGTTATTACTATTATTAAATATGTTTAAATAAAAAAATGTTTATTTATCCCAAACAAATATTTCAGGTTTATTTGATTCATCAGTGTTCAAATCATTAAAAAACACCTTATTCATGTAAAAATTTGAAAAATATGTTATAAGCGTGTCCACACTTTAAGAATAATGAAAATATTTGTGTGTTTATCTTATAAATATCCAATTATTAATTTTATACGACAATTATATTATATCCATTGAATTTTGCCATCTTGGTAGTAAAAAAAAAACTCAATAAAACTAATAAAAACCCAAAATCTTTCTACTTTATATTCTTAACTCTATTTTAAAGACATTCTTACATTCTGAAATTCATTGCAGATTACAAGAATGGGCTAAAGAAATATCTGATGTCCTATACATAAACGAAGAAGAAGTCGTGCATAGAGACATTTTGTTACAAGGATTCTCGGATATACAAATTAAAACAAGGAACGGCACGTCCATTGCAGAACAGGCAGCTAAAGCTCTAGAAGAACTTCTAGATCGAAGAGGCAAAGCCGCAGAGGCTATCATGAGGAAGGCGGAGCAGCTAGCGACCGACAGCTCTGACCCACCTATAGACTATTACTATGATAACAGTGTAGTAAGTAGCAGTAGTCATCATCTATGATCTATATATATAAAAATGAATTGCTGTTCTTTAGTCTCACTAAAACTCGAGAACGGCTGAACGGATTTATCTTATTTTAGTCTTGAAATGTTCGTGGAGGTTCAGGGAAGGTAAAAAAGCTTAAAAAAATTGATTCATTTCCGGGAAAACCCTAAAAACAGCCCTTTTCTATTTCCCACAAAAAACTTTTTTTTACATTAGATTTGACAACTAATTAATATGTCAATCTTTCTGTCGCACTTTAAAACAAGGAGATTTATAGCTTACAGGTAAACTCCAAAAATATTAATAAAAAAACGTAAAAGATATATCTTGATTATAGAGCCATACGAAATTCGCCGGGTCTTCTAGTCAAAAATAAAATATAACTAGTTGCTTTACAAAATTTCATACGTTTAATATTTTTTTTGTAGGACATAAACGTCCTTAAGAAAGTACAGAAACCCGAAAACGAATGGGAACTAGTTTTAAACTGCAGCAGTCTGAATAAAGTAGAGGTTTACAATAGCGCACACTTTGACGCTCAAGTTTCTTTAGAACATTCGAGCGTACATGTTGCTGTCGAGGTTTTTGAATGTGGTAAGAAACAATATGTATTCTGAAACCTAGTAAAACGTTACATGATTGTTACAACTTTTTACATGTAGATAGCAGAGTTTTGTTAGGAAGTTCTTAAAGTAATACTCAAGAGCATTTCAATTTGTAGTTTATTATTATTTCAGATCCCAGAGTACTGCCTGACATTTATTGGTCGGAAGGGCTGTTTGAAACATTTCGAGAAAATTACGCCCAAGACGCCACACTCGACATGCAGTATATGTGTAGTGCAAAAGGATTTTTGAGACACTATCCTGGTGTGTGCATGACATTATCTTGTGATTGGAGTTTATCGATCATCAATTATTAAAAACATACTCGTATTTGTTTGATAGTTGATTATGACTGATTAATTATCACTAACATCATTTTTTTATGTTTAAATAAAACTCGTATTGTAATTACATAAATGAATGAGGAGGAAATAAATGAAATGATTGATATTCCTCTTATATTTCAGCTGCACTGTGGGATAGCATGTACAAATTGAAGATTGAAGATGGGGAAGCGTTGTACGACTGTAGATTGCGACCGTGGTACGTTAGTGCGAGTGGAGCTCCCAGAGATATTCTTATTCTACTCGATTCCTCTGGGTCTATGAGTAACTCATCCAACCTTCTGATAGCGGAACAGTTAACTCTGGCTCTCCTCAGCGCCCTCACTGATGACGATCAAGTCAACGTTCTCCGCTTTAATGAAATCGTAGAATCTCCCATTCCCTGCTTTAATGGAAAACTTGTGCCCGTAAGCTTTATATTATATGCTATTATCGAAAACATGCTAGTATAAAAGATAAAAGGTATTCTATCATATAAAATAAAAAAAATGTCTTCGTTAGCGAACAAGTTTTTTATATTAATAATCATATTTGATTAAAAATTATCACATACATAATCTTATTTCTGGTTTTGTTTTTATCAATGGGATAGCATGTCACGTTAATATTTCATAAAAAATATAATATTTTATGAAATCCCGGATAAAAACTTCTCGTATCTTTATGATTTATTACGCCATTCACTGAATTTCTTAGATTATAGTAGTTTCAGACTCCCTAACAAAGGTTTTATGACAGGCCAACCATGTGAACTCAGCGGCAATGATGGATGCTATGCAATATCAAAACACCACCTGCGAGACCTGGATGGATCATGTACTGGAATACTCCGTTAATTTGCTCAAAGAACGTAGAAAAGCCACTGACAGACCGCCTTCCTGTCAACAGGCCATTGTCTTGATAACAGACAGTCTCTACGCAAATTACACCGACTTAATGAACGAACTAGACCCTGATGGAAGCATCAGGTCTGTTAAATTTATGAAACTAGCAAAACAACTACTATTAATAACTAGGAAATTCATCTGTTTTGTTAGTCAAAAATAAGGAAACCAAGTAATTATTTAATTTATGACCCAAAAATTTTGCAAAATCGATCGACATGTGTATCGTTAATTCTTTTTAGGTAGCGAATGTTCCTCATATTAGGTACATATGTAATAGTAATATTAACAATAAAATACATATGCATATTTCTTTTAAAATTAAATCTACTGAATCAAAAAAAAAAACATATATTATTATTACATGACGTAATTTATATTTATATATATTCATTACATGACGTAATTTATATTTATAATAATTTATTCATATACTTATGACATTGTATGGAGTGTTTGTACCTTGTAATGGTCTGCATAAGTGGAGATCTTAATAGGACGACAAGATAAACGATCGTCGATCGATAATAAAAGTTCCCCTTTATACAAAATGTAATAATATTACGTTACCCCAAAATAATTTTTAATGATTTCATGAGGCTCATTTAATAAAATGTTCTACAGGGTGTTTGTTCTATGGCTACACGACCCCAATGGGGTGAGAGATAGTACTCATTTCTATGGAGAATCGGTGAGTTGTTCTCGTGATGGATTCTTTGCGGAATTGATCACACATGCTGACGTGACGGAGAGAGTCATGAATATATTAAGAGTACTAGAACGACCCCTGGTAGCTCAGAGGAAACATCGTTTGCGAGTCTACAGTGACGTATACGCTAATGTAGAGGTAATTTTATAATGGAATGAATACAAATAAAGAAAATTTTCATCGTTTCAGCCTTAAAATTGAGAGATTATAATCCATGTACCATGATATAAGATCATTAAAAATTTTGTTCAACTAGTGTTTGTTTTGCTATAGTTCTCGTAAAAAATGATGATTGGTCTTTAGAATAATATTCATTCTCTCTTGTCTTATTACTACAAATTTACTTATTAATAACTAAAATACCCATCGCTCTCCAAAATTTTTTGCTTGATTGACTAATAAAATAAGCTATTTAAGATTTATTCATTATCTTACTTGCCACATGGACTCTTTACAATAGGACCCAAGACGCGGCGAATATTACTGGCAGCAAAAGGAGAACGCCGAACAAATGTATCGCTACACGCAACTGAGACGAAATAAAGACAAGTTTCTCACAAGCGATCGTCTTTACAGCGACTACATGCATATGCATAAATTGGTAAATAAAAGGAACTGCATGCTCTAATTTTAATAAAAATGAATAAAAAATCTGGTAGAATCTATAATTGTTATAAATCATTCAAATTAAATTGCATTAAAATGAAGTTCAAATATAGAAAATATTCCAAATTCTTCCAAAAAAAATCCATCATTTTAATAAATATATAATATGTGAAATAAAATCATACATTTACGAGTATTTACACTGATATTGCAAGCGTATATTTAGATACAATCTAATACAAATTGCCAGCATAGAATAAATCGTAAGTAATATATTTAACAATAATATAAAATATCCTAATTTTTTAACTATTTAAGGAAAAGTTTGGTCAATACTACGAAGGCCAGGATATTAACTACCGACTTCAAGTAACGGTCTCTGTTCCCGTGTTTGACAGCACTACATCTGAAGTAAGTCAATATTGTCACATTATAAATCGAATATACCTACATATATTAAATGTTTGTATTGAAAGCCAATTTAGTAATTATTATTAAAGTAAATATATCCTTCTATTTCAGAACATTACAATCGTCTTGGAGGAGGTCGGTACAATCATAATACTTCATTTTAATTTTATTCCACTTATAAGTCTTTCAATTCTAATTGTTTTGATAAGCATGTTAAACTAAGTAACGTTTTTGTATTAAAAAACCCTTATATCATACAATTACCTTTAAAACAACTAAGAGCCTTACCGACTTTGATCATTAGATCGATTGATTTCAAATCATATCTAATAACTGCCATGATCATATTGATTAAATATCTTATCTGATTTTCATTCAAGGAAAAACAAAGGAATTCTACAAGAACGGTAAGTAGTATTAACTGTTTGATTATATTTAATAGATATCTGTATCTATAGTGTTTAAGCCGTTGCTTTTTTATAAAGAATTAGATTTGAGAATATATTTTATTATAATTTCATTCATACATCGAAAAAAATACGAGAAGAAGAAAAAAACGGATAAGTAGAAAAACAATAAAATGTTCTCAATAAATTTATTACAATACAATTGTACTTGAATTAATAAAACCTATTTTGAACAAATCTACTCTTTTTGCTTCTTATGCTAGTATAAACTTCGTCATCGGTCTATCAGAGCCCACTGCTGAGCAAAGGCATCTTGTCACATGGAGATGTTTTGAACATTAATTACCACGCATGCTCAAGGCCGGTTGGTGACTTCAAACTTATAATTGTGAAATTATAAGTCAAGGTTTCCTCACGTTGTTTTCCTTTACCATCTGTCAGTGGTGTCTAAAAACTCTTAACCAGGGTCGAACCCGCAACCTCGTGCACGAGAGGCGGGCCTTTAATCACTAGGCCACCATTGACTTTTTATAAACTAAGTTGTATCAAAATCAGAAACTAAGATTCCTTCTAAATAAAGTTGTAGAATTTAAAACTGAATAATTTCGTTTACCATGAAATATTACAAAACTTATATTTTTTTAAATTGGAAGGCATAAGGATACTATTATTGTGTTAAAAAAAAGATATTTTTTCTTAACTCTAACAATTGATATGTTTAGTTATTTACCTATCATATTGTTTAACATTGATTGTCAAGCTAACCTACATTTCAAGCAAACAATTATTGTTACGGTAATCGCAAGTCATAATTAGTTTTAAAATCGATAAAATAACACAATAAAAATTAAGGAAAGATTTTTTGGATTAATTAAATAATTCTCATATTATATATTTTCTCAAAATTCTGTAATAATACTCTTTTAAAATATTTTTTTTAACAAATAATGTCTTTGTTGTTTTCCTTTCAGTATCCCGTCAACCGTCTACTAGGTGTCGCTGGCGTTGACATTCCTTTGGACCATCTCAAACTAATTCTACCTTTATATCTAGTAAGTATACCATAATCTACAAGTAATCATCACTGTGCCACCGGATATTAAGTCATTTACCACATAAAGATAAAACAATTAAACTGTTTATCTTTAAAAATACAATCCATATTTATTACCTATACTATTTGAATTTACAATTCATTAAAATATAGTAGATAAGTATTTTGCTGAGCCTGTAATGATTCAAATGAATTTTGCTTTTGAAAGTAATAAAAAATTTGATCATCATGATTTTTGTTTCTTGCTATGTCATATTATATAAATGTTTGGAAACAGTCTTAAGTTAAAGATTCTTTAAACGAATTTACCTTAGTTTTTGGTGTAGTTTAGAAAAACCACTTATTTAATAAAAAATTTTAAGCTCTGTATCCAGAAAATAAAATAACTTGAGTTAAATAATACTTTGCTTCAGGTAGGTGCAGGCGGATCACTCTTCATTATTGACCATCGAGGAAACATTGTGTTACATGAAAATGCAAAGCCCGTTGTAAGTATTACTTACAGTATTTTTATAACTTATATTTCTTACGTATTACTATATAATATTGTTTATGAATGTGATAGAATTTTAATCAAATTAATCATATTACGATAAGTATTCTTAAACAACACTTTATTTTTAAAAAAACCTTTTGTAAAATCCAAATAATTTAATTTTCAGTTCGACGGCGACATTCTAAAGCCGGGGTATCGAACTGTGGATCTTTTGGATCTCGAACAACCAGCTATTGAACACTGGCCTCGGCACTACCCCCAGGAATGGCTGGAGGTTTGAGTTTTATAAAACACACGATATATCCTACTTAAATTTAAAAAAAAACATACAAAACTTTCAATATTACTATTAATAAACATAGTTTTTCATAGAATATTATTTGTACACATTATTTATACACGAAACATGATAAACATTATAAATAAATAATAAATCACAAATACTTTTCGATCCAGAACAAGCAGATTAACAGCTCATCGTTTGATAAAAGGATTAACTCCGTATCAGTAAGGAAATTGTACATAATATAAAAATTGTGCGCACTGCGTGAGTTAGTTAAAGAAAAATAACATCATTTCTTTTATTATAAGTTATATGGGAATAGAAACATGTTCATCAAACTTAGATGTATACACTTAAACCAGAAGACTAAAGCCTTGTATTATGTATAGCTCTTTGATCTATATGTCCCTGGATTGAAAAATGTATTTATTTATATAGGATCTTCATATTAATTTAGCTTTAAAACAACTCAAATAGTATCCTGGATTAATTTTGTTTATTACAGACGTGAATTGACTCGCTAATTTTTATATCTTGCACAAGCAATGAAACACAAAGCATCGTCATATTACTACGTTACTGGCTTTATCTTTAAATGTTTATCTATAAGTAAAGAAACTGTCAGTATTATTTAAAAATATAGCCAAATTTATAATGAAAAATATTGTAAAAGAGGAAAAACAACTCTTATCTCTTACAGGAAAGATTATTGCATAAAGTCCAGTCCAACATTCCTTGATTAAGTTTTTGTATGAAAAATACATCGCTATTCAGGGTTCTCAATATCTCAATTCACAATAATCCGTTGATATCCATGTGACTCCAGGTGGTAGACGATTAGCACTTATCTTTGTTATTGAATTAAGGTAATCATAATGCATACTTGGTGCAAACACAAATTAATTATGAACCAAAGAGTCATTTGTTCTAAAAAGAGCAGTCTAACCGATTGCGTAATTGTTCTGAAATTTTTATTGAATAAGCTTTAAGTGCGAAATTCCATTCTCTTTTTAAACATGTTTAGAGATCTAATATAAACTTACGATAAATGAAATAAATGATTAGCTCGTATTCATTAATAGCTCAACCAATTCACTGAATAACTCCTTATCTTTTAAGAGAAATTATTTAACTTGCTTAGAAAACTTTTATTGTTATGGTGAAAATACATTACTACAGTAGGAAGTTGGCAATAAATCTGAATCTGAAAAAAGGATTTGCTATGCCACATCAATCGTTATAAGCTCTTAAGCTGTAACATTTGAAATATTATAAAATCAAATAGAAAAATAAAATCATAACTCTGATAAGATTCAACTTTGATTTTAATTAATCCTCGTGTGGTATATATGAAAATAATTTAATGAGCATTATATTAGAATAATGTTTTTAGATAAAGTGTTCTTTCCAACCAAAGTTGGTGCTATTTACTTTTTTGTTTTTTAAATAGAGTAATTTTAGTGTAATAAAGGAAATACATTTGATAGAAGACTAAGAAGATTCTCCGTAAACATTCAGTTATTTTCTCTGTGTTTTCAATATTTTTCTTAAAAATATCCAATATTGTGCTTGCCAGGTTTTCTGAAAAACCTTATTTATTTGAACTTTTTTATGAATTAACAAAACAATTCTAGAATGAACTTTATTACTTCATCTTCAATTAATAGACCGCAACATCTAATAACATGCACCGTTTTATTAAATATTATTAACATTTATTATTGTGTACCTTATCTGGTTATTGCTTTTATCATTAAAATGATTTCAATTTAACGCAAATAATGCTACATTGATTTGTATATACAGAGATAAGTGTATATTTAAGTTGTTTTAAATACATACAATTTCCATGAAAATTGATATAAAATTGACATTATATGTACATTTAAACCTCACTTATGATAAAACTGTTCATGTAATAGTTTAGATTATAAAATAATTACATTTTTCTATTACATAATCTTTATCACGATACTAATGTTGCATTGATACAATATCATGATTACAATACAATACAATTTTTTTACCTAATGATATAACAACTTTCTAGAACAAACTAAAATACAAGCTAACTTTTAAATTACTCAATGATAATATGAGTTTTTCGGATAATCTTGAACAATACCATGTATAATACGTTTTGTTTTACAGTTTAGGAACACAATAGTAGTCGAACAGCCGAGTGGTACAAAGACAATGTATGCAAAAAGTATTTTCGATGAAGGTATGAGAGCTTCCTTGGAAATGAAGGAGTATCATTGGAAGAGGGTAAAGAATTATTACACAATCGTGGTGACTCTGACTAAATACAACAATAAGCATGCAGTCCCTGAGGGAAAGTTTACACAGGCTCTGGCTAATGCTGCTATGAATGCACTGCATGGCACAGATTTTTCTGTGCACCCAGACTGGTAATAAAAATAAAACTAAACATTATCATATAACCAAAATGAAACCTTCATTACATTATTTCATTGTAATATTCCGATTTAGTTTCAAATTTTAATTATTAAGATAATTAATTTACATGGAAAAACCTTTGCTTTTCGTTTTAGCGAACTCTTTATCATATTCAATCATAATTTTAAACCGATTAACAATCAAGTCTTTACATTAAGTATATACAGATAATATGTATTGATGTGTCATAGTAAGGTATGTACATAATTTACAAGACAAACTCTCTCTCTTCTCTCTTTCTCAGGTTGTATTGCCAGCACGTAGATCCCCACTTTGATACAAGGGAAGCAGAAGTACTTCATTTCCTGAGGCGTCGTCGAGATGAGCCCAATTTTTCAATGCGAAAGATCAATCACGTTTTCTCACCCATAAAACCTACATTACTAGAGAAAACTTACCAATGTTAGTATTGACACCATAAAGTCATAAAAATCCCTACTAATATTATGTATTAATGCGAAAGTAACTATGTCTGGCTATCTGTTACGCTTTCACGCATAAACCACTAAACTGATTTTAATGAAATTTGGTACAGATATAGAGTTGACCTCGAGAAAGAACTTAGGATAGTTTTATGCCAGACTTTTGAAAGGTTCTCTTGGAAACGCAATATAACCGAACTCCAAGCGGGTGAAACTGTGGACGGAAAGCTAGTAACACTATATTAGTTTTCACTATATGCATAATGTTCAGATACGTTAAAAATATTTCACAATTACAATATATGGTTATATTAATATTTCTTTTCCTATGTAAGGTAACGAGGAACTAATGGCGAGATTCAGTAAAGAAGCGATTGCCACAAACCCATGGGCCAAGATTGCTGAGAGCACGGAACATGCTTGTACGATCTGTCGACTTGGTTCGACCACTGCCTTCTTTGCCAGCGGTATATTAAGATTACTATATCAAGATGTCCTCTCTTGATTATTACGGAAAGGATTTTCATCTGTTATTTCTTTGGACAATTCAAATATTTGTTAAAACTATAGTGACGATGTACCTACTCTCAAATTTAATGCTTTAATATATGTATATATTTTATTAATATATTTGTTATAATACATACATGTTACTCACATTGCAACATAAATATTGTACGCAGAATTTTCATCGCGACAGTTACTCCAGTTAAAACAATAAAATAGTTTTTCAGATAAAAGTAAATCAATATCCACCATTTAAAACAAAAATTTCTGTCTATAACATTAACAGTATGGTTATATTACAGAGAGCGGTCTAACCCGTTGGCAACAGTACCACGCTACAAGTCCCCACGCAGAGCCGCCGTCTGGTGGTGAGTGGCCGCGAGGACCCGGAGAGACGTGGTACAGACGAGCCAGTGCGACTCCTGACCTCATAATACACGCGCCCGTACCACCGATCAGACTGCTAAGGAACAGCTTCATTGAACCACCTGAGGTATATACATATGGATGTAAACATTGTTAAACATGTCCTATAACCTATACAATCCAGGTCAAACTGTGTTTTTTTGTATATATTTTGACATATCTTATATATATATCTTCTTCTTCTTCTTCTTCTACCTGACAATTTCCCAGCTTTAGCCAGGGTCTGCCTTACATGTTGTGAATAATTTTGGCTATTTGTTTTTACGATCGGCCGCCTGCCTGATATCAACCCACTTTGGGAATGCACTACTCAGTGATGTTTAAATACTCTTAGAAAATACATATGACTCGGAAAAATCACATTGGTACTTGCTAGGGCCAGGATCGAACCCGCGCCCTCGTGCATGAAATTCGGTCCTTTTAACCACTGCGCCACCACTGACTACCACTGACTATATATATATATAAAAGGCAGTCGTGTTAGTTACACTATTTATAACTCGAGAACGGCTGTATGGTATTCACTGAAAAGTTTATGAGGAGATAGGTTGGACTCAGAGGACGAACCTAGGATCCTTTGAATTCCTTCGAACAAAAAAATATAGCTTAGAAATTCAAAATCTATATCTTTACTGCTTCTAAATCGAAAAAGTTCGCCTGGTCAGCTGCACATTCTTAATTATGAAACTAAAGCGGACAGTTAAATTTTTAGAGTCAAAATTTAATGAGTAATGTGTAGATAAACAGACGTGCCTACTGCAGTAAATTGACTTAGTGAACTTAAGTCAATGAAGATATGGGGGAGTTCTTTTGATCTTTTCGTAAACCGAGGAAGTGAAGAATACGGTATTAACATTTGGCAATTTTTCTCGAAACATTCTGTTCGATAAAGTCAGTATTGGCTCACCATAACATAAAAATAAAGAGAAAATAGGCCAGCATTCAACTTTATCTGAGCATCCATCCTGTAAAATGTATACAGGATTCTTTGTCTTTACCAATAAAGTTATGTTATCACCGTCACTTTTGTGACCTCTGTCCACTACTTGGGGTGCGGCAGAGGAGCTTCTTTATAATTAGTTCGCTTTTGCATCCGATATATCTTCGGACAACACAAGCATTTCTTCTATCTACTTAGCTAACCGCCTTACGTTCGAAAAATCATTAAGTGTATCAAAAAGTCAAAAGCAAAGTTTGAGTGTACAATTTCATACCCGATCATATAAAATATAGTAGATTTCATTCTTCTTCTTCCTGGCAATTTCCCAGGTTTAGCCAGGGTCTGCCTTACATGTTGTAAATAGTTTTGGATAATTGTTTTTACGACCGGCCGTCTGCCTGACATCAATCCTCTTTGGGAATGCATTTATCACCACGCTTGCTCAAGACGGGTTGGTGATTTCAAACTTATAATTGTGAAATTACTAGTCCAGGTTTCCTCACGATGTTTTCCTTCACCGTCTGTCGGTGGTGTGTAAATACTCTCAGAAAGTACATATGACTCGGAAAAATCATATTGGTACGAGTACTTGCAAGGATCGAACCTGCGCCCTCATGCATGAGAGGCGGGCCCTTTAACCACTAACTAGGAAACCATTGACTTAATAAAATATAGTATGTAGATTTCATTCAATTATCAAAATTTAACTTTTTTATTTCTTTCTTACTATTTCTTTCTTATATTCATATTTAAAATTTTAATTATTATTATCATTAACCTTTGATTTAATCTTATTTGTATTGTTATCGCTTCTACTTTAAGATCATCTTTCTGACATGAAAGGGTACCTAAAAAAATATTTGTTTAAAATAAAAGGCTCTGCAATTTTTACAAATTAGTAAAGGATCATAATTAAAGTAAATCATCACCACTTAACCAACATAATAGTAGAATTAATTTTTGGATGAAGCAGATAAACTAAATAATTCATTCGTTTTTCAGAAAAAAATATCAAGTGTGCAATATGGCGTTTTCATACATTTTTAACGATTCAAATTATTTTACAAAAGATATTAATGTAATTGGAATATAACTGCTCCAAGTTATATTCAGATATTCAGATATTGGCAAAAGTTATTCTGTATTTATAATATGGTTTTCCCCGCCGCTAATGACTACTTTATCACTTAATGCAATCTTGTAAGATTATCATTATTTTTATTAATTTTGTCAGATGACATTGATATGCTTGCACACACTATGTAAATAACAGATTAATTTAAAGTTTTTCTTGACTCGATTAATAAGTTGTCCATTATTTTCAATGAATAAATAACAATTTAATATCAAGTTTTTCTGGATTACTACGTTATCAATTATTTTCAATAAATGATTTTTAAAGACCTACTTATTTTATGTGGAATACATACATTAAGTCTCTTCATTTATAATCACATTTTTGCAAGGAACTCAAAAGAATCCAAAGAATTATTTAGGAATCAAAAGAAGAATTTAGGAAGGTGGTAGAGCCTAGCTGTGGTACTACAGCTCGAACATGGGCTGGCTCGACCGGGGAAGTACCACCCGCTCACAGAAGATCGGCGTGAAGTGGCCTTTTATGACTGCGTTTCGTCCGATAAGTGTGAGAACCGGTTGGCCTTTCCCTTTTCCTATTCTTTCCTACACCTTCCCTTTTCCCTCCCTTTCACACTTTTCCCTCCCCTTCTTCCCTAATCATGAGTGGCGACACATCCGCGACATAAAAAATGTTGTGGATATCTATGGGCGACGCTACTACTTCCATCATGTAGGCCATCTTCTCGGTAACCCCCTTTTACCATAAAAAAAATCCCCTATATTCAATGCAACTCTGGTAATTCGCTGACAACAATAAAAATATTTCAAAAATTTTAATGGCTATGATGTTCATAAATTCAATTTAATGAAATAATTGCAAATTCCATCTAATAATTTTACATTTTCTTACGTACATATACTGTTAGACATAATTTAGGCAGTACTTCCTCTTATGCTTATTGCTCCACAACTCGTAACAGAATCCCCAGTCTAACACTTGTATCCTATTTATAATATTCAAAGGTAACATATTTAGGTAAAGGTAAGTTATAATATCATAAAGAGGGTCCTAGATCCCCTCAGCACAATTCCCATTAAATAATAAAACACTTAACATTATGTAAAATATGCTAAGGATCTTATTATAAATTGTAAAACTAATTGTTATGTATTTGGAAATTTAAATTACTGTACAGAAATATTATTAACATTAATTTACACTATTATAGCGAATATACAGATAGCGCTAGTTGACTATCATAAGAATTCCAATGAATATTAGAACATAAATGACGTTAAGCTTAAAATTATGAAATACATAACAATTTAAATCATTATAAATAATTATTAGTAACAATATCATATTTAGAGTCAGTGGTGGCCTAGTGGTTAAAAGGCCCGCCTCTCAAGCAAGAGGGCGCGGGTTCGATCCTGGAAAGTACCAATGTGATTTTTCCAAGTCATATGTACTTTCTAAGAGTATTTAGACATCATTGATTAATGCATTCCCAAGGGGGTTGATGTCAGGCAGGCGGCCGGTCGTTAAAACAATTAGCCAAAACTATTAACAAACATGTAAGGCAGACCCTGGCTAAAGCTGGGAAATTGCCAGGTAGAAGAGGAACAATACCAATATTTATTTCAATGTACCAAGATGTAACTGAATCAGTACCTATCATCGACCATAAACCGTTTTATTATTTGATAGAACTTTGTGAAATCAAATATTGAAAGAGTACCAACATAATTTTCTTGTATATTAATTATTTATATTTTAGAAAGATTAAGATTTATGACGGCACTAAAACTGTGTTTATTTAAAGGGTAAAACTATCAAAAGACTAATTTAAAAAGACATGTTTATTTAAATCATATATGTATAGCTGTCATTTTAAATGACTTTTTGGCATTGAGAATATCTTAATGCCAAGGCAAAGAAAGTAAGCGCTATACAAGGGCTAGTGACACGACATTGGCGAAATTTATAAGGAAACGCCACTAACTAAAGAAGAAGTAAGGGCTAGTGTTTGGAAATGCTAAATAACATTTTATGTTACATTATTTTTGAGAGGATGTTTTCTTTTGTTACTGCAAAACATATAACTATATTCTTCGCTTGCTCTTTATATTACAAAAACAAACGTTTAAAAAATATTAACAAATTTACATATTCATATACATATTATGACCTTAATGCACTATTATTTTACATCAATTCAAATTTCCAACTGCAATGAAAATTACGTCTATATCACACGCAACAGCTTCTTTGTTGTTGAAATTAAACACATAGTTATCCTTATTAAAATAATTGCATAACATTATCAAATCATAAAACACTAGTTCTAAGAAATTCGTTGAAAGATATTGAGATAAAAATATCGATCAAAAAAGATTTGCTAATATTAATCAATATGTCAAATATAATGACATTCGATAGAATAAAGATATTATTTTAATGAATTTATCACACCGGACGTTATGTATTATATTTATGTTGTTTTTATTACTATTAAATACATACTTTTACTTTTTATTAACAATACTGTACCACATTATGATTAGAATAATTAGAATGTCTAGTATGTATTAATCCTAGCGATTTAGCTTTCCAGTAAAACAAAGATTAATTCATCTAGCATGCAGGTCAATAAATTGAGTACTTAAAGCAATAGCATAATAAAAAGAACTTAAGGAAAGTAGTCAACTTCATCGGAGTATTCACTATTCATTCAGTCAAATGTTTTTTTCCCATTTCATGTGAAATGCGTTGCCGACCTTAGTTTTTGAGGAAGAGGGAGGGGTAGGAATAAGGAAATGGTGGGAACAGGCAAATGGCAACCGGTTCTCTCACTCATCGAACGAAACGCAGACCGCAGTCATTATAGACAACTTCACGTCGATCTTCTGTGAGATGTGGTACATCCCTGGTCGAGTCAGACCATGTTCGAGCTGTAGTTACTTGACCACAGCTAGTCTCTACCACCAATAAATGTACAGGATTTGTCGTGTTTAAGACTAACGTTATGCTATCACCGTAACTTTTGTTACTTCTTCTTGACTAAATATTATTTTTAATTTCGACTGGATAGTATTTAACTGTCCTTCCACCCGTTGGAGGGTTTAAATGACCTTTAAGCTGTATTTATTCAAGAGTAAGAATTATTAATAAAGAAACTTGAAAGGTCAGTTAATTGTTTAAATCATATCCAGCCGTCATTCTTAATAACCTTTTTTTGGCATTAAGATAAAATTATAAGGACTAGTTTTAGGAAATACATACTAAAACACATTTTATGCACGAAATTTTTTGATCAATTGCTAGTTCTTCATATGCAACATAAGTAACGATTAAAAAATATGAACAAATTTATGTGTTCATATTGGGCTTGCAACAAATATTCGGTTACTATATATCGGTATTCGGCCTATTCGGCTGCTTTTATTATATTCGGCCAAATACCGAATACGTAATATATTTTTTATAGAGTTATAAATGCTAAAATGAAAAAAGATCGATTTTTGGTATAGGTATATTCATCTTTTAATTTCTCTTATTATCATAAGTAATAGGTACATAACACAGATACATAATCATCTTTTATGTAAGAAAAGTAAAGTATTTTTGTATACATTTCATTTCTTTTCATAATCAAAATTAAGAAGCGGAGGGTTGTGGCGTAGAAAGATTAATTTTCTACATTTATAAAAATGGTTTACTTGTTATTGACTATTTCTTTTTAGTGAGTACATTAGAACAAACGAGAACGAAACAAACACGACTGTACAGGTTTTGGCGCTAAAATTCGGCTTAACATTTTAGCCTAATATTCGGCTATTCGTTATACTGCCGTCTGCCAAATACATTATTCATTGCAAACCTAATATATTAAGAGGAGTACTAAAGATACAAAGTGAATCTAAATACACTATTATTTTAAAATCAATTCAAATTTCCAACTGCAATAAAAATTACTTCTTTCCTCCTGGTAACAGTTTCGTTTTGTTGAAAAAATTACCTACCAATCTAAATCCTTATTAAAGTAAATGCATAACAATTTCGATTAAAAAACACTGGTTCTAGGAAATTCGTTGTAAGATAGTGAAATAATTTCGATTAAAAAGATTTGCTAATATCAATCAATATATTTAATGTAATACTATACGATACACTCGAGATATCATTGCAATAAATTTATCTTACAGGACGTAATTATTTATTATATGTTCTTATTGTTGTCTAATAAAAACCAAAAACCACTTTTCTTAACACTTTGATACAAATTAAACTTAACGCTACTTTTTTAAGTACAAATACTATTCAATATAATGTTTAGAAAAATTAGAATACTAAAAATATATAAAATTCCTACGTTGCAATTTAGTATTTCGTCGTGGAAATTTTTCATCCGCTAACTTTCCTGGAGTTTATGTGCATAATCATTTTGTAAGTTTTGTCGTAACAAAAACACATCTGAAGTTCCCTAGTCCATATAAGACTTGTATGCAATTATAATTATACATAATTTGTATATCATCCCTACTAATATTATAAATGCGAAAGTAACTCTGTCTGTCTGTCTGTCTGTCTGTCTGCTACGCTTTCACGCCTAAACCACTGAACTGATTTTAATGAAATTCGGTACAGAAATAGAGTTGACCTTGAGAAAGAACATAGGATAGTTTTTATCCCAGACTTTTGAAAGGTTCTCTTGGAAACGCGATATAACCGAACTCCACGCGGCGAAGCTGCGGGCGGAAAGCTAGTACCAAATAAACTCAAACTTACATGCACTGCATATAAACCTATTATGTTAGACTTTACCCTCCATAAAGAATCTTTATTACAAAATATTTACGTAGACATTTGTTTTCATTTCTATAAATTGATTGGAGGTAATGAATTCATTTTATGTATTGTAAAGAATGTATAATAAATTAAAATCATATAACTAATAATTTTACGGATTTGGATACTTTTACAGCATATTTTTATCAAAATTTCACCGTTAATATATATAAAACATTATAAAACATTATATTAATATATAAAACATTATATTTAAGCTGGGCGAGCGATATAAATGGTTAACTGCAGCGCGTATGATCGCTCACGTCAATAAAGGTACCATTGGCGTCGCTGGATACCACTTCCACCCACAACATTTGAAGGATGTATTGAAATCAATAACTGATTTTCCTGTAAGTACATTACGAGTATGTCCTATACTATAAGACTCTTATCTCATGAAAGATTTTATACCTCATTATTTTGTCGTGTCCTAATCGTTTAATGAACTACGCAAACTCTTGAAATATAAATTAGGACAATTTTTTATTCCATATAAACATAAGAAGTAGAATATTTTGAATTCCAAGAAGCAATTAGAATCTAATACACATATAAAACATTCGAAACTAACAAATATCTATCGTATGTCGTTTACATCCATCAGTGTGATGAAGAAGATGAATGTGAACCACGTTGCGACGGCGAGGACTGGAGCTGTGTGCTCATCGATGAAGGTGGTTGGATAGTATCAAACACAGAAGAAGAAGATGAGGAGGAAGAAAAGGAACCTGTAACCCAACACCTGGCTAATGTCTACCCTGCAGCGATGTCAGCGCTGCTAAACGCTAGTATCTTCAAGCTACACTGGATCCATGACTACCAAGCTGTCTGTTTCCCATCAACCAAGGAGATAATACGCCCGAAACCTAAGAAAGTGAAGTCCAGCGCGCCGGTAATTATTTTTAAAAGCTATTTAGTAGTTTTAGCTCTAAGCAGAATTAATTCAGAGAAAAATACAGAAATCCAAAGAAACGTTCTTGACTGTGTTCAATATATAACTTCGTTAAGATTGATTGTTAAATAGAATTTAACTCCTCACCTAATTTACAAAAAATTGTGGCAATAAATATGAAAATTTCGATCAAATAAAAAAAAAAAAAAAAAAACTTAACAAACCATAAACTTACTCACGAACTTGTTTCCCAAATTCTACTAATTTACAACTTTACGTTTACGTAAATACTTATAAGTGAGTGAATGAATAATTTTAAATCTTGTATTTCTTTCAGAGTTTACCGTCACTAATTCGAAGTTTTTGGACTTCGTTAAGTGAAATACTATTTATAAGTCAGGAAATGTTTACTTTTCTCACCCTTCTAACTGCAAGTAAGTATATTATTATACATAATATCGCTAAAGTTTATGGCTTTACAACTTTAAATTGCTTATAATCACCTGTATGCTTACTACAAATATATATGACCACTATACAGGGTGACTGGTGAATTACTATCAATATTTAAGGAGCATACTCGGTACATGATTCTCATTCGAATTATGTAAAAAAAATAGGTACTTAATTTTTGACCAAATTTCCGTATAAATAAATAAAGTGTGGATACGTTCCAAGTGTTCCAAGTGTGGACGCGTACGGCGGCGTGCTGATACAACACCACGCCGCCGCACGCGTGTGTGTATGCGTGTGTGTGTATAGCTAATCTGTAGGGTGTTCACACGATGCGTAATTAATTACATAACTTTTGGTTAACTTTACTTAGAAGTTTATTAATATTTATGTTATATTAATTTTTATTTTGTCATATATGATCGTCAAATATCACGTCCTCAAGTATCGATAGTAATTCACCAGTCACCCTGTATACGTATGGTCTCCCGTTTCTCATTAAATAACCAATGTTACTAATAGTACATATAATGTACAAAGATTCATGAATGAACCATAAACTCTGTATATAGTGTGACGATACACACTCGTAGTTAGCATAATGTTAATGCATTTGATAGGAATTATAAAATTAACATCTTGTAAATATAAATAGTAAATTTTCTATTTGAGCGACACAATAAATAAAAAAAAAAACAATAAAAATCAATTGCCCCTTTATAACAAAAAGGGTTACAAGTTTCAGACAAAATGTCACTTGCAAAACCTTTGTAAATACTGTACAATTAATATCAATTACCTACCAATTTCATATGTTAATCATAGAGCACTAAATTTCTTGTGTTTCCCAATTAAAAAAATATATATATTTTAGTTCCAGACGGTATATATGCAGACACGGAAGCAGAAAAAGAGAAGCGTCGTAAAAAAATACGTCGCGATTACGAGCGAGAGAAGTACGAACGACTGTTTGACCCTCGGGTACTTGTTAACAGAACACACTTCGCTGCTTGTGACAGATCCAGGGCTCTGTACGTGCTACAGGTCAGATATTACACCTCTCACGATTGAATATTGACATAATCAGTGGTGTGGTGCTATTTTTTCTTTTACCGTAACGCGTATGTATAATTATTTGACGACGGGGGGGATTCTCTCAATTTTCTCCCATCACCAAGATCGGCCTTGTAGATAGCATAAAAAGGAAACGAAACGATAATCATTACGAAACCCATTATGTGTGTGTACTAAATCTGCAATTATTTTTTATTTTATTTTTTTCAATACGTCAACCAATTCTCGTTATCAGAAATCATCTTTAATTCCTGTCCAAAAAGGAAGTACCGGAACAACGTTCCGGAGCGTTCCAGCTCGACAACACCACTGCGTATAATACTCCAATTAATCGATAGAAAATTTATAGTATCTATATATACATCTTTACATATAAATAAAACTACATGCATATAAATGTACATACACCAAAATAACATTTTTTTTACAAGTTTTGTCCGTCTGTCTGTTTGTTCCGGGTAATCTCTGAAATGGCTGGATTGATTTTAACAGGACTTTTCAGTCAGTTAGCTGATGTATTAAGGAGTAAATTAGTCTCCTTTTTATTCCGATCGATAAATAAAGCATAATCACATGCGAGGGGGAGGTTGGACCTATGTGGTATTAAAAGTTTTATCATTGTTTCTTATTTTTGATAAATTTATTTTCTCACATTGAATTTTATATGAGTTTATATTTAGTAAATAATAAATATGGAAAAATGGTTATTTATGCCAGTTATCTCTATATGAAAATTTTAATCAATTTCAATAAATTATTAGCCATCCTTTGCACATCCATCAAACAAAACAGGAAACTGGTAAAAATAGTCCTCGAAGCTTTCGGTACAAAAAAGATTTTTAAATAAAACTGAACGATTTCCATTAATTTTGACATAACATTTATAACCAAATCTGATCAAGATTTAGTTATTATAAAAGTTTTATAAATTCTAAAATTTATTTCACAAATCATATCAATGAATTATATATCTTTATAATATTTTGATTTGTATACCATGTATAAAAATTGTTAGGAATGTTTATTCCTATTGGAAGTTAAAGTGCGATATTTTAAATTATATTTTTCATAACCTAATTTTCCTCTCTTGTATCATATTAAATATTTATCATATTAAATATATATCATACTAAAGATTTTATTTTGATGTTCCATTGAGGATAATTTAAAAATTAATAAAATTCTTATCGTACAATAGATACGACGGACAAACGCCGTGAACAAAAGACAAAACACAAAGTTTAAACTTTGCAAATACAAAGAAAAAACAGATAATATCCACGTCACAATAAAAATTTTAAAAATATGTTAATTTTTTTATTATTATTTGACTAGTTATATATTGCATAATAAGAAATATTTTCCCTTTCTTAATAATAAATAACAAAAAAATATACCCTATAAGTATAGGCAGGGACTGATGTTGAAGTAAATTACAATATTTATATTTATTTATATACTCTTTATTGTACACCAATATAGACAAATAATAGGAGTAACATAAAGAAAAGAAAAATGTACAATAGGCGGCCTTATCGCTAAAACAGCGATCTCTTTCAGGCAACCTTTAATAATGTAACAAAATATTGCTAAAATTACAATATGTATTAAGAATAGTTCACTGAAGGAATTAAAAGGTAGTAAAGGAATCACATTTTTTTTTTTATTCTGAATTTACGACCCTCCGGAACACGAATATCCACTTCCTTACTTTTTACATCAAATAACTACAGACTATATTATCATCGTATTATTTATTTTTACTAAATCTTTTTATAATCACAAAGTATTTCGATTCAATACTTCAAATATCATTATTAATACATATCATACGAAATCACTCAGCACCCGACCAGACATAGAATTTGAAACGTTTTATACACATCTGAATTTAAGTGCTTTACTCCACCCTGATAAGGAAACTTAATAACTTCTTTGTTATTGAAATATAATGCAATCTTAATATCTTAATTATACAGCGAAACCAAAGAGCTATGGAAGCTCTGAGAAGGAAGCCTCATCTATGCAAGTGGCCCCTAGTGGGCACTGAGGTACCGAGGACTAACTTGTTGTTACTCGCAATCTACAAAGGGTGCGCTTACACTGGCAAACCAATCAACGATCCCTTCATCAACGAACTGGTAAGAATTTATGAATGTTAAACTAATATATCCCTTACTTCTTTAAATAAACACAAAAACTGTTAAGTAAAATTATAAAGTTTGTAATCAAAAGAAACTACGAGCCTGTAACGTTTACTGTATTTGTATCGTCCAACTAAATATAAATACTTTCTTATTAGACACATACCTTCTTTATATGAAGAAAAGTCAGGAAAATAACCGTGTTAACTTTGATAATGGAACCTATAAGAAGAATATTTGAAGGTCAAATATGTTTTATACAACCATAATTAACGTAACGAGTATGGATAACGTTACCATATTTCCCACAGGTGTCGCTAGCAGATGATGAAGAAGGTCGCAGTATGGCAGCAAGACTCGCCTGTTGGAGAACCCGCGTCCCTCTACCAGCTCGAGCACCCAGCACGCAATGCTTCCCACACCACTATGAAGATGTAACGTACTCCATTTATATTGTATGACAATATTTATCACCCAATACACTCAATAAACTAAAATATGTTATTAGAAAATCACATCCAACTGTTATACAGGGTTATAGGTTAAGTCGACCGAAATCCTTTAAGAGAGGTTAAATCATTCCCAGCCGATTTGACTATGGAACCCCATATACTAAACCTAACCCTTCTCAAGTTATTGGCCTTTGAATATAAGAAAGGTTTCCTCACGATGTTAACCTTCACCACCTGTCAGTGCTGTCTAAGCACTCTTAGAAAGTACATATGACTCGAAAAATCACATTGGTACATTCCAGGATTCGAACCTACACCTTCCTGCATGAAGAGGCGGGCCTTTAATCTCTAGACCACCACTACTATCCTTCTGTAAAATGTTTGAAAATTCTCCCGAGCTTTATTGATTTAACTTTATAATTTCAGGAGGAGGGCTACCGTCAATGCGGCCCATGGTTGCCGGATCCACCAAAGAAATCATCGAACACAGTACACATTTCAATATTAATTAACTTACCAGTAATATTAATATTATTAGCTTGAATAAATTTCACATTCTTTAAAATTTGTTAATATATAATGCTTAGATTTTTCATAATTCAGCCCAATATGGCTTAGAGGTGCATTATAACAATTACTTGTAATAAAATTCTTTAAATTCAGACTACAATTTAGTATCTTAAACAACAGAGGTAATAATTAATAATTACTTTAAAAGTTATTAGTGATTCAAAATATATGTTAGTATGCCGTCTTAATATAAAATAAAAATCAAAATATCCTCTTAATCGTTTTATTTCATATTTGGTTCGGAAATATATCTGATAGTGATCTTAATAAATTCTATTCATTTCCTTTCATTAACCGTATCGAATACTAAATATAATTAACAATAAATAAATAATGCTTTGGAATGATTACAATCAATTTGGTGGGTGACGAGTATAAGGAAAAGAAAAAATTTACACAATATTCTAATAATTAAATTAATAAAAACTCTATTATCCATACTGTAGATAAAGGAAAAAATAAAAATATCTTCAAACTATATTTATATAACAAAAAATTAAATCTACCCTCAAAAACTACATTCGAACACTAAACACTCTTTATAGAAAAATACACATTGTTTTTGTCTCACTTTAGTTCGATTCTGGACATAAGAGGAAGCTCGTGCTATTGAAAACGTCGATATTGAAGTTACCACACCCCACACTAACATATGATACGAGTAGACGAATATTACTCAACTAAAGTTAATTACTACAATTTGTCATTATATAACTTTAGACTGGTAACAAATTATTGCAATTATATATAAGATAATTCCCATGTATATATGTATACATAATAGGCAGACCCTAGCTAAAGCTGGGAAATTGCCAGGATTAAGATGTATACATAACCGTGGTACAGCTAGCATTGAAATATAAAAAAACTTTAGTCAAGTAATACTCCTTTACATATTAAAATACTTAATAACCCTGAAACTTGAGATATTAAAAACGGAATTTAACTTTAAAAAATAATGTCATGTAACCTCATCCCTAATGATTCCTAACCTAATATTATTTTAATCAAAAATAGATTAGATTCTTTGAAAATCTTATATTCTGTCAATGTCATAATCCGAATGTCATTTACATTCCAAGAGTATTAATATAAAATCATCACAGATAAAAAAATAAAAATGTTATAAAAAAAATAATTAAATCATTAAAACCTCATTCCAACACTGACATTAACAGATGATTATCCTTACCACAAGTCAAAACTATAAACGTAGAGTCTGCAGTGTTATATTCATGATCCTTTTCACAAGTTAAGTATGAAGTTCTTAAGTAAAAACTGGCAACTCTCCATATATAGTTTGAGGATTCAAACAAGTGGTAAGTTCAGGATAATGTTACATTAAATTGTGACTTATTTATAAAGAGCCTCGGTCATTTTCAAAAATATCATATTTCACCTGCATCACCTGTATTCAAATGGCTCATTAAAAGTTACACCTAACTACTTCTACAAATTCATGAATTCGTTCTCATGATGCATTCCTTGTACTAATTCACCAATTTTGGCACCAATCATAAGTTTCATAACAAAAGAGGTTTAACGCTTCGAATAATTCCATCAAAACTATATGTATAAATAAAAATATTGAAAGTTTGCGAGGAAATAACATTAAAAAGTAACAATAACTCTTTGGTAATAGAAATTTGTAAAAGAAAAACAAACAAAAAATGTAAAAAGAACACCATGTGCATAATAAAATTAATTGTGATTCTTACATACTAGGGAATGTCGATGCTTATTTATACTTAAATTATTAAATATTATTAAGAAAAATAACAATCAGATAAAAAATATTATGAAATTTGTTCAGACAAAATCTTAATTAAACTTGCTTGTGAGAATTTTCCATACTAAAGAAAGAAGATATTGTACAAGAAATGATATTGAATAGACAAAAAAAACCATAGTCAAGAAACTAACTTTTTTGAAATCAAAAAGTTTATAATACTATTAATAAGATAATTATAATTTACAGGAAATAAATATCAGTTAAACCGGGAATAAATTTTAGACATATCAAATTTTATCAACATTACATTATCATTAGTAATACGATACCTATTATCCAAAAAATCACTATAACAGAATAAGAAAAGAGATTTTGTTTTTCCAAATACTTATAAAATTTAATTAACAACCAAAAACATACCTTAAACATAGTTTTGTTCAAAATTCGGTACGACTTTCAATATAATAGTCTTATATTATTGTGCTACCAATTAAGTATAATAATTTAAATAAATAAAGAAAAAATATCTTAAAAAACGATGTAATTATCTTAATTTTACAAAGACTCGTACACACTTGGCACATTTTACATTTAAAATACATTTTTTTATTTCAATTCTTTTAAGAATATATTTGTCGTTATTTTTGTTGGAACGACAAGACCTATTAGAAGATTTATTTTTATTGGTAGTGTGTATGTGTGAAGAGTTCTTTATAAAATTAAATACAATAAGTTATCATTCTTCTTCTGACTCACTGTCGGAGTCTGGGATCGTATTGAACCAGTTCTCCCAGTTCGAAGGGTTGCCCATTCCGTTACGGCTGGGAAGATATCACATCAATAATAATTAATCAATCAATCAAAATTAATCATATTTACATTTTAATTTGTATGGCATTTACCAGAGAGCACTAAAGGCACTAGATGGCGCTAGGGGACATTTACGAGAATTTCTACCAAAGAGTATACAAATGATAAAAACTAAATCATTTGAATTTAGAAGAAAACTGAGTTTTGTTTATATTCATTGAAAATCTATCTTTTTTTATTTACTTCAATGCAATGATTGTAGTTTATGTACTGTAGCATGTTAGCACACACCGGGACAATGGATTATAATATCATGAGATCGTAAAAGTGAGTGTAGCTGACATCTTCATATGTGTGATTGAGTATATTTTTCAATACGCGTGTGACTGTACATTGTCATGCGTGTATGTGACCCTGTTTTCTATGTGTGAGTGTGGCTGTTCATTATTACGCGTGCGGCGTGTAGATATGTGTATACACACACGTGTGTTAGTATACTTTTAAATATGTGAGTGTGGCTGTATTATCTCGTGTGTGTGTGTGTGTGTGTGTGTGTGTGTGTGTGTGTGTGTGTGTGTGTCTCACCCCTGTCCCTTAGTGACCGGCTGCGGCAGCGTGGCGGTGGCGGCGGGCTGTGCGGCCGGCGGCGGCGCTCGTCTCTGCAGCGTCTGAGTCCCGCCTCCCCCCCACTCACTACTGCCCTCCTCCCAACTGAGGGGGGAGAGCTTATTGAACATATTTATTCTCTTATACGTAGTGCGATGTTAAATATAATTTATTATTAATGTGTCATACATATATATGTTATTAAATAAATTAAATACAAGGTGGATAAAACGATACGATAAAAACAAGATAGGAACAATGGAAAATATTTTATGAATTTTTTGTTTGAATCAGTAAACAATTTGTTTTAAAATACTAAATCTAAAAACATTTATTTAAACTTTTTGTTGTCTTGTTATCAGAGCCTATACTTGACCCAATAAAACATTGATTCCCAAAGAGCTGTAGATGAACAACAAAATGGGTTCTCTCGTATTGATAATTTAATTGGCTTTCACACATAATGAGAGGGGTTCGTAAAGAATTATCTGGTTTCTTAGTGAAGAACATAAATATTGACGTCACAACACATATTAATAAAATTTCATTTGTACTTGCAAATTCCTTTTTCAATATAACATGTGAAGGAACTAAAAGATAATATACCTATAAGATCTCCTAACTCTTGTAGTTATTTTTAAATCGTTAATGAGAAAAAAATAACATTTGGAATAGATTTCAATTAAGATTGGACTAGCCAATAGTCACTATTTCACTGAGGTCCTGTGAAGTCGCACACAACGTTGAATAGAATTTTTTATTTTGTTTTTTTATTTGTTTTGTTTGTGAGAAATTTAAGTGTTTAGTTTAGAAATTTGTGAGAATTTGGATGTCATATTTGTGAACATCATATGTATCATGTATGAACCATTTGACTGTAAATATGCGACACTTGCAAATACTTTATGCTATAGTATATATTGTGAATTACTTGGTCACGTGACACTGCGTTGTTGTACTGTCGATATTTATAAATGGTGTTCTAATTTAATTAATTGTTTTTGCTATTATTTATTATTGCATTTGTTTCTTTTATTTCAATACATTGATTAGATGACCTCAAATTACTCTTATACTAATCTTAAATCTTAAAACATAGTGTTATTTATTATCGTATTATCATATCCACATTGTATATAAAGAACTAAAAGCCTTATATACATCGTGCTTTAATTATTAGGGTGATGGTTTTTGAGGAATAATGATATATGAATATAATATAAATGTATTTAATTTGTCCGTACCCCGAGTTGTTCGTTGAGTGGCAGTTCTCACACTCGCTGCGATAATCATCTGCGTCACGGGCGGCCTCGTAGCTACACTCGCAGGAGGGCTGAAAACAAACAAACAAACATACATTATACATAAATACATACATAGTATAGTGCGTTTGATTTAAGCTGAACTTTGCATTTGTGTGAGTGCACACGGATAGTGTAGGTGTGATGTCATTGTGTGCGTGCCACGTGCTTTTCTAAGTTTGAACCGGTATATACAGCTTTCACTCCGCCCCGCACCACACACAAATGCAAAGCTCAGCTTAAGTCTAACGGACTATATGATATTATTAATTATATAACAATGAAGTCGTGTCGAGAAAATTCTTCATCTCCTTAATCTAAGTTAAATCTATACTAATATTATAAAGCTGAAGAGTTTGTTTGTTTGTTTGTTTGTTTGTTTGTTTGTTTGAAAGCGCTAATCTCCGAAACTACTGGTTCGAATTGAATAATTCTTTTTGTGTTAGATAGTCCAGTTATCGAGGAAGGCTGTAGGCTATATAACATCACGCTACGACCAATAGGAGCAAAGATATAGTGGTAAATGTGTAAAAAACGGGAGAAATTATTTCATCTTTCAAGTCTTCCGTTGCGTGCGCCGTGAAAACGGTTCAAGATACACAAAAAATATGTATTAAAGAATGATAGCTCTTTTAATGATCTAAAAAACAGTCCGCGACAGTATATGTCTATCTTTTAAGATTAACTCACAAAAACCGTTTTTATGGTACCTAATTTGGTCGAAATAATTTGTTTAAGTTTATCAACATAATAATATTAATCTTTATTCAAATAAACAAATATATGTGTTGTTGGTACTCTTCGTACTTCATCGTGAATAAAAAAAACATAGGTTGTATCCTGAAAATTCTACGGGAACTCGACCATTCCGAAAACCCCCCAAGAACGGGAACTATGTGGGAAGAACCAAAAATCTGCCGGAAGTCACTATTCCACGCGGACGTAGTCGCGGCAAAAGCTAGTCAAATATATACGTGAGCCAAATAAGAAAAATTGCAGAATAATCCAAAAACATCTAATCTGACAAATTCCCTCGAGAGTAAATAGTTTTTAAAGATCAAGTAAAAAAGTCATTGTCTTCACAAATATTTTTTTTGTATTTATATAAAGCATATAAATACAGTGTATATTACAGAACTTAGACAGAAAATCAAAAATAAAATCATCAAAATTACTATTATTACATCGGTTAAAAATTGTGAAATATTATATATACATCGAAGAACTTCTTTCTCTTAAGAGAAGAATAATGATAATAATGTAACAATCGAGATGACATCACGTTTATCGAGTTTCGATCCGATTCCAATGAGCGCCACCGAGCAAATTGACGAATAGCTCTAAACAAACTAATTATATAGATTTACTCGATACCCTGTTTAAATAAAAGGTACTCCTTTTATTTAATATTTAGGGAACACACATTTAACTCGAGTCGAACATTTAAATTCCTGAATGCACCCGAAGTGATACTAAAGCGATGACGTTCGGTTTGTTTACTTTTACTTGGGAAAGTATTTGTCGACGCGATTTGTGTTTATAAATTAAATTTAACTTATTTAAGCTGTTTTGGTTTAAGATAATAATTAGTTTGTTCTATTTAAGGTTTGATAAAGTACTGGCTTTATAAGACAATTATATTTTTTAATGATTTTATTAGAATTCTAAATATATATTATATATACAAATATATATTATATATTTTATAGGTGGTAGAGCCTAGCTGTGGTTAAGTTACTACAGCTCGAACATGGGCTGGCTCGACCGGGGAAGTACCACCCTCTCACAGAAGATCGGCGTGAAGTAGTCAGTAATGACTGCGTTTCGTCCGATGAGTGAGAGAGCCGGTTGCCCTTTCCCTTTTCCCAACCTTTCCTTGTATTTCCTTATTCCCACCCTTCCCTATCCCTAAAAAGAAAAGGTTGGCAACGCATCCGCAACATATTTGTTGCGGATGTCCATGGGCGACGGTAACCACCTTCCATCAAGTGGGCCGTCTGTTCGTTTGCCACCTATAACATAAAAAAAAAATAAAAAAAAATACTCACTTTGTCCACAGTAAGAGGTAGTGTTGGGTGATTGTGTGGTGTCAACTCCTTCTTGTCTTCGTCGTTGTGAACACTATGGAGACGAGGCCGTACAGCACGACTGAAAAAATAAAGTTTATTATTATTTAAGGAAAGTTAGGTTTTTAAAACTATGTAAATTGTCTTACTGTAAAAATATACATTTAATATGAAAACCTTTTTTCTTTAATATCATAGTTGAGACTTTTAAATGAGAAATTTAAATAGCCACTAACTTCGATAAAATTGGCGCGAACATTATATTTATATATAAATAGGCAACATAAGAGATTGCGGGCAGTAGGTTAGCGATTTAATATGAGTGATTGATGACGTTATTGTGTTACTAGAAAAAGTATTAATTGTCGCTTGTGTAGTGTAGTTTATGAAATGTGTTGTGATTACCAACTCTATAATATACCATAACTAGTATTTCAATAGTTATACTATGTAAACTAATAATAAATGCATATGTATATACTTTACAAAATATCCTAATAATGTTCATACACAGTTATAACATCCTGTATATAAATCCATTCAATATCTATGTATAGTGCGTTTGATTTAAGCTGAGCTTTGCATTTGTGTGAGTGCACACGGATAGTGTAGGTGTGATGTCAAATTTGTCAATGCCACGTTCTTTTCTAGTTTTAAACCGGTTTATTTTGCTTTTACTCCGCCCCGCACCTTCCTCACTTCACCTTTTGTACTGGTAGCAATATTAAATGTTGAAAACGCAATGTCAAGTGAAGAAGAATTTGTATAGTTTTTTCAAAATTTTTAATAATTAATAAAAAAAATCCATAATATTCATAATATTTTCATCTGGCCTTTTACAAGTTTTGCTTATTTTATAGCACTTATGTTATTTATCTATTTAAATTATAATAAAATTTAATTCTAAAAGTTTTTTGTCTAACTCTACTTTTACTTTCACTCACACAAATGCAAAGCTCAGATTAAGTCTAACGGACTATACTAATGTCTTTGCACGAATTTGACGCTTATAACCATTCAATATGACAGTAACGTTTACGAATTTAAACTTGAAAACTCAACATATAGTTATATGAAAACTTGTGTCAGAGGGGCCGTTCAAGTATTACGTAAGCACTATAGAGGGGCGGGGGGGTCTTTAGTTTGATTATTTTTGATGACATGGCGGGTAGGGGAGTCTAGATATCGATTACGTCATCGGTAGTTATTTACTTTTGATCGTCAAATCGAGAAGATCCATAAAAAAACATAATTGTACTATTTTTCTGGATTTATACGGAAAAAAAAACAATACAGTAATTGGCAATGTTTATGTAAGCATAGGGGGAAGGGGTAAGAGCTTTGCTTACTTTTGCTGGCAAGGGGCATTTGGGGGTAAGTAATTGTAATGAATGAACGGCCCTAGATGTAATATGATCCCTTCCCCTACTATTGTCCTACTCACTCATCGTCGTGTTCGTGTTGAGGCGAGGCGGGCGAGGCGGACGCTATGTTCAAGTTCCTCGGCACGCTCCGGCCCGTGTGAGGTCTGTCTCTCTCCCTGGCGTCCGGTCGGTGGAAGGACCTCCTCACCTCCCCTGCTAAAGAACGATCCGCTCGACTGAAACCCATCGCTTCTAATGTCGATGTATCCAGGGCCGTCGATATACGTGGTATTGTACGGTGTCTGGAAACACATCATAAACTACATAAACTATCGGAATATATCATACAAAACTACCCACTTGTAAATTAAATACATTGAATGAGTAAAACAACTGGTTATGTAATTATACAGGGTGAATTACTATCAATACTTGAGGACGTGATATTTGACGATCATATATGACAAAATAAAAATTAATATAACATAAATTGGAACACTTGGAACGTCTCCACACTTTATTTATTTATACGGAAATTTTGTCAAAAATTAAGTGCCTATTTTTTTTACATAATTCGAATGAGAATCATGTACCGAGTATTCTCCTTAAATATTGATAGTAATTCACCAGTCACCCTGTATAAGAACTACATTTAATATTACTTGAATTTTTTGTTTCCATGTAAGTGACTTTGTGTATTTTGGAAAATAAAGATCTCTAAACCTATAATACATAGTAATAGTTATAGTAGACAGTAGTAGTGGTTAATGACTGTAAAACATTTAAAAATGGAACCCTTTTAAAATTTTATAAAATGGTTAAATACAAGCAACATGTCACAATGATAATCTATACTAATATTATAAAGCTGAAGAGTTAGTTTGTTTGTTTGTTTGTTTGTTTGTTTGTTTGTTTGAAAGCGCTAATCTCCGAAACTACTGGTTCGAATTGAGTAATTCTTTTTGTGTTGGATAGTCCAGTTATCGAGGAAGGCTGTGGGCTATATAACATCACGCTACGACCAATAGGAGCAAAGATATAGTGGTAAATGTGTAAAAAACGGGAGAAATGATCTCATCTTTGAAGCCTTCCGTTGCGTGCGCCGTGAAAACGGTTCAAGATACACAAAAAATATGTATTAAAGAATAATAGCTCTTTTAATGATCTAAAAAACAGTCCGCGACAGTATATGTCTATCTTTTAAGATTAACTCACAAAAACCGTTTTTATGGTACCCAATTTGGTCGAAATAATTTAAGTTGTATCAACATAATAATATTAATCTTTATTCAAATAAACAAATAAATATGTTGTTGGTTAAGAGTACTTCATTGTGAATAAAAAAAATAGGTTTTATCCTGAAAATTCTACGGGAACTCGACCATTCCGAAAACCCCGCAAGAACGGGAACTATGGTGGAAGAACCAAAAATCTGCCGGAAGTCGCTATTCCACGCAGACGAAGTCGCGGCAAAAGCTAGTTGAATATATATATTGGTATTTATCAAATGTGTATAGCTTTTTATATTAATAGATTCCATATATTCAAACACATAATACAACTATTTTTTTTTAATTATTTAGGGCTTGCTTATTCCAAACAATTACTTTCTAGGTCAAAAATCACATATGCCATTTAACAACATATTAAATTTTATAATTAATTAGTATTAATTGTGAATATATCTATTGGTATAAAAATATCAACGGTTCAAAAGAACTCGCATTCAGGGCCGTAAAGAAATATAATATCAACTAACAGTGCAGTATGTGTGGTGTAAAAGCCGGGTACATTGTGGGGTCGTTCAACACGTTCAACTCTGTCACGTTCATGATCATCCCTTGGTACACTGAGGCGGGCGCTGATAGCCCCCAACGACCCCGTCAGGCGACCCCCAACCCCCACTGAAAACATACAAATCTATATATATAAAAATGAATTGCTGTTCCTTAGTCTCACTAAAACTCGAGAACGGCTGAACGGATTTATCTTATCTCAGTCTTGACTGAGATTCAGGGAAGGTTTAAAAGCTGAAAAAAATTGATTCATTTCCGGGAAAACCCCAAAAACAGCCCTGTTCTATTTCCTATACAAAAGGGTTTTTTTGACATTAGATTTTACAAATAACTAATATGTCAATCACTCTGTCGCACTTCAAAGTGTGTCTGTCAGTTGGTCTGGTCATTTTATCTCCTACCGCCATCGATTTCTTAATTTTCTTGCGTACCGCTCTGGATGCCGGCAAAATGCGCTCACGGTGTCTCGAGGTCCTGCGGTGTGGTCACGGACATGGGATTTTATATTTTTAAGAAGAGGATCCCAGGTGTTTGATAGGTTCCAGCTATCTTCTCTACTGAAATTGGGGTGTTTTTTAATTTCAATAGCCTCGCGGATTAACCTTGGTATATATCTGTCTTCACGAGCGAGGATCTGTGGTTTATCAAATCTAATGTAATAGCCTGGTTTGTCCAATGCATGTTCGCACACTGCTGACGTTGACGCGTGCCTATTCCTGACTTCTGAAATGTGTTCTTTAACCCTTGTACCGATGCTTCTCTTTGTCTGTCCGATGACAAGCCACAGTCGCAATCAAGTTTATAGGATAGTTTTTATCCCAGACTTTTGAAATATTCTCTTGGAAATGCGATATAACCGAACTCCACGCGGGCGAAGCTGCGGGCGAAAGCTAGTTGATAATAATATTGATATTTCTTTCTGATAATGCAGGTTAGAAACCTGTTCGTCCTCATTTAATCCACTCTTAATATTTTCTATATAGTAGCGGATTTTTTTATGATTTTTTTTTATATACAGGGTGACTGGTGAATTACTATCGATATTTGAGGACGTGATATTTGACGATCATATATGACAAAATAAAAATTAATATAACATAAATATTAATAAACTTCTAAGTAAAGTTAACCAAAAGTTATTTAATTAATTACGCATCGTATGAACACCCTACAGATTAGGTATACACACACACTCACACAGACGCGGTGGCGGCGTAGTGTTGTATCAGCACGCCGCCGCACGCGTACACACTTGGAACACTTGGAACGTGTACACACTTTATTTATTTATACGGAAATTTTGTCAAAAATTAAGTACCTATTTTTTTTACATAATTCGAATGAGAATCATGTACCGAGTATTCTCCTTAAATATTGATAGTAATTCACCAGTCACCCTGTATATTTTTGGTGACATTACTTACTATTAGCTACTAATGGATGCGGCATGACGACCGCCTCTCTCGCCTCAGGCGGATGTACTGGTTGTAGGAGCGGAGCGTTGTAGCAGTTCTGAGTATTGGCCATCTGTATATATTTACTGAATTAAAGTAATTTTTAAAATGAAAATATATTTAAAAAAATATTTTTTTCGGCATTTAATTTATAACTTTATTATTGACATTTTACCAAAAATTTTAATTAAGCAATTAAAAATGTGTTTAAAAAGTAACATTCAATTTTTCTATCTGATTATGACTTATGTATATCAAAAAATATATACTGTCTTTGGATAATGAGTGTTTGAATCACCATAATGCTAAAGACTACAACACATTTTAGTACATTTGTAGTTTAGTGTTTATTAGTAGATTTGAAGCTGAAAATCATATTAGTCTGATATAAAAATGAAATCTCTTGATGGTCTAAGCCAGGGGTTCCCAAACTTGTTTTAACTACATACTACCAAATTTTAGAATAAATATTTTTTGACATCCCTATAGTATTCACCTACTGAAAACCAGTATAAGTTAAAATTAAATCAATTAATTATAATGGCTTGTGAGTATTATAGCTATATTAGACTAACACGCCTCTTTTTTTTTGGGTCTCTTACTATGCCCCTTTAGGCACAAGCTCCCAAAAAAAGGGTGCTATTGAACTCTTTGGGAAGAACTGGCTTAAGAATAAACTCTCCACTATTGTACCTGTACAAGTGGTCTTGGCAGATTAACATATGCATGGGTAGCACAAACTTCATCTCGGGGCTCCAAAGGGTATGAACGGTGGAAAGACGTTTCATTTGTTACTCTGAAACAAATGAACATCATTTATGAATCAATATTTGTTGCTAGACGAGATTATCACAGATAGAATTGCATTTAACTGAATAATTATGTTTGTATCCACAAGGGTTATAAAACCAAACAAATATTTTATTATCATATCCCTACTAATATTATAAATGCGAAAGTAACTCTGTCTGTCTGTTACGCCTAAACCACTGAACTGATTTTAATGAAATTTGGTACGGACATAGAGTTGACCTTGAGAAAGAACATAGGGTAGTTTTTATCTCAGAGTTTTGAAAGGTTCTCTTGGAAACGCGATATAACCGAACTCCACGCGGGCGAAGCTGCGGGCGGAAGGCTAGTTATATTCTATTTATGAACAATGAGACAAAATTTATTTCATTTTGAACTATCTATATCTTATATACCTCATAGGATCCGATCTGCATTGTGCCATAGCCTCTTCATAGGGCGGTGGAGCTTCTCCTCTAGGAAGATAGTTTGAAGGGGGCTTCCATGCACCCAGTTGAGATGTCTCACAAGTGCCTCCCATGTACCCCATACTGCCACTGATATACCTATAAATATAATATAATATATACATTACAAAATATGAAAATAGACATTTATGAACATTGAAATGTTCTTTGCATATGTTTTTAGTATAGGTCACAGCCAGATATAATTTTACTATCAATCTGTGTTAATAATGCAAATATAAAAGAGAAAATAGAAAAAGAACATTATAAGTTATGAGAATTTAAAAAACTAATTAGGATGTATAATCTTAATATTTTGTAATTTGAATTTTTTTACAAGTATATCTTGAAGACAATATTATTCTGATATTTACAACTTTTCTCTAAATCTCAACAAAATTTATTACTATTAAGATTAATTTTAGAAACATAATTCAACAACCAATTTATCCCACTGAAATAATATTTTTTTTTATAAATAACTTCTTTATCTAATACAAAAATTATTGTGATAATATCATAAGATGAAAAAATGCTGTATATTTATACCCTATACTGGTCAAACTCCTTTGGTCTTCAGCATGTAGAGGTCTACGTCGTTTCTGTTTCCTCACTCTATATACAACGAGGGCAATAGTTAATAGGACCACTGACGCAGCCCCTGATGCTGCAACCCTGATATTGGCCTCTGCCCCGTCAGTCGGTTTCACTACATCATCAAGACAAATGAACTCACAGCAAGTATTGCCCAAACGGAATGATCGGCAATCCTGGAATTGACAATGTAACTATTATTGTAGATTAAAAATATATTTAGATCATAGTGACAAAAAACATGTAGTGCTTTAATTTTTATTAAGATATTACATATAATTCGTAGAAAAATCTATAGTAAATATATTATTTATTACTATAAATGGAAGAGTGAATACAAACGTTTTAAATATAATGAAATCGAAAGATAAATTGATCACGTTACACTCACTTGTGGGGGTGAACACAAAACAGCTTTACACACTTTAGGCAAACCATTTTCACAGATGCAAAGCGTACATGTATCGGGGCCGGGCACATAATGCAAACCGTTTGATATGTGTCGACCGCGGAAGTCTATACACTCGCCTTGAGCCATTACACCTAAAATAACAAGACAGTAATCGTAATAGCGATTAAAATATTCTTAATAATTCACGTTATAAATATCATGGACACTGGTAATATTTTAACTCACTATAAAAGTGTAAGGTCGATAGACACACCAATGCTTTTCTAAACATTTTATTTTAACATTTATCGATTCAAATAAAACAACAGCTCTTAAGTCCACATTTTTATGGCCATAGGACTTTTGTCCCATTTATTTTAAATCGATAGTCGTTCGCTGACCGTGGGAAATCTTTACAAAAGATAGGGACAGAGAGAAAATTGATCATGCGTCTTAAGCCTCGTCCTAGAATTCGTATTTTCCGAGGTGTTTTCGTTCGTCGTCGTACGAATCTCTGCGCCTGTCACTTTCTGTTTTCAATTTTCATCACGAACCGTCACTGTCACTACATAGTTTAGTGCACAGAATACGTCTTCCTATAACAACTAATCAAAGTTTTCCTAGAACATGTCTTAATAAAGATTTACCTTTTAGAAATACAACGGTAGAAAGTATATAATATATCATTATATACATTTATTATCATTATGTAAATACATTTATTTTTCTTGATTGACGTCCCCGTTCATATATGAATAAAATTATTGATATCAGCTTAGATATTATGCATTTTATTTTAATATTATTTCATTCAACAATAATCTTCACCAACCCGAATCAGTCCACAGCAGGACATAAACTTAAAGAGTAATAAATAATAATTTAATTGACAAATTAAGAGAAGAGAGCTAAGATACAAAGAAACACATTTTTAATTGAAGGAATTAAAATGTAAAATGCATAATATATAGATGATAGAAACTACAGCCATGATTCAATGACTAAAAGCTCATCTTTTGATTGTGCCATGGACAACTATAGACTATTATATCTATATTGAAGTATCCTTTGTGTATAGGTATTCAGTATTGTGTAATGACATAAATGTCAACTTTAAACTAATGTCAATAGCGAGGTGGACCTGCATTTCGCTACTTCATTTTTTATTGTATTTATATTAATATTTATTTTCCTTTACGTACCAAAGTATTACAAGTCATTAGCAATAGCTTACAATACCGTGTTTTTTATTGATAAGCTCTAATATAACCTTATCTTCCAATATAAAATGTTAGATTGTTAGACAATTTTTAATCATGGCTGGTTTCGGTGACTACACTGGATTTAACCGTCCATATGGTTTGGATCAAAACAGGGAGACAAATGATTTATATGATACACGTTACCAACAAGTGTACGGCTATCATACACCGATAACCGAGGAGTATCAAGGTCCACCTTTGATTATGGACGAAACGCCGGAAGAAGGTAACGAAATCATCCGAGCCTTTAAAATAATATTTTATTTAATCGATGTCCACTAATTAAAATCGTTTTAGAGTCCAACGCCTTTGTAACCACAGCAATAAGTGTTGCAAGTCTTATAACAGAAAATCTGTTAAGCCATCCATTTATAGTGTTAAGGCGACAATGTCAGGTATAATTATTTTTTTTTACACTTGTAATATTAGTCTAGTAATGAGTTAAGTTCTATTATCTACTCAATAGGTACATAACAGTTTAAGAAATTACCACATAGTGCCGTACACTCTCTTGCCAGTTGTTGTGAGATTGCACAGACGACAGGATTTTACTACACTATGGAAGGGCATTGGCTCAACATGTATCGTAAAAGGTCTTAATTTGGCCGTTGAGGATGTTATATCGAAGGGAACAGGATGGCCGAAGTATGAATAATATAATAACTTATATATTTTGAAAAATACATGATTGCTTTTAATCATTTTTATTGCAATTCATATAGGAAAGTATAATATAACATTGATACCTAATATTGAATAAATCGATCTGATATTTAGACACTGGAAAAACTAGGCTTTTAATATTTTCTTGTATCAATAGCAACAATAAGTTATAGATGTACCTTTATGTACATTCATATCATTTGCAATATAGGGATTAATATTATATGATATAATTTTTCAGAGAGATAGGAAAATGTAATTCGGTATTGCAATTTCTTCAACATTTCACATTAAAATGGTAAGATCTTATATTTACACAAAGTAGTTACAATTATGTAATATGACATACTATGTATAATTTATTATTGTAGCATCAGCATTGCCCTCGTCACTCCGTTTTACTCAGCCAGTCTTGTAGAAACAGTTCAGAGTGATATTGCTAGCGACAAACCAGCAATACTTGATGTTTTCCGAGAGGGTTTTGTGCGTATTCTTGAATGGGGCACCCCTAGTCGTGGTAGAATGTTACCGATCTGGGCAATTGTCTACCCCACTGCTGCTCTCGGAATTACGAAATATTTTGCTCAGTACGTAGATTTATTCATTTAATGTATTAAAATACTTATGTGGTCTTAAAACAAATTACAAAGAGTAAAAATTACTTCTTTCTAGTTAAATAAAAAGAAAGATAACATAGATTTTCTTTACATTATAATGATACGTACATTTTTAATAATTTCATAATGTTTATAGTTTTTTTACGCTTTCAGCATTATTTTACGGAAAATAGCTGCAAAAGTCATACGCTTCCAACAGAGACACAAGCATGAACTAAGTGATTCTTATAGCGGGAATTACTCCAAGTCTCAAAATCCTCTCATAGAGGACATTAATGTGAAGGCCAATATATTTTCCTTTGTAACAATGGAAATTCTATTCTTTCCCGTAGAGACAATTATACACAGATTGCATATTCAGGTACAAATAAATAAATTAATGGAATTTTTGTAAATTTTCATAGAAAATGATGTTTATAAAGTTGATCTCATTTTAGGGTACAAGGACAATTATAGACAATTTGGACACAGGTACATCAGTGACGCCTATCTTAACAGGTTACGAAGGATTTCTGGATTGTTATAGCACTACTATAGCAAAGGAAGGTGTGGCCGGTTTGTATAAAGGTTTCGGGGCCTTGGTACTGCAACTTGCCGCACATTTGGCAATTATAAAACTAACAACGCTAGTTGTATCAGAAATGTCTAATTTATTGAAACCAGCCCATTCACCTACCAACTCGGAAGAGTCACACACACAACAGAAATATTTATTCAACTAGTAGCGACTTAGGAGATTATTTAAATAATGATTGTTAAAGCTTGTTGAATATCATGTAAATTTTGAGTTTTTTATAATATTATTTAAAACAGGATTGCTAGATAGAGAGTTTTCATAGGCGTTTTTATTTTTTTATAAATAATTTGCTTAGATTTAAGAGATGGTTATGTTTGTAAATTGATTTCTAGAATACAAATAAAAGTCGTAAATTATTTATTTTATATTATTTACTAACTTATTAAAACCTACTAACAATAATTCAATGGGTTAAAACAAATCTCCCTTTTAATAGTCGTCTCATAATAACTCTCCTTCCATTTGGGGTAGATATCCTAGTATTCCAGCCATGACGCCTCACTCGTCTAACTTCATTTGGTCGTGGGAAATAACAGCGAACTTTAGTCCTTATAGAAGCTAATAAAGGATATTCAGGCTTAACTAAACTAGTATTTGGCGAACATTGCCCAAATGTTTTTAAAGTGTTCGTCATAAACCTGTAAAATAATGTTCACATAACAATTGAAACATGACACTCTAGTTAATTCATTTATAGTTTTTACATACCGTAGTGGTTGGAAAACCGCGCTCATCAGCCTAGACATAGTGATTAACTTATATTTGAACCACCTAGGTACCTATGTCGTATCTACTATCTACTGTAAAATACAAGTTATACTCGTGAAAAGATCCGATGTCAATATCTCACACAGATTATATAAATTTTTGCAAGAGAAATTTTCACCATTCACAGATTAAAAAATAGCGGTTTGTTAACAAACATTAGTATGGTATCAGTGTTGTCATCAATATAATATTTCAAAACAAATTGGTACTGGAACGCATCTTTATAGAATAATGTCGATTGTCGATATGAAATTGAATATGGCGGACAAAAATAACAAGGGCGCTAAAAGATTATTTTCGTTATTCGTTGTAATCTCAAGGCAGTGATTATTTAAAACCAATTTTTAGTGATTTATATAGTATTTATTGTATAAAAATAGTGAATGTCAACCGTAAGTAATAATGTATATAAAAAGTTGTGAAGTGTATTCTATAGTTTTATTTTTTATTGCGTTGAGATATAAAGATATATAAAAGTTGAAGTGGTATGTATATATATTTAACTTTTTAGATAGAAAATGACAAATATAAAGGTTAATTTCGAGATTGGTCATGAAGCTTCTTTGAAATCTAAGAAAACTCCCGAAGGGTTCACTCATGACTGGGAAGTCTTCGTCCGTGGTCAGGAAGGTGCTGATATAAGTCATTTTGTCGAGAAAGTAGTTTTCTATCTTCACGAAACTTTCCCGAAACCAAAGCGAGGTAATGTATACAGTAATTATTAATTTTAATCACTTATCAACACACAATTTTTTTGTTTTGCCAAGAAGATTAATATAACTGACCATTTTATTATGACATGTTTACATAGTCACATTTTAATAATTATTATTTCTTATTAGACATTTTGTTGATAATCTAGTAATTTTTTATGTTATATAGAGTTGGATTTATCAAATAATGTGATATATTTGAAAAATTTTTTTTCTATTTAAATTAGTTTAATGTACTATCTTATTTATTTCGCTAACAAATAAATTAAAATATAATGATATATTTAAAAAACCAATATAGGCAATCTCCATTTTATTTACATTGTGGATTACACTTGTAATAAATATTTTAAACACTCGATTCTTTTAAAATATGAGATTACCTTCATCAGATAATATTTTTTGGAAGTGGACATTAGTGGTACAGTGATAATTTTCTCAGAATAAAACATTACATTTTCATCATTATTGATTTTTTTTTATTTTGTAAATTTTTCTTCATATTTTGTAGAGAAAAATAAACCGGCACTGTATGATTTTAATTTAAAGATTTAGATAAATAAGCATATAAACTGTGGAAATAAATAAAGACAATTATCCTTTGATACTTCAATTATAATATTAGATCCAGTTTAAATGAAAGTTAAAAATTAATAATTTTAATTTTTATATTTTGTTTAAGTATACATACATCCAAGATATTATTACTGTTATTTGAGTTAAATTTTAGTCTAGCCAGCTGGTAGAAAAGTTATTGTTCTATATGAAACTTACATATCAATATTACTATTTATGAGAGAAGAACAACAAATTTCTTCTTATATTAAAACTTTAAGATATTGTCATTTTCTATAAAATATTAATTATACCATTTATTACTTTTCAGTTGTAAAAGAGCCACCATTTTCTATAAAGGAGTCGGGGTATGCCGGTTTCGTGTTTCCAATAGAAATATACTTAAAAACTAAGGATGAACCCAAGAAAATCCAATTCACATATGATTTAACATTACAGCAATGTGGATTTTTAAAAGATAGGTATGTGTTTCAAAATCCAAGTGAGGAATTCAAAAGGAAACTTTTAAAAGGCGGAGGAATTCCCGTGAGTAACAGTTCTTATTACACAAACCCTGAACAGGAAAGTAGAAGTAGAGATTCGTTCACCGATGAGAAGCCACAACTTGTTAGCAAACCAAAATTATCATCAGACAATATAAAGAAACATAAAGTAAAAGAGTACAAAGATGAACAGCCGCATAAAAACATTTGTTTTGAAAATTTGTTTGGACCTCCTATACAGAAACCGCCAAAGGTTTCTCCGGATCCCAAGAAATTAGAGAAGAGTTCCGTATCTGCTAAGTCTGATAAGAAAGACAAAGATAGATCTGGCTCGGACAAGAAATCGAAACACGATCACAAAGAAAGCAAACAGGATAAGGTTAAAATTAAAGAAGAGAAGAGCAAACAGAAGGGAGAGAAAGTAAAGAATCACAATAAAGAACAGGATAGAGCTAAAGAAAAAGCAGCGAAACGACAAAATGAAAGACCTCCTTCCCCTGAACCGGCCAAGAAAAGATGTCCAAGTCCTAACAGAAAGTTGCCAAGTCCAATGCCTAGATCGAGTAGCGCATCTAGCATAAAAGAAGAATACAAACTAAAACATAATTCCGATAATTTTGAACACAGAAAATCTAAACTCGATGACAGAATACCAGATATAAAAGTAGAGAAAGATGTAAAGGAGAAAAAGAAGAAAGAAAAGAAGAGTCACGACAGAGATAAAGAAAGAAAAGAAAAGAAGGAGCACAAAAAAGATAGTCATAAGACAAAAGAAGAAAAAGAACCAATAAAGGAAGCACCTAAAGATATAGTCAAATCAAGAGAAGTTGTCAAGGAAAAAGAAGTTATAAAAGATTCACCAGTGAAAGAAAAACAAATAAAACCTGAAAAGACAGTGAACAAGTTTTCTATAGAAAATTTAAGGAAGACGCCTCCACCAGAAAATGTTGACAGGCATGATAATCACAAATCAAAGGAGAAAGGAGACTCTGAGAGAAAACATAAACACAAGAAAAAAGATAAAAAGAGAGACGAGTCGAAAGAAAAGCACAAAGAATCTAGCAAAGAGAAAAGGCATAAACATGAAAAAGTACGGGAAATACCTCAAGAGAAACCTGAGGTCATTGAACTAAGAGAAACACCTATTCCAAAAGAACGTCCAATACCTGAACCAGCCTCACCTATATCTATAGACACAGCATCTCAATGTAGTTCTAAGAGTGGTATAAATAAACCTATACATATAGTGGATGATGCAAACAGCAGTCATTCAGATTCAGAAGGATCAATCATAGCTGACGAAGAAGATGTTAAAGTTAAAATCGAAAACCATTCTCCGGAACCAATTAAAAGAGAACCTTCTCCTGAACCAGAACCCGAACCTGAACCGGAACCAGAAATAGAACCTGAACCGGAACCAGTAGTAGAACTTCCGCCAGTACAGAAAGAAAAGTCTAAAAAACATAAAGACAAATCAAAAAAAGAAGAGAAGAGAAGAAAAAGAAAAGCGGCGGAAGAAGAAGACGCTGAAAGTAGAAGAATTGCTAAAGCAGCGGCGACCGCTGACTCAGGACCTTCGAATAATGAAAATGATCACGGAGAAAGCAGTGGCTCAACATCCATGGAAACCAAAGTTCAGGATAATGGAGTATCAAGTAGTTTAGGAGAAGACGCAGAACCTGGGGACCTCTCACCCGACTACATGGTACAACTCAGAGGCCTTCAACAGAGAATCATGATGATAAAGAACAATGAAGATCTGGAAAGGGTTGTGAATCTTATAGCGGAGACTGGACGGTATGAAGTAACTACACAGACATTCGACTTTGATCTGTGTCTGCTAGATCGATCTACGGTACAGCAACTCATACAACTAGTGGGTTGCTAGCTACTGATTGACTCTTATACTATAGGTGTAAATATCACATTAATATATTATGCACTAAGGCAGTTTGATAGCTAACATTAATTCATCTGCCTCAAGCTTTAGGCAGATATGTTTTAAATATTTGGCTATTTTGCTGATATTGGATAGTGACTTGAAAATTTTTGCGTGTAGTAATATTTGTAAGAGTGAAAAGAAATAATCTCAAATGACTACTATCAAAATATATGTTCACTTTATATTTTAATGAAGTTGTAAGTGCAATATTGTATAGGTATATAAAGTTATAAGACTGTTGAAAGATTGTTAAATGTATTGTATATTTTGTACATTATATTGTATTGATTTATTATAACATAAGTTAATTATTTGAGAGTTTTTAATTAACCTCCCATGTCAAAGGGACTGAGAGAGGCTATGTTAATGAATTGTACGAAAAACACTAGTTATATACTTTTGACACAACAAAAAAACTTTTTACAAAGTAGTGATACTTATTTTGCACTTATTTTATTGATTTATGTTTATCCAATAAAGTTGAAATTCCAACGAGCTGCATAATAATATGTTTTAAGATTGTTATTAACATTCAATAGAGAGGTTGCGAGTAGAGTTACACTTTATATAAATGGTCCATTTTAAAAACATCCTTGTGAGTATGTAAATTACGTTTGTTATATAACTTATTTTTTTTTAATTTATCGCTTATTTTAGGTATATATTTATAATAAATAGAGTGTATATTATTTTTTTGTTTATATATTTTAATATAACCTTTTCGATAACCACAGCGGTTGATTTTGTATAGTGGTTGTATGAGTGCATTTATGGAATTCATTTTAGAATATTTTTCCTTAATTCGTTAGTACAAGTTCGGTTCGGTAAAACTAAACATTTTAATTTTGAATTTATCTTATTTTTCCTTTATTATTCATATTAATTCCTTTCGTACTTGAAATTTTGACCACGGATAGTTTCGATTTGATGAAATGTTATAATTTTAATAAAATTACAGAGTATAAAATCCTTTCAAAATCCGTCCAACCGTTTTGGCAAATAGCATTACAGATTTTTTTATAAACACAAATTTTATCTTGACATCACAAACAGTAAAATTGTATTTTTATATGTAGATTAAATATAGAAGAGGCTTAAGGCTACTTAACTTGGTGCTTGAAACAAAATTTTTAAACGTATTTGCTACCAGTGACGCCACATATGTCACAGAACTCAATTCCAAGTGATTTCTGATTTCATTTATGTTTGAAAAACGCATAAATAATAAAACAAAATTTTCATATGTTATGCAATAGCTACTGTATCTGTAAACATTTTTTCATTAAGTAATTACAGAAATAAATATATTTTAATCCAATTTTGATTGAACTCCTTACGATCTTCTCCCGAACTCGAATTTTAAGTATGGCACTAGTAATCTTAAAATTTTCTTTTGTAAAACTAAAAATACGAAGAAGTTTTTGTAACATCAAAACTTAGTTTGATTTCATTTATTAATAGACAATCACTAATAAATTGACAAATTAATTCCAAAATTTAAGGATAATAGATTAATTAATGGTTTTAACAGACATGGTAAACGGTTGAAAAATTGATTTTGTCAAAATAATATTTTAACTTTAATTGAAGTGTGCAAGTTTCTGCGTTGCACTTAAAAAGGCCAAACTCAAAAAAATATATACCTACCTAGTTAATTTCGGCCCTAATTGAATTACCTGAGTACAAATATTCTATTCAATATAGAAAAATAATCTTTTTACAATTATTTTTTCGTAACGAATGTCATCGTGAAATAAAAACCAATGTGAATGTATTTATTTATTAAAAATGACAGATAACAGAATATGACAGAAAAAGATGAATTAATTTCCCAGTATGATGAGATAGAGTAAATAAAATATTAGACTTCTAAAAAGAAAACATTAACTAAAAAAATTGAAATGAATCTTTAACGACGAAAGCATTATAACTCAAGGTACAATGACATCGATCGTAGTATCGCATTGCTCACATTGAACTTTCAGACGGATATCTCATGATCCGTTTTCCGTGGAGCATCTCGACTTCCCATTTATCGATCAAGACCGGTATCGGTTTTAATTTCTTTCATCTTTTCTTCCCGTTCTTATGGAAGGTTTGCCGCCATTTTGCGTAAAAGTCACCTATAAACTTGACAGATATTCCCGCCGCTTGAGCCGTGCCTGTTGGACTGAAATCTTTGTATTGCTCCTCACTGCCTGGTTCGTTGCCGACCAATAATATTAGTATCGGCGCGCTTTTTCCGTGTATAGAATTATCTGGATCACCATTTCCACCTAGAGCTTGCTTCTCATCTGATATGAAGTGATTACAAAATTCCAATATTTGTATGAAATTGTGTACATGTGGCGGCGCTTTTGGAGGGTACTTTAGTAGTGGAATTGGTTTCGACTGTCCCGGTCTTTGTGTCCTGAGGAATCTTGATCCGCTCTTGAGTTGTATTTCCAGCCAACGAATCGCGTCTCGAGCTGAACTGCGCTCACGTTTTAGATCATCGAGCTCTTGCAAAACTGAAAAACAATTTTATATTACACATTTTTTGGTTATTATTGGGAGAAAACAAGTAAGATTTACCTTTAGTGGGAGATGCCTACTAATATTATAAATGCGAAAGTAACTCTGTCTGTCTGTCTGTTAAGCTTTCACGCCTAAACCACTGAACTGATTTTAATGAAATGTGGTACAGAGATAGAGTTGACCTTGAGAAGGAACATAGGATAGCTGTTTTTATCCCAGACTTTTGAAAGGTTCTCTTGGAAACGCGATATAACCGAAGCTCACGCGGGCGGAAAGCTAATAATTTGATAATTAAGTTAATTGTGAATAACTTACCCACAGTTGGTACTAGGAATATAAAGTTCCTAGTACGCACTAGCTGCTTCACTCTACGCAAGTGTTTGTGTAGTGTTGCCGAGTCCACAGCTAGCAGTGAGGGCACGTCCTGGCCCGTACGTTCTAGTTCGCGGACCTGTGAGGCCAGCCATAGACGACCCAGACGACGAAGAATGTCGCTATCAGACTGAAGATAATAAAATATTCCCTTTAATTAAATACCATACAAACATTGAGTTATCCTACTAATATTATAATTGCGAAAGTTTGTGACTGTGTGTGTATGTTTGTTACTTCTTTGGCTGAACCGATTTTGATAACATTTTGTATACAGGAAGCTGACGTCCACGAATAACACATAGGCTACTTTACATCCCGGAAATCCGCGGGTAACACGCGGGACGCAGCTAGTAATCAATAAGTAACAAGTAAAACTTCGATTAAGAATATCGATTCTTATTAAGATTTCAGGAAACTCAAATTCCATCTAAAATAGAAGTTACTAGAATGAATGAAAGTTGTGTTGTGATAATTATAGTACATCGTGAACTGGTCATGCTACTATAAAAGCTAAGTTAATTCTTATTCTACTTTCTTTTATACGTTTTATCGTTTTGTACCACTAAATCTGGCCGAATCCAGCTGTGAAAATAATTTTCAACAGTATAAAATATCGCTTAAATATTTTATTTTTAACCCACAATTTACGTCATTCAGCACCCACACATTATCTAATAAAAATATGTTATCTACCCTCAACACAATAAACCACAATTACTATTTCACTTATTTTTTATATTATTCGTGGTTTAAATTGAGACTATTTTGATAAGATATAATATTTCACAAAAATAAAAAAATAAATAACGCACCTGTTTTTTTGAATTGTGCCATTCTCTACTCTTCTTATGATTAACTTTCGTGGACACCTTCGGAGGCAGAACTTTCTTGAAATAGAATATTTTCAGTGTTCTATTGAATCTTATTCTGGGAACAATTTTAGCTATCTGATATCCGAAATCTATGAATGTTAATATTCTTATAACATTTTCTTCTAAAAGAGTTGGTTTCATTTTATCTAATATCTGCCATTCGGCTGCATCTTTGTCAAACTTGCAGATATTAGTTCCTCGAAGTTTTATGTCCTCCGGTAGTGGAATTGTCTTGAATTCAAGTTTTAATTTCTTAGCTATATTCTTGGAGTACTCAAGGATCTTACAATTTGCTGGAACTTCGCAGTTCTTTGAATTGAAGTAGTAAGTAAATATGTTGAGAAGGTCTACGACGCATTGGAAGAGCGATTCGCCGCTATCACCACAAGATAATATAAGCTCCTTTTCGGTTAGAATCCAATCTAACAACAGTTTTATGCTTGGTAGAAAATTATCACCAAGTAGAAATCGTTCAATGGCCTGGATGTTAATGAAATCATTTTTTGGGTTCTCTGTTTTTGCAGGTTCCTTATTATTTTTGTTATTATTTGCCTCTTCGGCGATTTTGTTGTCAATCTTATTTGTATCACCATTAGTCAGTATGTTTTCATCGCTAGCGTTAGGGTTAACCTCATTAATTTCGCCATCGGAACCATCGTAAGCTGATCCTTCGCTTTTGGACTCATCGTCTGATTGGAAAGTAGAATCTGATAGATCGTCTTCCGAGTCAGATTTGTCTGAACCGATCAGACTGCTCTCAGTTTCCGCGTCACTAATATCTGAACTCTCGGATGATGCAACGCGCCGTCGGCGACGTCGTTTGGCTAAGGTCTTCTTACTGTTTTTAGTATCACCGTTGTTCACCAAAGGCACTTCGGTTTCTGGACGAGTTTCTTTCGGAGAATTTTCCTCAATTGCTGTCAAATTTTCTGTGTTTTCTTCATTCTTCTCGCCATTAACTACATTTTCCGTTTCTAAAGTCGTAACTTCCACTTCCTTCTCTTTGTTATATTTCGACGCGAACTTCGACACATACTTATGAGCTGGATTTTTTAAACCAAATGATTCTATTTGCTTCAGTAGTTTCTGTAGTACTTGAGATAAAAATGCCAATGTAAATGCTTTACATGGAAATGCTTTGACTTCATCTGTATCATTTAGTTTTGCTATTGTAAACAAACAAATTTGGACAATATTGTGAATTACACTAGAATTCAAATGAGATGGATTGATATTTTCTTCTTCCACAGCTTGCACATACTCATTATAATTCTTGTTTGGATCTGGCAGAGGCATTTTCGTAAAGTCCATAGCCATCTTTAGTTGAAGTGCTATAGTGTTACATATTTGAGATATATCTACATTTTCTTTACCGAGATACCAAATTTCAATCAAAGATAAAAAGTTCGCTATTGTCACTTGCATGTGTTCCGGCTGGGTCAATACTTTAGTATTGACCAAAGTCTCACAGAATTGATTGTTCTTGTCAAAAATCTTTGTCAAATTACCCATTGCACCCTCAAATGGTGTCAAAGTGTTCAGACAGTGTATGTAGTATGAAACTGAGTCAAGATTATAATTTTTGTCCAAGTAAAGATTGCCAAGTTGGTTAAAAGGCATGCCCACAGTGAAATCAAGTTGTGCCGCTTGAAGATAGTATCTCGCAGCTAATGTACTATCAAATGTATTGAATATCTCAACTTGGTATCGACTGAGATCGCCAAGATAAATCAGGCATGAATACAACACAAATCTGCCGAGATAACCCTGCTCTTCTGTTGAATCATTAGTAGCGCTGGCAGGCTCGGAGTCATCCTCATCATACAGCGGCAAATAATCTAGTTCTTTAACTTGAACATTCATTTCTGAATGTACTCTGGTCATCAGATGGTTGAAGTGGCCAATTCCACCCACGAGGTGCATGAATAAGTAATTGTCACACCCATTATCATTCTCTCGAAGTTTCTTGGCAACACTTACGGTGTCATAATAGACCTTCCGCCACAGAAGTTCAAGGCACTTTTTACCATAGTTAATGGGATCAAGGAAAAATAATTTCTCACAGTTGTCTCTTAGTTTTTGACGTTCCAATTCAATCTTAGTGGTAAAGAGTTCTGTTATAGATTTGCAGTTTGCCGTTGCTTCACCAAGACGTCGCGCTACTTCGTTTACATACCTAAAAAATATAGCAGACTAAAATATACTCAATATACTTCAACACTAGCTGTTTAGTTTGTTTTTGTTTAACAAGTGGGTGGCTTTTAGTCATTGTTTATTTAACATATTGAATTGTTTGTTTCAAAGACTTAAGAGTTATGACGTGAAGTTTATTCTCACCTGTAAACCTTTTTAGCTCGCTCACTACGCCCCAATATTATAGCATCCAAATCATCACACCCGTTCTTCATTTTCAAGTCATTTTATTTAACATGACAAGATGTTGATATCAAATAAATTCTCGGATTCCACCAATACCGTAATGGTTGGCAATTAATATCATTTCTCTATCAACATCGCACCAATTTTTAACAAATTAAATGAACTTATTTTGATACATCAAAAATAACATCGTAATAAAAATACTTTAAATGTGATTGATTAACGTGTAAAAAATGAGGTTCGGGGGGATTTTCCAGTTGTCACTATACAATTGTCAAACCTCAATGACAAATATTATTTTAATTATCTTATTGGAAAAATATTTTATCACCTGATTAATTCACTATATTAAACTAAGTACCATTAAAAAAATAAAACTGGTGCAAATAATTATAAATATTTAAAAAACCTATAATTATCATTGGAAGGCTTTATCATTGTATTAATTATAAAATAAAAATTTTATCTTAAAAGTATCTCAAAGGAAATCTTATTCTATAATTAAATTGTAAGCTAAAAACTACTCAATAATTTTTATTGGAAATATATTGTAAACGTCTTGAAACGTCCCTAATATGTAGGTGGTATGTCAAACTCGTCTGACAAGTTATCAAGTCTCAAAAATCGTGATTAGGACTTTTAAAAACATTAAACATTAACGTTATCATTGTTATCTGATTGTTCTTTAATGCAAACACAATATAAAGGCAATCAACAATAAGGACATATTTCGTTGTATTCGAGTTGAAATTTTAACTATTCTGCTAATACGTTATAATGGAAGCAATGGAAAGCCAACCTTGTGTATTTTTAGGAATAAAAGTGAAGTCTGGACCCATCGAACGTTTTAAGCTTGAAAATTTCACGCTGGATAACACGGTAGATAAATTAAGAGATCAAGCCGAGAAGAAAACTGGTCTACCATCGTCATCCTTAGGTAAAAACAATTTTATTGAAGACGCATTCCTATAAAACATTTTAACTCATTTATTTGTTTCTTTAAAAAATATAAGACTAATTTCTTATCTGTGTCACAATAAAATTCCAGAATTGATCCATCATGGTAAAATTTTAAAAGAATCTATTTCACTAATGGAGAGTGGTATAAAAAATGGGGAGATGATACATGTTGTGAAAAAGAAGGTCGTCCTACCACCACCACCTCCACCTACATATCCTGATTCAGCATTACAACAGTTGAACATATCTCTACGAACATTAGGATGTACTCCTAATGCACCAGGATGGACTAGAGCTATGCAGGTAATAACGCTATATATTTATTGATTTAACACTTTTTTGTACACCACAATTACAAAAAAAAAATACAAACTAATAAACTAATGGTGAAACAAAAGGCGGCCTTATGGCTTATTAGCCATTTCTTTCAGACTACCTAGGCTTAGAGGATTGTGTAATTTAAACTTAAGATAAAAATTCTAAGAGAATGTTTGTATTTTTTTTCTTCTTCTTTAGTTTGTGGTGTTTCCTTATAGATTTATGTATCAACATACATATATGCAGTGGCGGCCGGTGGGTAAACGAACTGGTGGTGCACTTTACTAAAATATTAAAATTAGAAAATGCAACAAGACAAGATAACGAGATGTTAATCATGGCTCAATTCGTCATTCATCGGGTGCTCTCGGTAACCTTCGGTCGCTCGTGCGGTGCTCGAGAACCGACTCATGACTCGGTACATTTCTATGAACTATCTTTTGTTTCACGCGTCAGGCGTATTAATGCGTATCTCATACAAGATGTATTAGCAGTCCTCGTGCACTCGCCGAAGCGCACGATATGAGTTTAGTAAAGCCCTCAAACTTTTTGACCATAATTAGGAAATTTACTTTTTTATATGTTTTAAAAATAAATATTAAAATGATAATTTAAAAATAAAGATGAAGTAATATTTTGTAATTATTAAATCTTTTGAATTGGTGGTTCAGCGCACGAGTGCACTTAAGGTACAGCCGCCACTGCATATATGTATCCTTAACGTTTTTAAATTCAGAACAATTCTTAGACCGAACGATTTTATTACTATAATTGACATCTCTGAATGTAACTACATAATTTTTATAAAAAATGTGTATGTGCTGTTGTTTGTGTACCTATATGTGATAAATGATAACTTATCTGGCAGCTTTAAATTAGTCTTCTTCTTCTATATATATAAAAATGGATTGCTGTTCCTTAGTCTCGCTAAAACTTGAGAACGGCTGAACGGATTTATTTTATCTTAGTCTTGAAATGTTTGTGGAGGTTCAGGGAAGGTATAAAAGGTGAGAAAAATTGATTCATTTTCGGGAAAACCCTAAAAACAGCCCTTTTCTATTTCCCATACAAATGTTTTCTTTGACATTAGATTTGACAACTAACTAATATGTCAATCATTTTGTACGGTTGAAACAGGAAAAACCAGATTATTTATGGCCTCTAGGACGGAATAGAGTTCGCCCGGTCAGCTATACACATATTACTAACTAGAAGACCTGGCGAACTTCGTATCGCCCTATAATCAAGAAATATCTATTACGTTTTTTTATTTATATTTTTGGAGTTTACCTGTAAGCCATAAATCTGCGTGTTTTGAAGTGCGACAGAATGATTGACATATTAGTTGTCAAATCTAATGTCAAAAAAACGTTTGTATGGGAAATAAAAAAGGGCTGTTTTTAGGGTTTTTCCGAAAATGAATCAATTTTTTTCAGCTTTTATACCTTCCCTGAACCTCCACGAACATTTCAAAACTAAGATAAGATAAATCCGTTCAGCTGTTCTCGAGTTTTAGCGAGACTAAGGAACAGCAATCCATTTTTATATATATATAGAAGATGATGAAATTAACGCGGACGAAGTCGCGGGCAAAAACTAGTGTATGATAAATAATGTCTGGGACTTTTAGTATTCACCTCAGCTTTATTTTTTTGTATGGAACCAACTTAGTGAAACACTTGATTTGTAGAAATTAAAAAATATATATTATTGTCTTCCTTACAACAGCATTGTTATTAATGTGTCCCATCTTATATTTTGTCCCTTAGCCAAAAACACCGCTCAAGTCGAAAATTGGTGGTTTTTACATTTTAAAGCCATTGGATGAAACTGCGCATTGCTTGTCGAACCAAAATCATCAAAATATCTATAAATAATTATTTCTTAAATGCTAACTAGTGTAGATATTAAGTAGCAATAGAAAAAGCACAGATACTTTAAAGTAGACAGTTTTTTTCATCTCCTGTAAAGTTGATAAAAATGACTTAAGTGGTGTTGTAAGCTAAGGTACAATATTGATGATTAGTCATCAAAACTTGCTCATAAAAATGATTAAAAATGTACTTTTCTTTGTTTCATTGACAGATTTTTGTCTAATTCAAAATCATTATAAATTCATGCAATATGCTTATAATTTACAGTTACTCAATGAAGAATCAGCTATATCCGAGATACTAGAGCATGCTCCATCATTAGCCGATGATTGCATGACAATCTCCATTTTGCATGAAGTAGAGCTCTTGGCAGCCCTTGGAGCTAATTTGCAAACAATGCGTCGTGGTGCCGACGCTCATCCAGAGTTACCAAACGCCTTACGACATCTACTAAGGCTTACAAATTCACAGTCTAAAAGTGCTACACCCGATTCTGGTAAGCCATATAGTTTAAAAAAACTAATAATTTCAATAGTAAGAAACTAATAATAGCTAGTAGTACTAATATTAAGTATGTAGTGAATTCTGGTAGTATGAAATTAATAATTTCGGATTGCTTATTTTATTATTTTAAACTACATAGTCCTGATATTTCGGTTACTTTGCAGCAACCTTGATCATGGGTAAACAAGATGTGAATCACATATAAATAATAAAATATCTACGAAAGCCTTAAATCTCATTAATATAATCTTCAGTAGAATTTGTAGATAACAGTGAAGAGTTTGACTCTCAATATGAGAAATATAACAAATACTTGAATGGAACATTTTATACTTCATAATTTAATTTTTCTTTTAAATGAAACTAATATTTTAGGATTTATTAAGTGATTTTTTATTTTTGATTATAAACTACATACTCCCCACGTTTCGGCTACTTTACAGCAGACGAGATCACGAGTACTTGCGAAAATCTTAGATTTCATTAATTTTTATTTTTGTATTCTTATAATTGACTAAGAGAATATATCATTTTCAGCCTTAATGTCAAAGATAGTTATAATTTATACATATGTAATATATTGCAGCACCCACATCAGGCTTTGCTTATTCTTTGGAAGCCCTCTCCGAAGACGAAGATGTTGAGGAGGAGGAAACGGAAGAGGGTGAGGAACGATCAGCCATCACACCAGAACAACTGGCTTCAGCATTACAGGTACATGATCATTAATATTAGTAGAAAAATAACAAATATTGCCTATTATACTTCTATTTGAACTATTATTTATGATAAATTGCTATAAAATTCTCCTGCAAGTTAGCTCTGCCAGATTTGATGCTAATGCAACGGCTTGTAGATTTGATTGTGGTATACCAAAAGTTGCAAATATGAATGCTGATTGTGAAAATGAAATTTTTCCTTCTATGTCTCCCACTTGATTCTTCCTACTTACCAACTCATCACATACTAAATGAAACTAATATTTTTCGGATATACTGTGCAGATATACTTTATTTTTGTAAAAAAACTACATATTATATTTTTACATATACGCATTTTTCCTGTGTATATTTTTGTTTTAAATATTTTAGGCATTTTTAATAAATAGATATTTAAAAAAATACTACCGACGTTTCGACTACTTTTCAGCAAGACGAGATATGAATGTCTGTTGCCTTGATCACGGCTGCTGAAAAATAGCCGAAACCACTTCATTTAAATGAATACTCGCAATCTTAGAACTTATAAACACTTACTAAAATATACATAATATCCATCAACAGGTAGCCACTCAAGCCCTAATGTCACGTCCGGGACGTTCGCGAAGTGTTCGTGGTGTACTCCACATGCTTCAAGATCAACCTACCACCACTTCTACCACATCTACCACAACCACAAGCGAACCTACCACCGCCGGTGGCGCCATCACGGCTGAAATGTTCGACGAAGCCATCATAAGAGCCCTACGACCTATGGAAAACACTACTGCTGGTAAATTTATATATATACTACCTGCGATTTCAGCAACAAACATACACACACACTCACTAAATTTAGCAATTATAATATTAGTAGCATATACTAGTGTCGATTATATGACAAAAAATAAACATACAAGTAAAGAACTATCAAAAATATTCAAATTGAAGAGAATAGATATTAAATTGTCATACATACTTATTATGACAGTAATTAAAAATAGGACACTAAGTATCTAATCTAAATCTCGTATATTTACGAGATTTATAGTAATAGTGAATTTATAGAAAGCAATGACTGCAAAAGAAAAGAATTAATAAAATTAATTAAGGATTGTTATGTCACAGACCGACAGAAAGGCGTTGACCTTGATTGTTCAAATAAAGATAAAAGTAAAAATAAATCTGCAAATAGTAAACTTAATGTTCCAAAGTTTACTATTTGCAGATTTATTTTTACTGCGTCTTTGTTTAGCAGTGTCATAACTTGGTGATGTTATATTATCTGATATATGATTAGAACAAACATTCAAGAAATAATTTATGAAAGCTTAATTATCACACATTTTAAATCTAAAAGGCTCGAAATGATAAAAGATTTATAGTCAATTCCACATTAGTATATATATTTATAATTTTAACTTTTAATATATGTACCTTTTATTATTCTTAAAGCAAATTTATACAGAATATTCTAGAATTCTCTGGGGAGAGACTATATATTATATTCTCTTCTAGAAAGTTCTAAAAGTTCAAACAATTATATATATTTAATATATGTGCAGCCTCTTCGTCTCAAAGTTCCGGACGTGATTCAGACTTCACAACACAACTCAGTCACATGCATGAAATAGGATTATTGGACGACGCCATCAACGTCAGAGCGCTCATCATATGTGCAGGTATGAAACCTCGTTAGTGTGGAAACCTCATTGAAAAATTAAAAAGAAATCATTTCTAAATGACACCGGCGGAATAATATACCGCCATATATATATAAGAGAACCTTTCAAGTCTGGGATAAAAACTATCCTATGTTCTTGCTCAAGGTCAACTCCATCTCTGTTCCAAATTTCAATAAAATCAGTTCAGTGGTTTAGGTGTGAAAGCGTAACCGACAGACAGAGTTACTTTCGCATTTATAATATTAGTAGGGATTATGTACGATTTTAGTCAGTGGCTGCCTAGTGGTTAAAGTCCCGCCTCTTGTACATAAGGGCGCGGGTTCGATCCTGGCAAGTATTAATGTGATTTTTCCGAGTCATATGTACTTTTTAAGAGTATTTAGATACCACTGATAGAGGTTGAAGGAAAACATCGTGAGGAAACCTGGACTTATAATTTCACAATTATATAAGTTTGAAATCACCAACCCGTCTTGAGCAAGCGTGGTGATTAATGCTCAAACCTTCTTCATGTGAGAAGAGGTCTTTGCTCAGCAGTTGGCTCTGATAGGCTGATGCCGATACACCATTTGCCATTACTTAAGAATGGAAATTTAAAAAAAAAAACTGTTACCTCAGAACTAATAATTTACTTCTTAACAGTGTAATCAAATGTATTTTTCTCAGTAATTTATTTTATAATTATTTAATATTATTGTACAGATATATATAACACGTAAAGAAATGATAAGTTCATAAATAAAACATTGTAGACGGGCGAAGCTGAGCAACGTCTGGTCTCTATATAAAATTATACTAAATATAGTAATTGGCAGACTTATATTCTGTATAGCCGTCATCGTATGTTTATTTTGTAGATAATAATAACACCTTGCCAAAGTCTATTGACATAACATGCGTCATTTGTTTATACATATGTACCGGTGAAAATATATTTCACACAACATACTAATATTTACGTATATTGTATGCTATTTTTATATACATATTTTTATGATCCATATATTCCTGTTCTCAAGGAAATTTTTAAATGATTTTGTCGATGTATTCAGATAACATAAGGTTTATTTAAATTTTATTAAAAACTAGCTGCGCACCGCGGATTTCCGGGATGTAAAGTAGCCTATGTGTTATTCCTGGACGTCAGCTTCCTGTATATAAAATTTTATCAAAATCGGTTCAGCCGTTTGAGCGTAATGAAGTAACAAACATACACACACACTCACAAACTTTCGCAATTATAATATTAGTAGGATAGTAGGATTATTTTATATTCACATGTAAGTAATATTATTGTTTTTTCCAGGTGACGTCAACGCAGCTATAAATCTGGTGTTCAGCGGAGCTATTGGGGATGATTAAAGCAAACGATGCAGTTAAAATTAAACTTTGTTTATTTTCTAACACTTAGAATTTTGTTTGCTTAAAAACTAAAATATCACTGGATGCCATCCATCAGGCAATGTAAATACTGTGACCGTGAATACATTTCATTCACTATTTTTCTTTGTTTTATTTCCAATAATCAATTACATTTAATATCAGAAAATCTACCATCTATTTATAATCTAACATCAATACATTTATTTAAAATATATGTGTTGATAGTGCAAGTTTAATAAATAAATTATATAAAAGATAAAAGTAAGTAATGTCAATAATAAAATCTATCAAGGGATATCTATGAATAATTATGAAATCAGAAATAAGTATTAAATGTCACATCAAATTTAAACTAAATGCTTTCTAAAAGCCTCTGACATTCCGAGGGGTGCATTCAATGTAGTTAGTGCTTAGTGTTTCATTTTATAATTCATATTGCGTTTGGAGAACTTTTGGTTGGTGTTGTTGGTACCCTTGGCGCGGCATTGTTCCCTACGTTGCATCCGGCGGAAGTACCAACCGGCTGAGTTTGTTTCTTCACCGAATAATTCCTCTTCCAGCCTCCTCATCTCAGCACGATATGATCTAGAATCCTTAACATGTCCCTCTCTGTTCTCAATATGCTTCTGTTTCTTGTCAAATTTCGTCTCACTGTCTTTGTAACAATGATTGCTTCCACATTTCTTATCAAAGGTTTCAACTTTCTCGTGGCCTTGAGTATCTGCCACCTTGTCTTGAGATGTTTCCGAGAGCTCGTCGTAATCCTTCATGAATCCCTCCTTCATTTCCCACTGTTCATATTTATTCCTCCTCTTCTGCTTCTTGTATATCTTCTGACGGTCGTGTTTTTTCCTTTCTCTCTTATATTTTGGTCCATTATATCTGGTGTCTTTGACCAATTCTTCCTCACTAATGGGATTCTCATAACCACTTTCGATGATCTTCTCCTTTTTAATCCTTTTGCTTCTAGGATAATTTGAGGTGTTGGTGTTAACTTTAAAGTTGCTTTCTTTCTTTCCGGTGTTGTTTGAAACATTCAGTGAGTCCGCATAGCTAATAATTTTTGGTGTGTCAAATCTAACAGTAGATTCATTTTGTTCATTGGGTCCTTTGAAAATGTTTTCATTATTTTCTGTCTTTACCTGTTCCTGTGGTTCTTTGTCTTCATAATTTTTTTTATATTTAGTTGCTTGACGACTGTGCCTCATTCTCTTAAGAGATTGTTCTTCCTGTTGAAGTCTCAAGGCTATTTCGTCATCCAACCAATGCTTATTTTCCAGATAAATATTTTTCAATTTATCAATATTCCCTTTGAACTCCTTTTCCGAGCCAGGTTCGTTAAATTTATTATTGTTATTCTGTACTTTTAAAGGAAATTCTGTATAATCATCAACACATCTCGTCGGTTTATAATTTTTTTCGTAACTTAAAGATTCTTCAAATACTTTTGCACATCTGTTATTTTTAGACCCTTTGAATTGGAAATTTTGATTGGCTGTCAATTCTTTAAGTTTGCTCCGTAAATAGGCATTTTCCTCTTGTAATTTATACAGACTGGACAAAATGTTATTGACATTTGGTGTTGAATTCATCAAGCAGTCAGTTTTGGCTCCCCACATGTGACCGATGGCTACTCCTGCTGCTGTAATTACACTGCCGAGAACTATTATGTTCAAAACCGTGCTCAATCTCTTGTTTCTTCTGTGTACATAGGTTTTATGCTTTCCAGTATCCATTCCTAGAAAATCATCGTTTCTGATATGTTCATCGTCATGTTCAGGAAATGATAAATTCAGAGGGCAGTGGGTCTTTGGTTCCTGATCTTCTTCATACAAAGTTTCAAAATGCATCTGGCAAGGAGCAACCGAGTCGGGATCGCTGTCACTTATAATGGATATACCATCTGTGTCTTCATCTTTATCATGACTTTCCACTTTTTCTTTTTCACTGTAACAGATTATTATATAGTGTTGTAGTTTAGTGCAAGGTAATTAAAATAAATATAATATAAAAGATATGAAAATAGTTATCCAATTGTCATTGTTTGTTTATTAAATATAAATTTTATCAGTAATCGATATTTTTAGGCGGCCTATTACATTTTGATAACTATGATAAACAAGAGATTAAAATTTCTCGATAAATTAAGCAGAACAAGGTCGTTCATTTAGTATATATAAAAATGCATTATCTGGATGAGAAATACATTCTTTGAAAAATATTTTTATATTTGGTAATGAAAATGAATTATGGCTGCCAGTGAAAATAATATAGCTCTAAATATATCATAAATGAATATGTTTATAAATACATTTTTATTGGACGATCTATTAGTTCCAGAGTATCTTCGGCAAGACTCGTAGTAGGCTCAAGTAAAGTCCAGCTTTCTCCTGAGTCAGAATCACTATGTTCTAAAGGACCATCCATTTTTCAAATATCTGAAGAAAATTCACCTCATTATCTTTTCTGCGCATAACAACATAAAACGCAATATACTGTCGCACTTACCAAAAAACACTTGATAATTTTTATAAATTATATACCAAATGTTTAGGAATGGTTAAAAAAAATTATATAGCTATAATATTATGAACATGATTGTTTTTTTGTTTTCGGTAAACAATATGTCACACATCCGATACTGCGCGATTGTGTTTTGTTTTTGCCAATTTATACGAATATGACATTTGAGTTGACGCAGGTCCAGGTCTTATAGGCTTGCCAACTTAAACTTTCAAGGTATTAAATATTGATCTCCAATAGTACCAACTCAAAATATGAACCAGCAAGCATGTTTATTTTATATATAGTTAATAACTACTTATTTCAAAAAAAAATTCTATACGCCTGTTTCAGTTTGAGATGAGGATCCACAGTCTCCACTTCCTTATCCTACAGCTACAGCTTACTCGTACAGATTCATTGATGGAAGTAAAATTATTTAAGTTGATCAAGAATATTTGAGTGACTATAATTTTATTATAATTGTATATACACGGTTAAAGGAGAAGTCGATGTAGATCCGTTAAGGGCGTATAGTTGACAGCATTTATAACTATTTTTCTGTGAAACACCTTGCCCTAAACTTAACCATTTTAGAGCTATTTGACCATTAGTTTTTATTAAAGTTAGGTACCGCATGTTTGGATATTAAATTGCATACTTTGAAATTTGTTAGTATAATTCGTATTATTATTTACTTTTTACAATCAAGATAAGATGTTTATGACCTCAATAACCAGAATTGTGGGTAAATAAACCTATTTAGGTTTTACCAAACATTGAAAACCATTGAAAGTTCAAGGAAATAATAGTTTATTTTTTCTCTCTTCTATTTTCTACATTTGTGTATCTTTCTTTCCCTCTCCGTCAGCGTAAAATGTTTAACGCAATCTTGTTGGAAGTCTCATGAGAAGTTTCACTTCAAAAAAACTGTATTGTGGGTTGAGTCTTTAAACGCGAAAGAAGTGAAACTTCATAGGTAGTTAGAAAGAAAACAGGAAGGGAAAGAAATTGATTTTTAATCAATTTTGTGTTTCTTTAAGACAAACTTCATTAACATTACTTACAAGTCAAAATTACCTACCCGCATGCTTTCGAGCGCCACGTATTCCTTCTCGCTGTCCGTTTTTATAAGAAGCGTGAAACATTTAACGCAACCTTGTTAGAAGTCGCATAAGAAGTTTCCCTTCAATATAGTATAACTTAACAACTCATTTTTGATATGGAGATTTTAAAAAAGTGCAACCTGTCGATTTAAAACAGATAAAACGTTTGTACGAATCAAATTTCAAAGAAAAAATTTGTTTTACAGAAAATAAATAATCTTAGTAAAAAATCAAGTAAGATGAAATTAGTAAACAAAAAGGTCATTGCTTATATAAATTAAATAACTTAATTAAACCTAATTATGATTTGTTCTTTTTATGTTAACAAACCAAATTTTATAAGCATATTTGTCAAGATATAGCTCATCTATCCACAAGTTAGGTTTCACACTAAAAAGAGTATGAAAATGTAATAAAAAAATTAAAAGAAAATACAAACACAGTACTTAATACTTCATATACTTTATTTGGAATGCTATTAAGCAAATTTTTCAACACTTGGATCTGGTATAGCATAGTTCTTGTTACACGTAAATGATATAGTCATCGCATATCTCACTCCCGATGTAACTTTTTCAACATAGTGTAAATTCTCAGCTCCGCTGGTAAACATGCTTAATCTCCCTTTCCGAGGTTCAACTGTGTAGTTGTAGTTGCTATCAATGAAAACAAACTGGCCACCTTTGAAGTCTATGTTGTAATCGCCCAAATAGAGCAGCGTTGTGTAATGGAATGACTTGTAGGACTCCTAAAATAAAAAATACATGTACATAAGCAACAATATTACAGCATATAAATTAAATTGAAATCAGGTGCACTATTTCTTTCTATTTGAAACATATAAAGAAGCTTTTTAGTTTTTTATAATTGTTTTGAATGAAAAGATATATAAAGCAAAATTTTTGTATTAATAGTTTTAAAAAATTTGTTTTACTTACTTTATCAACATGGGGATGCCAGTATTCATCATGGATTGTAACAGCTTTCTTTGTGCTTATTTCAGAAAAGAATGTTGGAAAAGTCAAGTATATTTTAGTTGGCTGAACTCCAAAGTGATGAGCAATAGCATACTTGATTTTGTCCTTCACCACCTGAAAGCATTCATTAAAATATTTAAAAATGAATACTTAAAAAATCTTTAAAATAAATGGTTCAAAATTAGATTTAAAAAAAATAGATAAAAATAGTAAAAGACTAAGTTATATATTACCCTAAAAGTGTTAAAGTCATTCTGATCAAAGATATTTTTCATTTCTTTTAATTTATAGAAATTAACAAAATTTGAGCCTTTTGATAAGGCTCCACTATGAAGGTCTAATATAGATGCCCCTCCTAGAGAACCTCCATGTTTTAAACCTCTCTTTGCCATATTTAAAAGCTCGTCAGCCTCTTTTGCAGATATAACGGTATCGGTAACATATCTTTTACAATTTTTTGGTGCACAGCCTTCATACTCATCTAATTCTTTCATATATTCAGGGGAACAGTCAATAATCAATCCTTTCCCTGGAATAACTTCCGTTTGTTTGGCAAAAGTCTTCGTTTTATCTTTTGCTGATATATAAACAATTATAAATAGTGAAAATATGACTACACTCCGACAGAGAAACCTTAGAAGTAAATTTTTACTTTGTGATCTGTAAGAAAAACAGTTCTTAATATTTGCATTGATATTGAATAATTCTTTTTTATTTACTTACGCATTTTCTTTAGCTTTTTTTTCTTCAGACTGTGAGATTTTTTCGGTGCTTATATTTTGTTTGTTTCTCTTTTTTAAATCCGACATTTTTCTTAGTTACAATTTATATTTACAGTAAGTGTCATATAACTTCAAGAGTGGATTGATTAGTATTAACAAAGACTCCAATTTTTAAGATTTATGTTTTATAAACGTAAACGGAATTCTAACATAAATATTTACCCAATCTCAATAATTTGACGGCGCATCCGTCAAAAATCATACGTCAGGTTGACTTTTAGCTGTCTGAGGTTAGCCTAGTGAAGCGTCACTGTCGATGGTAGCGAGGGCGGCCATCTTTATTATACAGTTTCGTTCGGGATGACGCCCGCGCACCGCGCTCGTGACGAATCGCTGTGTATCGAAGTGATAGTTATATCTAGTGTTTCGATTTAGTTGGTGTCGTATTGAATAGACTGTACTTTATCCCTTTCAAAGTATGAGTTCCCATGAAGGCCCTCCTGTTCTTACAACGCCCTCCTACATCAGAAGTGGGATCGAAAGGGCTTTAAAATGAGGAGAGTAGTGATCATCCATCTATGTTAAACTTTGTAAAAAATAATGAGAAACTTGTCAATGAAAATAATGTCAACTTCTCAACTAACTTCGACGACGTAGTTGATCCGGTTCAATCTGGATCGTACGGAAGCAGATATAAAAGTTAGGACATCTCGTCGCGTCTTGATCGTAAAAAATACCGGTAATTGAAGCTCGCCGGTGAAGGAGATATCTGTGTGACCATAAGCCGAACCGAGGGGAGTTGACGACGTCATCTGGTGAGACTGTTCCTTTTCTTTTTAGTAGTGGGTGTACTTGTTCATGTAGTACTAATGTGTGTCTGTATCTGAAAATTTTTCAAATAAATTTCTGTGTACTTTGAGCAATGAAGTAGTTCCCCTGAAAGGCATCTGAACGCGTAGTATACGGTCGAAGCGAACGGGCGACGATATGAGTTTCACGCTTACCCACCACTTCGTAATATTTTAATATTAGATCGTATTAGCGAATAAAGGTCATTCAACCTTGCGCTTCGGTACTGAATACTCTAGTCATACTTCGTGTACATTAACAGTCAATTATTATTAGTGTTTCTACGTCTATAGACTTATTGTAATACACAAATTTTAAGCCCGGTCATAATTCAAAATGTTTCAGTGTCTCTTTTGTTTCATATTATTAAAGAGAATATTATTTTTGAATCCGTGGTTGTTGGACGGGACCTTGTAGAGTAGGGAATTAAAGGAGAAATAAACAGTGACTACATTATTTTCTCAAAACCTGAAACGACAAAAAATAGATAAGTGCTCAACCTCAGACAATCTTAACTTTTCTCGTATCAAAACTTATTTGGAAGGCGACGATAACAAAGCCCTTATCGATGTTTTTAAGAAGTATAACTCATTTTGTTATTAAGGGCACCTCTTAACTCTTTAGACCCTAATTCTTTAGACCCTAACATAGTCTTAGAGAGACCTTACAAATTATAAGAGGTTGTTCGATATAATAAAAAAAAAAAAAAAAAAAAAAAAAAATGGATGCCCTCTTTGAAACAATCATTTTACACTTTATCAAGCCCCATTCTAATTGTAAAAAACGAATGACAACTCTGACATAATGTATGTTGACTCTAGGGAGATTAACACCAATTCTTATAGTAAGCCTTTTGTTTTAGAAATTTTATACCGAACTATTTCCGCCTAGTACGATCCTTATGTCTACTCACTAAGTTAAAGGGTTTAATTAAACGGTCAGAAGTCCACGGTAATATCCGTAAATGGATAGTTCAAATACTTACCACGGAGTCTATTCTAACTATATTTGATCGCGAGCCTCCTATAGAATTACACACGAATGCCAGCGCCAACGGATACGGTACCATTTTAATTAAATGAAAGAACGGAGTTCCTCACGTTATTTCATATTTCAGTCGCCGGAAAACTGACACGGAATAAAAGTATCATTCTTATGAACTTGAGACCTCGGCAGTCGTTCGAGCGGAAGAATATTTGAAGCAAAAGCTATATGGTCATCATTTTATTGTTTTCACGGGTGGCAATCCTTTCAAAGCTTCTTAGTTAAAAAAAAAAAAAAAAAAAAAAAAAAAAATTAACACCGAGAGTACATAGATGACCCTGAGCAGGGCACTTCCAAGAGCGACAAAAGCAAGGCTCAAGTAGTTAATAAGTCTGTGCAGTTTGTAGAGGTAAATCAAGGGTGGTTAGCGGTAGAACAAAAACGTGATGCATATGTTCAAGATATTGTTGCTCAGCTCTTAAATAATAAGTTTCCCGATTCAATTAGTCACATCTACGATGTTAGAAACAATATGCTATATCGAAAAAAATTGAGCGAAACAAAGTTAGTCGTTGGTAACCTATCGTCCATCAGTCCCTTGTATGGACTTAAATCAACCATATCCATACTGAGATAGACACGTTTAGTTTCTTGATGGAGTGCAACGCAGGCAGGTATTTTTAGGTGTTCTGGGATTTGGTCCGGTCACCTTTTGGGATTTAGTCCTCTAGTTCGGTTACCGTCCGCTTTTTCAATCACTAGCGGACGTTTAAAGCTGTCCGTAGTTCTGTCAGGGAACTGACCAATCAACGCCAGTATGTGCTGCAAATAGATATTAGATAAGCGCTGACCATATTTTGAGGTATGCGTAACATACTTCGCCATCACCACATTCCTAAGGCATCAATTCTTTGCCTGTCAACGACTTTCATAGTCCACGTCTTTGCACTATGCAGAATCGGATAGCTAGATAGATAGAAATATAGAGAAGGCAAGCGTTCGTATCAGATGCATTTTTGTTCCATTAATAATTTTCCTATCTCTCCAAATTTTATTCAGTGGGGTTATTGCTATTTTGGCCATGTAAATTCTCCTACGGATTTGCATACATTTTATTGGCATACTATTCACATAGATATGACTGGGACATTAAGTGGCAAAAGCGACAGAAAAGAAATACGCGTCAGTAATGATTGATTATGTTATCAAGTATGTCCTTTAAGAGCATACTCTATCCCTCGATGCCAGTTGTACTATTAAAGCGTTGAGAAAAGCTGTTTCTCTTTTCGGTGTTCTCAAGCGAATTGTTATATCGGGGAAGGGGCTTTGTAAGCGCGGACTTTAGAGAATTGAGTAAAACACCTCGTATAGAACTTTACTTTATAACAACAGGGGCAAATAAAGCCAACGGTCAAGTAGAAAGGGTCATGCAGATTTTAAAATGTCTGCTAACTATTATAGAAAACGATACCCATAAAACGTGGCGTGACAAACTTCCTGAGGTACAAGGGACGAAACCTCTTAGCATTCAATGGATTCGCCGTGCGGGTGCCGGGTCCGTCGCGTTGCAGGGAGGGGAGCTTCAGCAGTGCCGGGGACTTGCGACCCAGGTGTGGGTTTAAGGGGCCCCTTTAACTAACGCGCGTTGTACGCTCACCTCCACTGTCCAAGTTCCTCTCCCTACCTAGCCAAATTTGAAAACTACTACTAATTGAACCTACTAGGGCTGAATTCGACGTACGTTCCAAGAATGAATTAATGTTGGTTCTGGACGGGCCCAAGTCTTTTGGTAGGTTGTAGAGAGATTTAGCTGTTATACCTCTCGCTCCCACCTCTACCGCGTACGAATCAGCGACGAACCTATTTCGAGTTAGTTCGTTAGTGAGCTCGTAATACTTAATGACAACGCGCTTTGAAATACGCGAATATAGAAATATGTCTGGTCTAGAGGCTGACGCACAAATATCCTCGGGGATTTTGTGTTGTTTCTCACACGTGTCCATCATGATAGTCTAATCCGAAGCCGCTTTAAGGATAGAGTAAGGCTTGACAATTGATTTTGTAGCCCTGGTGCTCTCTCTCACAAAACCTATTGATCGTTCGTTTGTGGTTGTTTCCCTTTGCGCTCTGGCTACCGAAAGACTGGCCGCTTCACGTATGATCTCTAAAACCCTATAGTGACGACGCGAGAGTTGACCGCTGTCCAGGAGAACCTTACATCTCACTAGCAAATGCTTAGCAGTTCCAACTGCCTTTCCGCAGATATAGCAAGTGTTTTCGGTACCTTTACCCCATCTTACTGAATTGCTCTGGTCTGGGAGAGTCATCTAGCACTTAATAACACAAGCCGTAGGGTTACAGGATATACTCCAACAGAACTAATGTTTGGCATACGCGCGCAATCTTTAGGGATATCATTAATAGCCCAAAATTCAGACGAGCCGAGATTAGATTTAGACAATATCCGGAATAAAACTTCCCTCAACACTGAAAACGCAGATCAAAAGGAAGTAGTTAAATTTAATAAAGGCAAAGCCCAAGTAAAACCTTCTTTTCTTTCTCGGGGAGATTACGTTTTTGTTACGTGTAGCGAGTGTTACCAAACTAAACTACAAAGAAAGTTTAGGGGACCTTTTATCATAATTAAAATTCTAGACAACGATAGGTACGAACTGAAACATACCGATGAATCTAATCACACTTTAAAATACTCTCATGAAAACTTGCGCGCAGTACCCAGAGGCTTTGAAGGGTTAGTTGACATATCCACTGAACTAGGTAATGAGGAGGCCGAGACGGCGGGTCATGGAGTGGAGAGAATGGAAACGAAGCTTTATCAGATGATGAAAGTGAGTAGCTCTGATGGCCTCCAACATTGATAAACCATAAATGAGTTGTGTAAGTTTGTAAGTTTGAGTTGGTGTGTTTGAGGTGGCGATGGAACTGGCTGATGCGGCCGATGTTTCTAGTAGTGATGGATCAAAGCGTGCAGGGGCTGGCTCGATGGAGTCCACGTCCGGTCGACGCTTGATCAGGTTGTGAAGATGGACGGGCTAGCTCGGTGGAGTCTATGTCCGGGTCATCGTTCACTCACATGAGTTTGGCTAGTGGAGATGGACGGGCTAGCTCGGTGGAGTCTATGTCCGGGTCATCGTTCACTCACATGAGTATAAGTAGTGGAGATGATGGGGCTAGCTCATTGGAGTCTACGTCTCGATCATTGTTCACTGATATGTGTGTGATGATGCTCTGCAGATTGGTCAGACGAAAGTTGTCGTCCGGGTCAGATCCATTTACGTTGGCTGACTTGTCCTGGAACCTCTGCAGATTGTGGTAAGACGAAAATTGTCGTCCGAGTCAGAGCCATTTACGTTGGCTGGCTTGTCCTGGTTGCTCTGCAGATTGTGGTAAGACGAATAGTGTCGTCCGGGTCAGATCCATTTACGTTGGCTGACTTGTCTTGGAACCCCTGCAGATTGTGGTAAGACGAAAATTGTCGTCCGAGTCAGAGCCATTTACGTTGGCTGGCTTGTCCTGGTTGCTCTGCAGATTGTGGTAAGACGAATAGTGTCGTCCGGGTCAGATCCATTTACGTTGGCTGACTTGTCTTGGAACCCCTGCAGATTGTGGTAAGACGAATATTGTCGTCCGAGTCAGAGCCATTTACGTTGGCTGACTTGTCCTGGATGCTCTGCAGACTGTAGTAAGACGAATGGTGTCGTCTGGTTCAGATCCATTTACGTTGGCTGACTTGTTCTGGATGCTCTGCAGACGGTAGTAAGACGAATGTTGTCGTCCGGTTCAGATCCATTTACGTTGGCTGACTTGTTCTGAATATTTTGAGTATCGTGGTAAGACGAATGTTGTCGTCCGGGTCACATCCACCAAAGGACCGACCTGTCCAATAGTACCTACTAATTGTGAACAGTTGACCTACATGCTGTTAAGTGACAAGGCGTTGTCGTCCGGCTTAATTGTTACGTGATGTTCGCCTTAAGTCTTAAGTATCATAGCACATTTTGATGATTGTAACTAGTCGTTTGTCAGGATGCCGAACGGAATAGACACAACTGTAGTTCATTGATCCGAGAACCGCCCGAGGACGGTCGAATGTCAGTCCGGCCGTGACGGCGCATCCGTCAAAAATCATACGTCAGGTTGACTTTTAGCTGTCTGAGGTTAGCCTAGTGAAGCGTCACTGTCGATGGTAGCGAGGGCGGCCATCTTTATTATACAGTTTCGTTCGGGATGACGCCCGCGCACCGCGCTCGTGACGAATCGCTGTGTATCGAAGTGATAGTTATATCTAGTGTTTCGATTTAGTTGGTGTCGTATTGAATAGACTGTACTTTATCCCTTTCAAAGTATGAGTTCCCATGAAGGCCCTCCTGTTCTTACAACGCCCTCCTACAAATTATTGACTTTTACATGTCATAACAGACAAACATTGTTCATATTCTAAGCGGTTCTAGGGATGAAATTTGTAATTGAAAAGAATTATATTATGTTAATAATTTTGAATCTAAAATGGAAGTAATTTTTGATATTATATTTTTTTATGTCGGCAGGTTCGGTACGGTACGAACAATAGATAGAAGATATCTATGGGATGGGATTCAAGTTGTTATTTCTTATGGCCATATCAGTTTTGTTCAGCAAGTAAATACTTAATATTTTTTGAAAAAATATTCATGATTAGTCTGTCGAGTTTGCAGTTTATAAATTATATATTTTTTTATTTATATGTTATAATTATATATTAATATGTGAATTTATTACCAATATCCTTAGGAATGAGACGTTGTTAAATGTTATATGGTAACACAGGAAAAAAATCACGACCGTTGTATTGTATGTTGATTGCATTTGCTATTATCAATCTTATGTTGGGTATTTACACTAAATTCTTCGTGTTTCTTAGCTGATTTGATTATAATGTCCAAACATTAGTTGCAGTTTTAGTTGGAAATATAAACTACCATCTGAAATCTGTAATATTGGCGATGTATTTCGACGTCGACGATGATGATGGATTATTCAACCGCGAAGTATATCACGTTGTTCATCAGGAACTTTGTATGTTTTCATAGAATTTCTTCATTAATTTTGTATCCAAATTTTGTATATATTATTATTATTTTAGATGCAATAAATTCTAATCTCGATCTAACAGCCTTTGGTGTAAGAAATGTTCCGACTCACACTGAAGATGGAATACCCATCAGAAAACTATACGTTTCCAATTTGCCACCGAAGGTAATTTATTTTTATTTAATATAATCATATTTAGCACTGATCAATCTTCATTATTTTCATCACATGTTCTTTGTTTGTATGATCATATGGTATCTTGTTATCGTTTTACGTCAGTTTCAATAACATTTTTAAAGCTCATAATTCAAACATTTCGTATTATGATTGCATGCCTCTATTCACATTAGTTTGTTATACATTCAATTTATTACTTATTAATTACATATATTATTATACTTAAACACTTTAAATAAATATACCTGTACATAAAATGTACAATTGAATTCAATTTCTAAATATAAACTATTAAAGCAAGAGCCTGGCATTTTTAAATGATTATATATTAGGATATAACTATTGACTTCATCATTTACTATGCATTTATTATAACATGTTTAAAATTTATAGACAACTCGAACGGAGCTCTTCGGAGTGTTTGCTCAGTATGGGTTTATCAAGAGCTGTTGGTTGAGAATGGGGGACAAAGGACCAAACACTACTCCAACACCTACTTATGCATTTGTCACATTTAGTAATGCAGCAGATGCACACAAGTAAGTGTCACCGATTTTACTTAAGTTCTTCATTATATCAAAGAAGATTATTTTCTCCTCCAAATAATTTTTTTTTATTCCTAGTTAATTTTTTGTAAGGCTTGATCTATTCAGATCCAATTTGTTGTTTCTATACCTTATTATACCTTACTTTGTACATCTAAATATTACTTAAGTATACCTTATTTTGTACATCTTAATTCTTATTATTACTTCTTTCATTAAAATTCCTTATATAAGAATCTTTACTTGTTTTGTTGTGTCTGTATTTTTGTATTTGTTTTAGAGCACTACGAGCGCCTATTCATGAGAAGACATTAAGAGGCAGAAATCTCAGAATATCTCCAGCTGATAGTTGGCACCAACCTGCTGAAGATGTGGATGGGAGAGTACTCTGGAAACCAAACCGCAGGGAGGAGAATACATTATGGAATAGTGATCAGCAAAACGGTGAGGTTTATGAGGTCTTTTAAATGTATGTATGAGTTTGAACACTATGGGGTCTGTAAAATGTATGTAAGATTATGTACACTATGAGGTCTTTTGAATGTATGTATGACTATGTACACTATGGGGTTTTTTAAATGTATGTACGAGTATGTACACTATGAGGTCTCTTAAATGTATGTAAGAGTATGTACACTATGAGGTCTTTTAAATGTATGTGTGACTATGTACACTAAGAGGTCTTTTAATTGTATGTGTGACTATGTACACTATGGTGTCGTTTAAATATATGTGTGACTATGTACACTACGAGGTCTTTGAAATGTATGTATGAAGATGTACCCTAGGAGGTCTTTTAAATGTATGTGTGACTATGTACACTATGAGATCTTTTAAATGTATGTGTGACTAAGTACACTATGAGGTTTTTTAATTGTATATACTTTAATAGACCACTGTAAATTTAGTTGTCATATTCTTAGATTACTTAGTATTATTGGATTATTTTCATCAAATTCTTCATTTAAAACTATCAGGTACAGCTGAAACATCAGAACAGGTCGAAGAAAACGAAGCAAATAATGAAGGGGTGTGTATAATGATATTGATAGTGTGTAATACATTAAGAATATGTAAATAAATGTTGATAACAAAATTCCTTACAGAGTAATGTTGAGGAAGATGATATAGGCAATACATACAATATATTGGATATTCTGAATAGAGATTGCTTGACGCACATACTTACATATGTTCCTATTAGAGATCTTATACAGTCCGAGAGAGTCAGTAAAAGATGGCAGGCCATGGTACAAGAATATTTACAGGGTAAGAGTATTGATATATGGTAGTTTATAAGTACTCTGATCATTTGTATACAGTACAATATTAACAAAATTTAAGTAGAAGGTTTTGGTTTAATTTTATGCAATAGATATTGGTTTTACTATATTTTATTTTAGTTAATTTGTAATGTGATTGTTGTAAAGATATAATCTAATCTTCTTCAATAATTTACTTAAATATTATCGTGTTTTTAATCACTTCAAAATATTCTGTTCAGTTATAGGGATCTATCCTTCAACTAAAGATTAGAAAGTCCAGAAAATATAACGTGACATATCACTACTTAACTCTCTTTTGTGTTTATAATTTACTTAAAACTGTTAACTAAAATAAAATTGCTCTAAAAGTCGTGATCTATACTTTTATACGGGGTCGCTACTTGCAGCCATTTATTGTTTGCTATTAAAATTATAAAACCGAAATTCTTCCTGCTTTTGCGAATTTTTTTTCGACATTTTAATTTTGATTTATCCCTATTCGTGAATTTATCTCAAAGTCATCTCATTTTAATTCCTTATCAGTTTTGCTGAATTCAAATACATTATATAACGCAGTCTTTGGCAATATACTCTAAATGTGTCTCTATATGAGTCGTATAGAATCAAAGGCGGCAATCTGCACATTTTATCAAAACAAAGATTTTTATATGGACACACAGGAAATTTAAAATAACGTTACGTACTTAATTTACTTTATAACAAAAACGACAATCTCGGAGTGAAATCCCTTTTGAAAATCAGGTTTAGCATCAAATTCGGCAATCTTCAAGAGCATAAGAATCAAACCCGGCATTCTAACTCATTCCACCAATCACAAGCGTCCGTGTGGTCACGTGTCTAATGACGTCTGTATGAAGTTTCTAACGAATTTGTGTCCGTGTTTTTATTGAATTATTTTATTTATTGTGATTACTGTTATAAAATAAATGTATAAATTGAATCATGGATGTACATTCTAAGCCTGTAATAAATATGTTTGCCCGGAAACGACAGAGAAACTCAGAAAAATGGAAACAAAACTTGGCGAATAAACTCAAGTAAAATTTATAGGGCTGTCACGTCACGACTAAGACAAAGTGTATTCTATGTTTTTTAACCCTAACAAAAGATGAGTGTTATAAAGTTGACCACTATACTATGTGTATATGTGTGAATGGATTTTCATGCGGTTCTTTTAATATTCCTGGACAAAATCTGAAAAAAAGTTACACAGTTTTAAATTATAATTGTCAGCCCTTTTTAAAAGACGCGACAGGATTATAGCTTCTCTTTATTGGGTGAAGGATTTTTAAAATTTCAATATATTCTGCTTGTTTCTGGTTATAGTTTTGGTTTAATCAGTCCCTGAAAGAGTCTGCACGCATAACACAAAATGGCTTAAATGTGCTACTTGTGCTGTGTTGTTGTGCATCCGTGTAGTTTCATTATCACCACTTGATTTATTCAAAAAAATCCTTAAAACAACTTTATAAAATTTTTTATATCCTTTTTGACAACCCTGAACGAGTTAATTTTTTTGGTAAGTTTCATAAACGGCAATCTCGACATAAGTTGGTATCAAATACGGCATTCTCAGATGTTTGGTTTCAAATCCGGCATTCTGCAAAATTCTTTTCTAAATTTCTTCAAATTGTTATTTTTATAGTACACAATGAGAGTTTAATATTAAGCGCATCAATACTTACATCACTTAAAATAAAGTTACGTAATATCATTTTTGAAACGGACGACACAAACCGAAAATTTTCAATTCTCTGATTTCAGTCTAAGTGTAGATTGCCGCCTTTGATCCTATACGACTCATATATATGTTAACATCTACGTCATATAAGTGAAACTAATATTTCTTTTTTTTTGTATAAAAGTACATATGTACATCTGACGTTTTGATTACTTTTCACCAGCAATGATCACGGGCAGAAAAATGTGAATTTCAACATTGTATTGTATCTAGTTTTTTACATAAATAAATCACGCGTAGTATATCAGAAAAATAAAAGTTCAATTTATATGAATATACGAAGTCTTAGATATGATTATACTCGTCATATAATCTAGTACTTTTCAGCAACCGTGATCACTGGTAAGCGAGATGTATGTAACATTGTATTGTAGTTATTTTACAGAAATAAAGCACGCATATAGCCCTAGTAGGTTCTTTTCAAATTTGGTTAGGTAGGGAGAGGAGCTTGGACAGTCCTCTCACTACAACGATGGACCCGGCACCCGCACGGTGAATCCATTGAATGCTGAGAAGTTTCGTCTAAGGTTCATTTAAATGAATACTCCAAGTCTTAGTTGTTATTCATATATTCCAGGTGTACGTATGTTCAAGACGTCGTGGTGGCAGCACGTGCCGGTCACGTTGACTACTGCTGTCCTCCGGCGTGTGCTGGCTCGTCTAGGCGGCGCGTTGCTCCGACTACATATAGACCACCACTGGTCAGCACTTAATGACCGCACCGCGCACACTGTTGGGAAATTCTGTCCGCATCTTGAGGAACTTAAGGTATTAACTTGGTTCAATGCTCGTAATATCAATTAGGCGTGATATATCAATTACATCCAGTGCATGTACACCATAGATGCATCTATAACTGCATACTCTACCCATATAATAACTAAACCTATATTGTTTAATTCTTACTTACGTATTTTTAATAATACATTACGAAATACGAATCATTAGCTCATTTAAAATTACGTTTGAATTTTAATTCCGTTAACTCCTCTGGATTTATAATTGCCCTTTAGATACATAAAGTATACAGGGTGACTGGTGAATTACTATCAATATTTAAGGAGAATACTCGGTATATGATTCTCATTCGAATTATGTAAAAAAAAATAGGCACTTAATTTTTGACAAAATTTCCGTATAAATAAATAAAGCGTTGACACGTTCCAAGTGTTCCAAGTGTGGACGCGTGCGGCGGCGTGCTGATACAACACCACGCCGCCGCACGCGAATGTGTGTGTGAGTGTATACCTAATCTGTAGGGTGTTCACACGATGCGTTATTAATTACATAACTTTTGGTTAACTTTACTTATAAGTTTATTAATATTTATGTTATATTAATTTTTATTCTGTCATATATATGATCGTCAAATATCACGTCCTCAAGTATCGATAGTAATTCACCAGTCACCCTGTATATATTTGATTTTTGTAGTAAGAGTCATTGTATTCATGACTATTATAAAATACTCTCTATTTCCTCAAATACAGAAATTCCACTAGAAAAAAAAGTATTATACGTCAAGTTTGTGAAGCTGGTCTATTTAATTCCATTTATGTTTTCAGGTCGTTGGAATGCATACGAAAAATTGGAATCCACTTATCTATGGATGTAAACAGCTAAAAAGCCTTTCTTTTGTTTCATGCAACAAGGTGAATTAAACATTTTATTGTACCTTCTAATAATTATAAGTATTACTTTATACATAACACTAAACACTAACACTAAACCCGGCAAATATTGCTTTGCCACAAAAAAAATAATTAAAAAGAATAATTTTAGGGCTGAACCACCCTTATCACTTAGGGGTGTGAAAAATAGATTGTAGCCGATTCTTAGACATACTCAATATGCTTACAAAATTTCATGACACTCGGTCAAGCCGTTAGAGGAATACGTTAACGAATATTGTGACACGAGAAATTTATACATAACATTGCATTATGTATGAAGGTGCTAAATTGTATAACTCTTGGCCCAAAAATATAAAAAAACGCAAAAACGAAGGCTAATTTCAAAAAATTACTTAAATCCTACATTACTAGTAATCATAACATTATAAGTTTAGTACAGAAACTATGTTTAATAAATTACTGTATAATTTATTGCATATCAAATATTTTTTTAACAGTATATCAAACTTCTAAACTTCGGTATGTTAACACTTCCAATTGCAACAGTTCTTTGTTTCTATGCATCGAGTGTACCGTGTACCAAACTACCCAACAATATTTTTATAATTGTATTATTGTTTTAAGTGAATGTAAATTCTTCTTTTAAATAAAGTTCTTAAACCCAAACATTATCTTTCAGCTAACGGATTCGAGTTTGGTGCATCTGGTGAAGAATGACTCTTGTATAGAGAGTCTGACGGTCGCCAATAACACACATGTGACTGGCTTATTCCTGACCGGTTCAAATCCATCCAGATTATCATCTCTATCGTTCTACAACTGCTACAGCCTTCAAGGAACTGTTCTCAGCGCAGCTATAGATACTCTGCCAAGCCTAACGACATTAAAGTTAGACGTATGTCCTGTGACTATGTGGAAAATCATACCGCTAATACTGAGTAAACTGCCCAAATTAGAAGAACTATCTCTCAGCGAGTATACTTCAGTGGAGCTGTGTCTCGCTCCGCTGGGAGTGGATGCCTTCTGTAAATCAATGTCCGGCCTCAAGGAATTGAAAGTGTTGAATCTGAGCAGAAACATTTATATAACTAACGCGGTCCTCAAGACGGTCGCTCAGTCGTGTCCCAAGTTGGAATCCTTGAACATATCCGGCTGTAACTCAAGGAAGAGCTTTCCCCATCCAGGTAACATAAATTATAATTTATGTATATTACGAAAAAAAATATATTTCTTATCTGTGACAACTAGTTTTGTTTCACTTCTTTTGTTTAATGTTTGTATGACTAGGTTTAACATTCACTGTAGTTTCATCTCCATATAAATATTATATACAACAGTTTAAGAGCTGATATTTTGTTAAGGATTAAAATATAGTAGGACCCCGATTATCCGGACCTCGGTTATCCGAATTCGCGATTATCCGGACTGTCAATCGCGACGAGTTTATTCTAACACTAGCTTTTGCCGCGACTTCGTCCGCGTGGAATAGTGACTTCCGGCAGATTTTTGCTTCTTCCCACATAGTTCCCGTTCTTGCGGGGTTTTCGGAATGGTCGAGTTCCCGTAGAATTTTAATGATAAAACTTATGTTTTTTTTTAATTCACAATGAAGTAACTCTTAACCAACAACATATTTATTTGTTTATTTGAATAAAGATGAATATGTAGTGTTATTGCAACCTACAAGCATTATTATATATTATGGAATATTTCACCTAATTTTATCTTATACTCTTAAATCAATCAAACAGTCACAAACCCAACTCTCATGCCTAGTATAAAAATAATGCTATATTATTTGTATACTAGCTATTTCAATCGACTTCAAGAAACAAGTCACGTGACCTACATCTTTCTATACATATACAGGGTGACTGGTGAATTACTATCAATATTTAAGGAGAATACTCGGTACATGATTCTCATTCGAATTATGTAAAAAAATAGGTACTTAATTTTTGACCAAATTTCCGTATAAATAAATAAAGTGTGGACACGTTCCAAGTGTTCCAAGTGTGGACGAGTGCGGCGGCGTGCTGATACAACACCACGCCGCCGCACGCGTGTGTGTGTGTGTGTGTGTGTGTATATACCTAATCTGTAGGGTGTTCACACGATGCGTAATTAATTACATAACTTTTGGTTAACTTTACTTAGAAGTTTATTAATATTTATGTTATATTAATTTTTATTTTGTCATATATGATCGTCAAATATCACGTCCTCAAGTATCGATAGTAATTCACCAGTCACCCTGTATAAGACACAACATAAATTGAAATTTTCCAAATAAGAGCATTAATTTTGTTCGTTCTTTTATCTCGGAACCAGAAAGGCAGACCCCACTATCAGATGGGAATAATAAATTCCACGGAGAGAGAGAGGGAGCGTTCAAGTATTACGTTACGCAATTTTCGAAGATTTTTGACCCCCCTTCCCCCCGTAACGCATCGTAACGTTTTACGAGAACCCCCCCCCCCCCCAAAATTGCGTTCTTGAACTTGAACGCTCCCGGAGAGAGAGTTCTTTTATCTCTGGACATTTCTTCTAGGTGTAGGTGATGAAGGTCTAATAGCTATCGGTTCGTGTTCATCTTTGACCCGCTTGGACGTGTCCTACCTCGCGACGTTGACTGACTCAGGGCTGTCAACAGTGGCCTTACTGCCTCGACTCACTACACTCATATCACGCGGGAACTACGCGCTCTCCGCCGCACCATTTGTGGCAGCCCTGGCCGCCTGCCCCGTACTACAGGTGACACTGAAAAATTTAATTAATCAAAACTAATAGGACATCCAGCGAAAGTTTTGTGTAGTTAAGTAAGTCGGAATCACTTAGCATAGGTTTTATTCAATGTATAGTTGTGAATATCAGAAAAAACATTTATTTGAGTATCATATTGTTAATAGCAAAAAGACTATGTAACACGTAGATAAAGTATTTAATACAGATTTTTCTACGATTACAACTGAACTATCTCTTTCTGTATACATTCATGTCAGTATTGAACGACTTTTAAATAAGGATTTTTTTAGTATGATACAAACTAATGAGAGTATAAGAAATAATCGAGTACCTTCCATAAACAAGGAAGATATATTCAACATAAATGTTTATATGACGTATTATTCCAGGAGATAGATGCTTGTGGGTGTGACGGTGTGTCGGAGGAGGTTGTGTGTGCGGCCGTCGCTGCTCTCACACAGAGACCCAGGCCACTCGTACTGAGGCTGGCGGCTACTGGCGCCGCACTAGCTGACGCTGACAGACAGGTACACGCACACACACACATATACATACATATACACACACGTACAGAGACCCAAGCCGCTCATACTGAGGCTAATAGTCACCGGCGTCGCGCTTGCACACGCAGACAGACAGGTACACGCACACACACACACACATACGTACACACTCATTATCCATAACTGAGTCATATTACAACTGTTTCTACTGGCTATTCCGCCTACATTACGTCATCTTTATATACAGGGTGACTGGTGAATTACTATCAATATTTAAGGAGCATACTCGGTACATGATTCTCATTCGAATTATGTAAAAAAAATAGGTACTTAATTTTTGACCAAATTTCCGTATAAATAAATAAAGTGTGTACACGTTCCAAGTGTGAACGCGTGCGGCGGCGTGCTGATACAACAACACGCCGCCGCGCGCGTATGTGTGTGTGTGTGTGTGTATACCTAATCTGTAGGGTGTTCATACGATGCGTAATTAATTACACAACTTTTGGTTAACTTTACTCAGAAGTTTATTAATATTTATATTATATTAATTTTTATTTTGCCATATATGATCGTCAAATATCACGTCCTCAAATATCGATAGTAATTCACCAGTCATCCTGTATAAAAATGAATGGTTGTTCTTTAGTCTCACTAAAACTCGAGAATGGCTGAACGGATTTATCTTATCTTAGTCTTGAAATGTTCGTGGAGGTTTAGGGAAGGTTTAAAAACTTAAAAAAATTGATTCATTTCCGGGAAAACCCTAAAAACAGCCCTTTTCTATTTCCCAAACGAAAGTTTTTTTTTTCAATAGATTTGACAACTAACTAATATGTCAATCATTCTGTCGCACTTCAAAACATGGAGATTTATGGCTTAAAGGTAAACTCCAAAAATATAAATAAAAAAAGTAACAGATGTTTCTTGATTATAGAGCGATACGAAGTTAGCCGGGTCTTCTAGTATTATATATAACAGTATATTCCCGAGTGTATTGTATCTTAATGTATGCACTGTTATTGCAGCAAGAATTGGAGAGTCACAGGTTGCTGACGGTGAACCTGTACGAGGACCGCAGCAACCCTCACCTGAGGGCGGACTTCGTGGACCGCATCTTCGAGGAGAGTCCCGACGGGTCCTTCGACCTCTACGACCCGGACGACTTCGACGACCTGCTCGGTGAAGGTAATGAACACACTAATAAAGACTAAGTCGTCTGGCAGAAATCACTGCTTAGCGAAAAGACCGCCTTTTTGTACATTCCAATTCATTTTTTTTTTCCGTGTAAAATTTACTGTTTGTGGTGTACAGTAAAGTATATTCTATCTATCTAAAGACTACTCAAGCCATTCCCAAAGTGCACGACAACGTCCCCTTGTGGACGTTCAGTCCTTAAGAAGCACGGTAAAAACTCTCAATAATGAAGTTATAATAGTTTTTGCAGTATATAAAATAATGGGGGCACAAAAAAAGTATTCTCCAAATAGGAAGTAGGAAAAATAAGTTTGGAAAGCCCTGATCTAGACCATATATTAATTATTCTTGAAATACTTTGATGTCTGTATTTAAACTTTCTCATATAACTGATGTTTACTAAATCGAGAACTATAAAAATATATTCTGCTCTACTCACAAATCAAATAAAATATTCAATTTTAACTTCAAAATTATCTTCCATTTTTATTTCATCCAATTTTTATTCATATGCTTATATCTTTATTACTTGAGTATTTGAAAGTTTGATTGAAAAATAGAATTTTAAGAGATAGTTAAATAATTGAACGTAGTGAATATAAGGGGTGTTTTTTTAAGCTAGATAGAACTTTAAATTGTAAAAAGTAACACAAAAAATTAAATTTTGATGAAACATTTTTTTTTATTTGTTTGAGTATACTCTGACAAATTATCGTGAATAGATTCACGCTTGAACAATGCTACGAAATTTTCCAAATTTACTTTGAAAATCAGTCGTCGATTCGCGCAACTTATAGACGACTTCGTCATTTGTATGGCGTACATAATCGTCCATCCGAACAAGCCATTCGTCGAACTGTGGATAGATTTCGTACCACATACTCTCTAGAGGATGCAATAACACCAGCACGTCGAAGGAATGTGCATACTGAAGAGAATATCGCCGCTATAAACGAAAGTGTGGAAGATGATCCAAATTTATCGATTCGTCGTCGGTCGCAGGAATTGGGGCTCTGTCCGTCCACTACGTGGAAAATTTTGAGCAAAGATCTCGGCCTACACCCGTATAAGATCCAGTTGGTACAGGAATTGAAGCCACGAGACCATTATATGCGTCATTCTTACGCCGATTGGGCTCTAGAGCTGTTGGCAACTGCCCCCTTGTTTTATCGCAAAATTGTGTTCAGCGATGAGGCGCATTTTTGGCTTAATGGGTTTGTTAATAAGCAAAATTGCCGCATATGGAGTGAGACCAATTCACAAGAGACCCTACAGACTCCATTACATCCAGAAAAATGCACCGTTTGGTGCGGTTTTCACGCTGGTGGCATCATCGGACCTTATTTCTTCAAAAATGAGGCCGGAGCTCGCGTTACGGTCAATGGAAATCGTTACCGCACCATGATCAATGATTTTTTGTTTCAAAATATGGATGATATTGAACGGGAGCCGATGTGGTTTCAACAGGATGGCGCTACGTGCCATACGGCGAACGCAACCATCGACTTATTGAAATCAAAATTTGGCGATAAGTTGATTTCGAGAAATGGACCTGTCAATTGGCCTCCAAGGTCGTGCGATTTGACACCTCTCGATTATTTCCTGTGGGGCTACGTGAAGTCACTGGTTTATGCTGATAAACCAGCAACAATTGACGCCTTGGAGGCCAGCATTGTTCGTGTTATTCGTGACATACGGCCAGCAGTGCTCGAAAAAGTGGCCCAAAATTGGACATCCAGAATGTACTTCGTCAAGAACAGCCGCGGTGCCCATATGTCCGAAATCATTTTCAAATGTTAATGTCACGTATTGATCTTTTGAATAAAAAAAAATTTTGATTACAATTTAATTTTTTGTGTTATTTTTTACAATTTCAAGTTCTATCGGGCTTAAAAAAACACCCTTTATATCAGAATATTGTAACTCATAGATAACAAGAACAGAATTTTCTTTTAAAAAGTCATATTTCTATAAAATTCCACTATCATATAACTAAATTTACAAAAGTCAACACAATTTCATATTAATAACTTTCAACTATCTTGATTCAAACTTATCATGAAATGAAATCTGAATGTAACACAAACAAATATGTAAACAAACTTCGAACAATCATTTAATGTAATTCAAGTCAATATATACAGGGTGACTGGTGAATTACTATCAATATTTAAGGAGGATACTCGGTACATGATTCTCATTCGAATTATGTAAAAAAAATAGGTCCTTAATTTTTGACAAAATTTCCGTATAAATAAATAAAGTGTTGACACGTTCCAAGTGTTCCAAGTGTGGACGCGTGCGGCGGCGTGCTGATACAACACAACGCCGCCGCACTCGTATGTGTGAGTGTGTGTGTATACCTAATCTGTAGGGTGTTCACACGATGCGTAATTAATTACATAACTTTTGGTTAACTTTACTTAGAAGTTTATTAATATTTATGTTATATTAATTTTTATTTTGTCATATATGATCGTCACAAATCACGTCCTCAAATATCGATAAATATATATATATATATTTATATGTGTGTGTTTGTGTGTGTATGTCTTATGTATTCTTTCATTTCTAGATGATGACATCTTTCTGGATGACGGATTTGAGTTGGGGCACAACATATTGTTCCTCTAATATACACCAACCGCTGAGCTCTCTCACAAACTGTAACACAAGGGAATATAACACACCTTAATAATACATTGAAATTGTAAATTATTATTATAATATTTTTTTTATATATTTTAGTTTTTCCACATGTTCTGTGTATATTTTTATTAGAAGTGATTATCATTTGATGTTGCATATTTTCTTTCATCTTTGTGTATTTTTAAGTCTATGAAATTAATAGAAACGGAGGAACATTTAGTTTTTGTATGATATTTGTTTAAATAATTAAGATTTTTGTTTTGTCAAACATGTTCCGTTTGTCATAGGAGCCTGGGGTTTCTCAATACAACATGTACCATGTATTTCATGTATCTGTGATGTGACCGTAACATACAATAAAAACTGTTTTTTGTAGTTTTTATCAATTACTTTAATATACATAAAAATATAAGTATAAGCAAAGTCTGAAACATTGTGATAGATTGTAAATTGTTCATGTACCTTTTCGTTTTTTTTTTTCATAACTGGTATTATTTTGTATAAAATGTATGAAAAATTTTGTAGGTAGTCAAACAGTTTACCCATACAAAATTTTGTGTTTTATATCACAAGACTGTATAATGATGTTCATTGCCTTGTTGTATACTCAAATAAAGTAACTAGCTTAAAGCATTCATATAAGTGCTTGCGAAACATAATGAAACCTCATTTTAAAGTAGTTTGATAGTTATGACAATGGAGTAGATAGCCAGTGTCGCCCAATAATGACTATATTATATAATGTTACATGTAAATCTGCGAGTTGTTTGTTAAGTGATTGATATATTTAATGTTTTATACTTGGTTTCTACTTGTGCAATACTGAGCATGTAGTGTGTGCACTAAATTTTGATATGTTTTGTGTAATTTTATATTAATTACATTACTGTATCCTTATTGTATTTGTTTTGTGAACTCGAATGGAATGTAATCAACAGGGAGTTATATATTTTTTAATCAAGGATTGAGTTTGTTTTAGCGGCATTGAATAAATCAGTTATTATTAATTTTTTTATGCCTTTTTTATGTTGGCGAAGTTTTTACATTGAATTGTTTATGCGGAGAACGATTTTATTAGAAAATTTAATTTGGCTGCAAAGGAAAGGAATGTCAAATTAGAATTTTTGTTTACAATTGCTTTTGTTATAGGTAACAATGTTCGAAACTATTTATTTAATTTTTTTTCTTATGTAAATGAATGCATAGTTTAAATTGCTTTTAGTTGTAATGTCAAATAATTTGGGCCATTTTATTTAGTTATTATTTTAAATTGCAATTTAATTTTTAAAAGTATAGTTCTTAATAGAAGAAGAAAATACTATATTTTCATGGTTCATTTAGTAATTAATGTTTTTAGATTTGCATTTTAGGATAGAAGTTGTGCATGGAGATATTGATATCTTAGTTTTTATACACAATTATTGTTTAAACAATCTTAGTAAAAAAAATAAAACAGAATACATCCACTTCCTCAACATTCACATGTTTTATTTTAAACCCTAATGTAATATACATTTATACATACATATATTTGACTAATATACTTGAGTTAGTTTTACCTGAATAGACATGATTATTAACATTCAAATTTTTTATCGGCTAAGATAATGTTTCTTATTATAAAACGCTGATACTACTATTGATTTTACAAGCATAATAACTTATAAATATTGCAAACATTTTGACATGAGTATCAAAGCGGGATATAAAAGAATGTTGAATAAAAGTCAAAGAAAAAGTCATGATGCACCAAAAATATCAAAGTCAGTTAATGTTTAATTCCATTAATACTTATCAGGTTTTACCAGTTTTTCTACTATCGTCTAATATTCATATACAAACATTGTATGTGAATTTAATATATTTTGTGAAAATGCAATATATTTTTCTAGGAAAAAATAGATTAGTCCAATCAGGTATCTGTTAGATATTGTAATTTACAAGCTTACATGTTTAAGACATAAAATTTAATGTCCTTTAAGACTAACACTTTGGTACTTTTAAATATTAACATCATAGTTGGTTGTTTTAATGTGTAAATTCCACCATTTTCCAATAAATCCAACGTCAACAATGCGAGAATATAAACTTAAATATGAAGGTTTTAAATATGAACACTGGTTTTTGAACAGATCACAAGAATCGTTTAAATCCGTGGTGTACATAAACGAAAATATTCCTAAGTTTGCGTAATGGATAACTCCTTCATTGTAACATCTTTGTACATAGTTTAAGTGCTCCAAAGAATTTACATTCCTACATTCCTCACTCACTAGAATAACTTCGTTTGTTATTTTCTTAATTTGATTCCTATAGTCAAGTTCGTCGGGATTGTTACGACATAGCGCGATGGTAGTTGCGAGTCCAGTGGTCCAAATGAGAGCCTTCTTCGGTTCTTCTTGTATATCAGTGCGTAAATCTTTAAGCATTTGTCGGTAATCTATGAAGAGATTTTTCCAATAGTTTGTCCATTTCTCTATTATAGTCCCTTTAAACTTTTCAGGTAACTTAATTTTCATTTGTAAATTGGCAACGTTCTGAGGAACTTTTGTCACTGATTTAAGCATTTTAAGTTTACTTTATATAAACTCACATAGAAAATTTTATTTCACCTAAACTTATTATTTTTGAAATTTTAATAAGTATTTATTTTATAAAATGTGATCAAGACAGGACCCAATTCGTAAAATTAATGACACTGACAGTCATACAGTGACAACTGACATGATAATTTCAGGATATTTTTGCTCATGTTCTGGTATTATGTAGATATGAGAGACAATATAATTAAGCCTATCTTTCACCTATTTCAAAATGAACCAAAAAATATCTGCAAGTAATTTAACCTTATCCTATTCCTAAATTACCAAAGTAATTAAATTATTAAATAAAATAAAAATATTTTTAACGAAAAAATAATAAATGCAACAAATTGTAAAACATCTTCAGACCAAGTTTTAAATCTGACAAGTTATTATTTAGAGTAAATACTTTATTTTGATAGCATTTTTTTTGCTCACATCTTTAATAATCCTAAGCAGTTTTTTTAAGGGGAAAATCATCAAATGACCCCTCTTGCTTGGGTGGGGCAAGAGGGAGTGTCAGAACTCAGACTCTTACTGACTAAAAACCCCCCGTACCTACTCCTGCTCCGAGCCTGGCCGCGGTACATCATTGCGCTTACACCCGCGACCAATCCTAAGCAGTTAGTTATTTAATTTCTAAAATTGAAATGAAGAAGACTTTTTACGTATCTTACCAAGTGATGGTATGATTTTTTTTTATTAATATTATTGTATTTATCAAGTATGTCAATAAAATATGTTGTGGAACTTGACTATTATTATAATAATTCACTAATTACATGGGGATTGTGACAGTTTCCTGTCATCAGCCTATGACAGTTTCCTAAATACACAAAAGAATTTCTTTCTAAAAAATAGATGTCATAAGATGCGTCCTTTAACATTTTTTTAGAGTTATTTTCGCATTTAATGAATTATATCATTGTAATATTTGGAAGGGGATTTTTATACATGTAACTTCCGAAATAAAATGAAATAAATTGTATGAGCAATTAGGAATATTTTTATTCTAAACTAAATTTTTGATCGTAAGTCCATTATTCAATATTTTGAATGTTGACATTTAGAGACAGGGTCGAGCTATAAAATTAACCTTTTCTTGTTGGTAGAGCACCGCCTACTCCTTTCGCCTCTCTTTTTTGTCTATTTTCAAAGTTAAAGTCCGAATGCTCAAATTTCGACATCTGAGGAGGTGGCGGCATCTCGGGCGGCGGAGGCATTTGTCTTACAAACTGGAAAAGCATATTAATCACCAGTAAGAAACATTAAAATTTCATCAGTTTTTCCGGATCTAGTGAATATACAGATAATTCAGAAAATATCTTCGTCGTTGTTTAGTTAGTACTATATAATTCAATATGACGTATAGGTAGGTACTAGCAGTAGTTTATTTGTGGAAAAAATACATTTTATTGAAACATTACATGTAAAAAATATTCTTAATTCTGGAACATCGTTCCGAAAGAACTTTCGAAAAACTTACCCGTTTTAAAGGTTCAAGATTCTTGTAGAACTCTGCATCGGGAGGATTATTAGGCTCCTCTTGTTCGTAGCTAAACGCTACGACGGTCACGAGTAACAGAAACAGTAATGTATACTTCATCTTTACAGAATGTCGCTGAAATAAAAATGACTTGGTTATATATAGTTTAGAGTACATATATAATTGGAATTGTTGCATTCCAAAAGCAAACCTTTGACATACAACAAGGTGTTTCCTGTCATAAACGATTAAATTACAAAGATAAAAATGTTTTTGATGTCGTTAATTGCAATACTGACATGCAGCATCAAACAAGTCTCATGTAGTCAATTGTTCTAATCACGGTTGCATGGAAATTATTTTATTTAGCGTGATTTTATCTGTAAAATTTAAAATAATTACGTATAATTTATTTCATGATTACGTGTTCTTTAATCATTATTATTGCAGTGAATATGAAAAAATCTTATGACAAGAAGTTTCCTATAGTCTATACTGAAACTTCCACTGCTTCGTCACAGGGGTTTGGGAGGTTGGTCCGTTTGAGACTTTTTGCCATAAGGTTATGACTTATGAGGAGGACGACCATAGCTAGAGTACCTTTTAAAGACATGGTTGCGAACAGAACATTGGCTTAGAACGTCATTGAAAGAAGAAGGCATATGGGTAGATGACAACTTTCCGTAGAACGCTAAAATTATGTGTAGAAATGGGTGTTACTATTATTAATATTGGTAGATATGTATTCATTGTTAATAATGTCATCCATAAACGTTTTTGGATATGAGACGAAACCTCTTTGCAAATACCATTAATTAGATTCGCCGTGCGGGTGTCGGGTCCATCGCGTTGCAAGGAAAGGAGCTTCAACAGTGCCTGGAACTTATTACCCAGGTGTAAGTTTAACGCCCCTATCTAACGCGCCTTAAACGTTCATCTCCACCGTCCAAGCTCCTCTCCCTATCTAACCAAATTTGAAAAGAAGAAAGTCATTCGTATTTGCCAAAAATATATTGATTGTATTGAATTAAGTTTGTAAAAAGAACAATATTTAATAAATATCACATTGAAGGATTTCAGTTTCACCATTCCTTTTAATAAGTATCCTGAACTTGAATATTGATTTTAATTTCCTAATAATATGCTTATACTTACTTATTAATAATTACTAAAATTGTTATATCACCAATCTTCATGCTTTAGGTAAGTATTGCATTAGTAGTGAGTAAATATAATGTGATTAATAGCAAACAATAATGAAATACATATTCACAATTGGTTAATATGACAACATTTTTCGTAAGCAGATAACGCTCGTTAGCACGGTTAGCGTGTTATATATTAAATTATTGGCTGTTGTCTATAACCATTTTTTTTTGATGGCGCAGGGAAACTTTTTTTACGAGCCGTCCAACCGGCCTTGGTGGGGCCGGAAGGGATGTGTGAGGCTCGGCCTGGGCCTACTCACTAAAACCACTGCGAAACCCATCGGCCGCTATGTCGGTGTACCCCGGATCTGTCAGCAACAGGGCACACAAACGACTGGTCCTGGCAAAGACTGGACTTCCTCCCTCGGAGGTCTATCACCATTCACCATATCGTTTCATAATAACGAATTCAATAAACCCCAACAATGATTGTTGACTGATGGATATTTTCTACCAAAATATGAACCTACATTGTCGCCATCTCTAAAATGTGACGGCAAAACTAAGTTACTAAAAGTATATAACAAATATTTTGTCAAGATATCTTTGTTTAAGAACATTCTTTGTTAATATTCAATGGTGTTTGAACCTAGCACTTTGAATGAATAGGACAATGAAGTATATAATTTTAAATTTGGGAGATTTTCTTTATTTTCCTGAATAAACTTGACGTCGCATCGTTATTGAACCCTCTTGGCTACTTTAAATTTTAAATGGATGAATTTTTTGTTTTGTATCAAAACAGAAAAGTGAAAAATGTATATGAAAATACAATGAAGCAATTGTTAGTAAAAACATGTATTATTAATATTTTCTTTGGCCAGTAAAAAACTGAAGTTCTCCCAATTCAGAACTTAACTATGACATTAAATAATATTAATTTCAACTATTCTTTTTAAACTAATATTTTTGAACGTACAAAAATAGTAGTTACGTTTAAGATATACTAAAAAAAAGGCAAAAAAAAATCTGTTATTATTTTTTGAAGTTACACTTCTTTTTGATTGATATTTTAAATATTTTGTTGACTTTATTAATCATTTGACAGTTTTTAAAAAATTGAGTCACTTTTGAGCTGACAATTATTCACTTTTTCTCATGCATGTATGCAAAAATATATTTGAGGTAAAAATGATAAAATGGAATCATCAAATTATTAAAAGACGTATTTAATAAAATATTACTTTAAAAAAAAAACCTATTTCAGGATCGTATTATTTAAACAAGAAAACAGTTAATGTGTATATTAAAAAAAACTTAGAAGAATCTAATTACCTTGTCTTTGTTTTCATAATACCCTCGAACTGTTTTATTTTCATAATGTTGGCAATACGGATGTACCCGCTATAAATTATAAGCGCCTAAACTAATAACTCATTTGCGTAATGATATAAATACGTTCAAATTGTTAATTAGATTTATAGATCCATTTTTGGAAAGTCATAGTTTGAAATAATATTAATATGGCATCTAGAACTACTCCAGTAGTAGCCGCTGCGGCTGGAGTTATATGTAAAGTTGGGAAGAGAATGGGTCGTGGTATTCCAGAAGTTAACGAAATCTACAGCAAAAAGTGTTCTTGTCGCAGGGAAAAAACAATAGTATTCTGTCGATCTTGTGGTTACTATTGCCAAGGACGAATCCGTTTACTTTGTGAACAACACCCTAGGGTCAGTATTTCAAAACTTCTTTTCTCAGCAAATCGTTTATCCTGACTGAATTTTATAAAATTTTAATCGTTTTCAGGTGACATATTTGCTGGACATTACCGAGTGCCCTCGATGTCACTCGTCAACATTTCTTGACGAGTACTTAGGTGACTTGAAATAGATCGAAAACTTGTTTTTGTTGATTCTTCAGACTGATTATTATTATGGTAGTAATAGTTTTGTTTTTTTCTTTCATGTGATTATAATTGTAGGTATATGGTGTTGATTACCATTTTTTATAGGACATGATTAAACACACTATTGTTTAACATAAGGGTTTTTATGAGAAAAACTCCGCCTGTTACAATTAGTGTTTTATCTGTTTCAATATGTTTAAGACTGTTACAATTAGTGTTATGTCTGTTTCAATATGTTTAAGACTGTTACAAAGACTTCAATGTTTATATTTAGTCATAAGTTTTGTAGTAAGTAAATGCAACACATACATTTTCTAATCTTTGTTTTATTTAGAACACCAACCACGCAATCTTCAGATGCCTTTGTTATATTATGTTTCAGTATCATTATTAATTTATAAGTTAATGGTAACTATTAATTTCACTCCATGAACTTTCAATATTCAACATTTCAATCTCTTAGTAAATTTATAACTTCAGTTTTTATTTTAGTTTTCAAAACATACTAATTATTTACTTTTATTTTACATTATTCTATACATACATATTTTTATCTTGTATTTTGTTTATAGACATGGTACCTTACCTTTACTTTCTCCATCATAAAGAATATATGTATGTAGATTATGTATCTCAATATAGGATCTCTTTGTGCAACTATATGTGCACCACAGATGAGTAAATTATATGATAAAACTAAAAAACTAGTTTCTTAGTTTTACCCAGGACTAGAACAAAAGTGGGAAAAAAAATGTTCACATATGAGACGCACAGTATTATAATAAATTGCCGTCTACTTTAAAATCTGTAAACTCATTTAATGTATTCAAAACTAAACTATCGGAATATATTATACAAAACTACCCACTTGTAAATAATGTATTGAATGAGTAAAACAATTCGTTATGTAGTTATATCTTGAGAACGACATTTTGTATTGCTTGAATTTTTTTTTTTGTTTCCATGTAAGTGACTTTGTGTCTTTTTGGAAAATAAAGATCTCTAAACTTAAAAATGAGACCAAACAAGTAATTTATATTATTTATTTAAAGACTAATTAAACTATTTCTCTGTACAACAATAATTCATATTGAAAACCAGCTGGGAACGTCAGTTCTGTCTTTGTTCTTTTCCAGGAATTTTTTGAATGTTTTCTTTGTTTCTTCTAAAGCTTTCGCATCGTCTTCGCTGCTCTTTTTCTCTTCAAATATGTTTGGAAATTCAAACTTATGTGTTTTTGGCTGGAATAGGTTAACAATTGCATTGGTAAAATTGGTTACAATAAGTATGATTTTTAGTATATTGTTATCATTTTGGTCATATTTTTAAAGGGAAAATATAAATTAGACTTTTATATGATTTTTTTAAAGTATTATATTTATAAAGTAAGATAATGTATCATTAAGTACAAAGATATTATTCTTATTGATTAAGCCTCCTTAGTGCGATACAATTTACAATACTCACCAATGTAACATAGGCAACTTTAACATCTTCATCTTTGGTAATGTACCCTTTAACTATTTCTTTTTTAAATTTCCCCAAAGCTATCTTTGTTCTCACGTCAACCACTGGCACATTGTAGATTTTTTCAAGATAGTTCTTGATGTCATATTTTGTCATTTCCATTGAACAATGAAAATGAACTATGTTGGGCTGTTGTTTTTCGTAAGGACGGACCAACTTCATCCAAAAGTTTGGTAAAAACACTCGAAGTTGAGGATTTCCCTTTTGATATATGGGATACCTAAAAAAATATAAATATTTAGTATTTATAACAGAATTTCAACATTAATGTTGTGTAAAAGCGTTACCATCTTGTTGACATTTTATTTACTCCTTAAATAATTTAAGTTCTGTTATTTATAAATAATTGTTATTAAATAACTATCTCAAGACAGTATAACCTCAAATTTTTTATTTGACAATTTAAGATTATGTTCAGAAATTAGTAAAGTAAAAACCACTATTAAAAAAATAATCTTTTAGTTAGTGAAGGTAGCAAAAGTACCTTATTATAGTTTCATTGTTTTATTTTTTATATTTATTATTTTTAAAATAATTCATTATGAACTTCAATATTATATCTGTGGTAATAATATTTATCATTGCTCTGAACATAGTTCACAGCTTGACAATCTCAGCGGTTTGACAATTCAGTCATAAAAATGGCGGTGGCCCTGTCACCAGATCAAGAGTTGGTAAGTATGATACTTATTAGATTTTAATTTAAATATGTAGTTATGATAACACATTTCACAATAAATGACAGTTATTTGTGTGTTTCTCAATGTTAGTTTATAAGTTTTGTGCATATATAAAGAGTATCATCAAGTGGATTCATTTACCATGTCATCACTGTTTGTTTTGATTTGGTACAAAGCGTTGCTGCTATTTACGAACGGAAATGTTTATGAAATATATAACATTTCAAAGTTTATATAAACAAATAATTAGTAATTTTATCACATTTCTTCTTATAAGAGAAATTTGAATTTGTAAACATAATATTTATGCTTAGATTCTTACTTACATTAGCCTGTAACGGAAATCAGGCCGCTTAAAAAAAAAGGAACAAACTGCAATGAACCTAAAACTTCTAATATACAATATAACAAATCAGTTCACTTAGAAAGTTTTGTTACTTTTAAATAAAAATTAAAGGTAAAGTCGTGTATAATATTACTCTACATACCGGAAATAAATACGATTCTCACGTAAATAATAGATTGATTGCAAAATTAAAAATTATTCTATAGATTTTATTATGTTACGTCTTTGTGAATTTTTATGATTTTCATTCAAATGATTCACTATAATAATGTACATGTTTTTATATTTGAGTCTAAAAATATATTTTTAAATATTTTTCTTTGACATTATTATATTTTTTTCCTATCCTTTTAAGTCAAAGGAACATAAATATTGGATCTTTAAGTATAAATTTGTCCACATTTCTAAGCACACACATATGTTTTAGAAAATGATGTTTTCCATACATACACATATCATGTGAAAATATCCATAAATGAATGAAACACTATGTGAAACTTGAATTCAATGGAACGCCTTGTATATATTTGATCTCATTAAATTGAAAATATCTGCTTCGATATTGAAATGAAACTTTTAAGATTATACCAAAACCGACATAAGTTAATATTGGTATTGCTAGTTGAAAATAAGAAAAATTACCTACACATTAAGGATGTCTTCCTAAAATAATGGAATTATATATAAAATATCAAAGTGTGAAATATATCTTGAAATAATAACAGACAATTTTTTCATATCTAGTGTATTAAACTTATTATGACATTTGATGTAAAGAGGTTGCACTCGGATAATTTATTTTATAATATATTATCATTTTTATTTATCTTATATTATTGATTAATCTATCAAAACAGAGAATTATGGTAAGACAGTAAATATATGATGAGGAATGGAACAAAACTTCTTTTAGTAACAGCATTAAATTTATATTATAGTCAAAAGTTTTACTTCGCTTCCTAAAATAAATTCTTTGAATGGTAAAATTTTTAAATTGCTAATGTAACTGATAGCATTGTTGTGTTCGCTCGTTTTGGAAACTTAAAAATAATCTGAAATGGTTCATATTTTCGGAATAGAATGGACCATCGATTGTGGGTCAATGACCCGACCGCTATACGCGGAAGTAACGTATTTAGTAATACGCGATATTTATATATTTTAATTGTCATATATTTTCGAGTTTTCATTTGGTTTATAATACTTATGTAATCACCTATATTAATTGCTACTGTGTAGGTAAAGTCTATTTCTTCGATATGTTTCAAAAAAATTACATCTACCTTCAATTTATATAACATAATTTAAGTTCGTAAAACCGTTTTTGTTTGGCAATATTATGGTTTATAGCCAAGTAAGTATAAGTATGTGTCCCTTACAAAGGAAACGTCGTTCATAAATCAGTCGACTTAAGTGAGAGTGACGTAGGAGGGACATGTATTGAGAGCACTCCGCTATCAAACATACATTTCAATTATTATAAATTTCACTCAATACATCAGTAACTATAGTTTAATGTTAAGATATATGTTGACTTATAATTTCGTAAAGCTATACAAAGAATCGATACCTATATTTTCATGCATAGCATGATATAAACGCCAAAGATTGTGCATGTTTAATTTCTCTGCCTTAGTTTGACAAAACTTAAACTACCGTCATTTAGATTTCTTAGAATTTTTTTAATTAATATACGTTTAAAGTTTTATCGGCTTACATAAATTTATATATACTTTTATAAATTTTTATTTAATTAAGTACGTGCTGTGGAAAAGTTTTTCAGTTTCCGTAAACGAATCAATACATAGTAATGTCACTAAACATATATAATCTATTGAGATTGATCAGTTTTACTACCACATATGATATTAGATACCTATATTAAAAGAAATGCATTGAAATAATTATACAAAGAAAACATATTTCGTTAATATTTGTGTTTTTAGCTGTTCTATTTAAGAAAATTTGTATACATAAATATATAACATTTAGAAAAATGGTTTCAAAATCCCTATTAATGTATTTGGTTTCAAATAACAAATTATACGAAGGATCAGATTAAAAATAAATTAATAAACTTTATAAGAATAGCTCGCTGTGAGAAGGGATGAATTTTTCATCGAATATTTTTTACAATAACAATTGCCTTAATTGGATAATGAGGTTTTTATCTATTATTTTAATGAACCAAAAACCTTTTTCACCTCATTATTCATTTTAAATATTTAATATAATAATTTAATCACGTGATCAAACGCATATTTTTATATTACAATTTTTTTAGACCATATATTATATAATTTTCTATAGCGGTAATATTGTTGAACGAGCTTCCACAGCATAATTTGTAGCTCGTAAACTGTAGACTGCTTTCATGTAACGGGTATCCGGGGACAGTTTTAACAGGCGTTTCCTTCCTACACTTACCATTGTTTGAGCGTATGTACGGCTTTATGAGCCGATTACTTGCGAGATGTATTTCGAGCAATAAATTATAACTCTATCTTTCCCCTGGACTTAGTACTTACTAATATTATAAATGCGAAAGTAACTCTGTCTGTCTGTTACGCTTTCAGACCTAAACCACTGAACTGATTTAAATGAGATTTGGTACAGAGATAGAGTTGACCTTGAGAAAGAACATAGGATAGTTTTTATCCCAGACTTTTGAAAGGTTCTCTTGGAAACGCGATATAACCGAACTCCACGCGGGTGAAGCTGCGGGCGAAAAGTTAGTTTATAATAAATAACCATATGTTTGGCTCGTGAAATTATACATTCGATTTTAAGTTTTTCATTCGTATACTTGTAATTTTATTATGTACGATTACTTTTGGATGAAAAAATGGAGATTGTCAGTGTATGGTTTAATGATGCAGATTTGTGGTGCGTATGCTATAATTAATCGTCACAGCATAGCAATCAAAACAAAGCGCGAAAATTCTTAGCTATAGCCCAAGATCAACTGACTTAAAATACCTTTACCAAAAGGTTGCTAGCTGTACTACAAAGAAACCATATTCCCGATGCCGAGGAACATGTTTTATAAATACTACAATTCTAATCAATTCTAGTGTTACTTTTTCGTGGAATAAATTCCGTACCATATTAATTTAATATTGTTTTCAAACACCACTATCGTAGGAAACGTTGCGTCATGTTTCCACTTACCTTTTTTTTGCGTATCGAGCTACGTTTCTGGGAACCCGATTCTATCTACATAGTGTGTTTCGTAACGTGGATTTGCGCGTGTATAATGTTTGTTAGTTGAGCTTATATATTACTATCGCCTACGTATTGGCCGAAACGAGCGTCCCACGTTCGATTCCCGGGGGCGTTTCCTTGTATGATTCACGTTTATTAGAATTCCTGGTTGATTTTAGAAGTCCTTGGAAATGCGGGTTATTACTTAATCTTATTTCTTATCAGACGATACTTTTTACGTTAACTACATATTAATTTGTAGGAATATTTTCAACTAGCTTTCCGCCCGCAGCTTCGCCCGCGTGGAGTTCGGTTATATCGCGTTTCCAAGAGACATTTTGAAAAGTCTGGGATAAAAACTATCCTATGTTCTTCCTCAAGGTCAACTCTATCTCTGTACTTAATTTCATTAAAATCAGTTCAGTGGTTTAGGTGTGAAAGCGTAACAGACAGACAGACACTTTCGCATTTTTAATATTAGTAGGGATATAACAGACAATTCAGGTACGGCTTTTAGATATTCATTACTAAATAGGTTTAATAGCTTAATTTTTTTTTATTTAAATGTCACGATTCTACACGGATACCTGGAATAGTTCCATTGTGGCGTATCGCACATCAATTGTTACTTGTATTGAGACAGACAGTGGCCTGACGGAGTTGGTAGTGAACGAACATACAGCGACATTTATATGTATATAGTGTTTTATATATATATGGTGATGATTTGTTTGTTTGTACGTGGTCATGTGGAAATGGTTCAGAGATTTGATTGAAGTAATTAAATCATTATTTTTATTATCATGTTTATCGTCTATTTTCTTTGTGATTTTTTGTTGAAGTCTAAAGAAGAGGATAATTGTTTTATTTTATTGCAAAGTTTTTTTTTGTTCGATTCCTACTCAACTACAAGATTAACTGCATTAAATTTATTCATTAACTACTTAATAACTATTAAATTATCAGTTGACGGAAACAAGTTGACAATTGTTGTGATTCTGTGATTAATTTGAAATATCTTGTGAGTTGGTTGTGTATTTTTATTTGTAAGTAATAAATACAAATCAAAATGTCTTCTGTTACAATTATTATAAAATAACCTTTTCATACAAACATTCATTACACACGTACACATCCACTTTACGCACACACACAGACACGCTTACACACACATACATGCTTATACACACACACAGACATACACACACACACATGTACACGTAATCGTAACAAGCTTAAGGTCACACATACTAATGCTATACAGGATACACATCCCGGAAGCTCCTCCCTCTTAATATATTCGCATCTGTACAAAACGACGTACATTCACTGGTCGGCTTTGATTTCTTAATGTAGTTTAAATTGCGTCAATACCATAATAAAATTAACAGACTGAGATATATGAAGCGTCTCTAAGGATGTGTGGATTATATAAATAAACTATTGAATAGTATTTTAAATATACCAGTATGGTTACCACAAGTTTGCATCGTGATTCTACGTACGACAGACGAAGCGTTTCACGTTTCTTAATCCATAACATCTATTAATACTAAGTGAAATGATTTATGGAGAAAAAACAGTTAACGCTCTTTGTGTAGTTTGACGATGCAAACGTATAGTAAGCATATTATTTCCTAGCAAGGGCGCGGCGCGGCGATTAACATTAAAAGATTTCTCTAAGTTGCATATAGAAATATTATAATATAAGCGAATGTTATTTTAATATTATGTGCATTATAACCTTGTATAGTACTAATAAATGTCATACATGATAGATAAAAAATAATATGTATATAATAAATCGATGAAATTTACAAAAATGCTTCAGATATGTGGTAGAAGTTACTACATATAAATTTTCTATGTATTTCTAAAATAATTTTGGTAGTAAATAGGATTTTAATTCACTTAAAATAAGACATATTTCTCTTAAAAATTCCTATAACGCGCCTTATTTATGAAATTGATTGATCGAACATGGTAGATAGTCACCATGTGTGCAATTTGAATATTATAATAATGGTCCCTTAAAATGCCACATGTATACCTATATGTTATAGGAATTCAGAGTCCAAATTGGTTTCGTTATATACAAAATATTTAATTCCTAATTAATGTTATTATAAGTATAGTAGAAAATTTGTAAATAATTATCTGATAGAAACTTCTCTATATAAATAAAAATTGATGTTGCTAAGTCAACTTGAAAATGGCTCGACTAATTGAGCATTTGTTTTTGTATTTTCCTTAAGCCTCGCGGAGGGTTTTTATAAAAAAAGTAAATAAAAAAAATAAACCAAAATTATTGGTGTGGAGTTCGTCTCTAAGGAAAAAGTGAAACTTGCTAATATTGGTATGAAAACAGGAAGGGGTGAAATTGATTTCTAATGAGTATATTTTTGTGATTCTTTAAGACAAACTTTATTAACATTACTTACAAATCACAATTGATTGCCCGCATGCGATTGAGCGCCACGAATCCCCCCTCGTTCTGTCTAATTATTTCCCTCCCACAGCAGCGTTAAATGTTTAACGCAAACTTATTGCAAGTGGCGCAAGAAGTTTCACTTCAAAAAATGATAAATTGTAGAAAACAATATTTTTCTAAAATTCAAATTTGTTGTCAAACAGTTGACGTAAATTGCCAACGTCAACGTATATGAGTTTTTGTGGAATTCACATTCAAGCTGATTAGACTGTTTGAAAATAATTTTAACATTTAAAAAACGATATGTATTTAGTATTAATTTAACGTATCCGACTGTAATTTCGACTGCGGGATTCGCTTAAACAATACATACCTAAATCACAGGGCCAATCTGCAAGTATCTGTGAAGGTAATCTGGAAAATCCATGCTTTTTTCATGGAGTTGTATGTTGTCTGCTCTGGCGTTGGAAAACCAATAGCATTCCTTTTTAACGAAACGAAAACACGGGCGAATTAAGAACCTCCTCCTTTTTTGAAGTCGGTTGAGAATATTGTATACCATAAAGTATTAGATGAAAATCATTAAGTTTATAAAGAATTCTAGTTTACAAAATTTAAAACGTATTTTTGTTTATTGTTGGGATGTAAATAAGATGATCACTCGGATCACGGTGCGTTTATTTAATGTTTGACAGAAAGAAGTTTGCCCTGGCAGCTAGTATTAAATATTTATTTTCACATCCATAGGTTTAATAACCATGTGCGCAACTGCCAGATATCTTTTGACGATATATCTACAATAGGTAGTGTCAGGTTTGATTCCAGCTCGTAATATTTATTTTAATACAGTTTTTTAAGTAGAATAGGGCACAGATGATCCATTCTACAAATTTAATAAAATAATTCTGTTTTGTTAGGTTAGTAGAATGGGTTAGTATAATTTGCAGTGGAAAAAATAATATTTACCTATTTATCTTTAAGACCAGTAGATTGTCAATAGATTATTACTCTCTATAATGTCATGTAACAAATATCGTGTTACAGTGTTTAACTTGAATCTCAAGACTCACCTTCCATGATTCCAGTGCGAATGAAGCCTTAACATACAAAAAGTCTCACCTTTAATAGCCTCGTAAAATCAATTGAAAAGAATCATGCGTTGTAGAACATTGAGATGGTAAATTAATTCTATTACAGTCAATAAATTATTTACGTAAAATTACACACTAAATTGAGCGTTAATATGCCTTTATTGAAGTTTTCCTAATAAATTTGCAGGCCACTAAGGCGTTTTTGGACGCGTTAAGCGAGTCTGGCGCTAGTTGTGTGTCTCGGGCTACAGCTATCAAATTTCTTTTGGCGAGGAAGTTTGATGTGTCCCGAGCGCACACACTGTGGAGACAGCATGAGGCGACCAGACGGAGAGAGGGACTCATCAGGTTCGAACCGTTTGAGGACCCGCTGAAGACTGAACTAGAGACTGGGAAGTTTACTATACTGGTGAGACTCATTCATTGATTACACACTAACACGATACAGATTAAGGTTGTCTAGGCAAAAAAAAAAAAGATTACATAGAGAAAAAGATGAAATGTAACTGTATAAGCTATATTTTACAGTATGTAGATCTAGACAAAGTATTTGATTGCTTCTTTATTTAATGATACACATGATATATATGCGAATGAAAATCATTGATGCTAAAGTGTTCTTAGCTTGCCAAAAACTTACATGACAATTATTATCTTTAACAAAAATGAAATTTATTTTGATAGAATCAAAATATTTATAAAGACAATTTACTGCTTTTAACGATTATTATTACTCACAATACAAAAAATGATCTGCCTAAAATAAACCCGTTCTATAATTATTATAGACACCAAAATAACGTTTTTTTTCGTTTTTATTGAGTTTAATCCGCGTCGTCATCAGTTAAGGTCTGTTAATCCATGTGTGACATTTATACAAAAAACGCTCTTAAAATGTTAATATTTTTGTATTCGAAAGCATGTTACGTCATATAAAATTTAAATACACTCTAGCGTAAAAGAGCGCTAAATGTATAAAGTTTTTAGCCTTTTTTGGCGAGCCAAATAGTTATCATGTTGTTATAGTAGGGAAATAAGAAATGTACGTATGTTTTTGTAAAGTAAGATGTATCGGAACTTGACCTCAAATCACATATTTTCAGCAAAAATCTCACATCCGAACGATTTTTGTATTCATGTGTTCCGTACCAATAATGCCAAAATTATTGTCACAATAATGTCATATAATTGTTTTAATAAATTGCCAACAATATTTTAATCTGATATTTTAAATGTTCAAGGTATATATCAGTATTTAATTTTATTTCAACAATCTTACGGACTGTTTCATAAAATGGATATTTTCAATAATTTTTGTCTGTCTTTATACGGACGGCGGGTGTAAATAAAATACATTTGTCAAAATATATACATATTTCATAAATTTATTCTCTTCATTACTCTGATCAGTGCTCGTCATTTACATAATTTCAAAGAAACAGAGAGTTTTCGAATAAATATTTAAGAAGTACATTATTAACTCTATGAAAAATGTTAAATACTTAGGCATAGGAATGAATATTTATATGAAAAGTCTCTAATAAAGATTCGTACAAATTATTATAATATACAAAAATGTGACATTGAAATACGTCATATTGCTTTTACAAATAAGTTCTTTTTGATGTTTTAATAAATATACATATCCTATATAAGATCGCAATTATTGAAGGGTTTTATTAAGTATAGTAAAAGTCACGTTACTATTTAAGCTTGTTCATCATGACTACTCTTCACTCTTTCACAAATCTATATATATATATATATACAGGGTGACTGGTGAATTACTATCAATATTTAAGGAGAATACTCGGTACATGATTCTCATTCGAATTATGTAAAAAAAAATAGGTACTTAATTTTTGACCAAATTTCCGTATAAATAAATAAAGTGAGGACACGTTCCAAGTGTTCCAAGTGTGGACGCGTGCGGCGGCGTGCTGATACAACACTACGCCGCCAAACGCGTGTGTGTGTGTGTGTGTATACGTAATCTGTAGGGTGTTCACACGATGCGTAATTAATTACATAACTTTTGGTTAACTTTACGTAGAAGTTTATTAATATTTATGTTATATTAATTTTTATTTTGTCATATATGATCGTCAAATATCACGTCCTCAAATATCGATAGTAATTCACCAGTCACCCTGTATAATCTATAATTGATGTTTAATATGTATGTATAATATATATGTATGTTTGTCCGTGTATTAGCCAACAAGGGACGCGACGGGTGCAGCTATAGCAGTATTCACAGCCAACAAACACTTCCCCAACCTGACCTCGCACCAGACAACCTTACAGGTACTAACTACTTGAAAGGATTCACAGCATTATAATAACAACTTCGATACGGATATCACTTATATTGATGTATGTTTTATTATACTTAAATTGAATAGATTACTTCATATAATACCTTAGATTGAGCTCGTACTTGCAAAAATTCAATAATTCTCTAAGATTCCCATATGACAAGTACAAAATAAAACTAATATTTTTCGGATGTACTACATACGGGACTTTATTTTTAATAAAAACTACATTTTTGGTTGCTGATAAGTAGCCGAAACGTCGGGAGTATGTAGTTTTTTTTTACAAAAAAATAAAGCACGAGTAGTATATTCGAAAAATATTAGTTTCATTTAAATGAATAAGATGTTATGAATATCTGACATCTCATTCAGTACAAAATAGTTCAATAGTTCCTATACAAAACTCTATACGGAGCAATTTTATCCAATACTACATAGCTTTCCGCCCTCAGCTTCTCCCGTTTAGAGTTCGATTATATCGCGTTTCCAAGAGAACCTTTCAAAAGTCTGGGATAAAAACTATCTTATGTTCTTCAAGGTCAACTCTATCTGTAACAATTTTCATTAAAATCAGTTCAATGGTTTACGCGAAAGCGTAACAGACAGACAGACAGAGTTACTTTCGCATTTATAATATTAGTAGGATTATTCAATGTGCCCTATATAGCCAAATATGGTCCTTTATAGTAAATTTTGTCAATCTACCCCCAGGGTGTAGTGTATCAGTTGGACTGCGCGCTCCAGTCACTGGAGACCCAGCGCGCCGGGCTGGTGTTCGTGTATGACATGACAGACTCCAAATACACGAACTTTGATTATGAACTGTCGCAGAAGATACTCACCATGTTGAAGGTGAGTACATCCATACGAAATGGCCTTATAGTTTAATGAGCCTTTGTTTTGTCTGCCTATCAGCCTATCAGAAGCCCACTGCTGAGCAAGACCTCTTTCTCACATGGAGAAGGTTTGAGCATTAATCACCACGCTCACTCAAGACGGGTTGGTGGTTTCAAACTTATAATTGTGAAACTATAAGTCCAGGTTTCCTCACGATGTTTTCCTTCACCGTATGTCAGTGATGTCTAAATACTATCAGAAAGTTGTACTTGTTTTGTCTGTAACATTCTAATTCTCTACATGTGTGAAGACGCCTTTGCTTATAAGGCTCTGATAGGCTGATGATGAAGAATATTTTTAGAAAAAAATAGTAATCTAGTTTCTACTTAATATGCTGTTGATGGCTATACATATAATTTGATTTTTTTATTAGGCAGTATATGCATTATTATTTATAATGCCTATAATTAAATAAAATTTTGGACAAGTAAAATAAAAACTGTGTTATAAAGCATAAACATAAAAAGTAGATATTTTGATAGGCTCAATATATTATATTCTGTTGTATGAAAATTAAATGTGTGTAATATATAAACATTATTAAGAAAACATCATTAGGAGAAAACAACAACAAGACACATATCTTATAATAAAAATTAATGTTATGTAGAAACAATTTGAATATTATTTTTGTCAATAAAAAAAGAAAAAAACAATATTCCTACAATTTTTGTTTTCAAATTAACTTACTTCCATATTCGATAGTTTGTTTTAAAAATTTTAATGAATTATCTAATAAGTCTAAAAAACTTTATACTTTAAGGTTTCAATTGCTTTAATATTAACCTATTATTACCTTTTTTTTGTAAAAAGCGTCTAATGACCGACACGGCACTATAGTTCAGTTTTTATAAAGACTGGAAGGCGCTATCCCACAAGTCGTAGGTTCAAATCCTCTATTTATAGTTCATTGTTTCATACATGACATTTTAATGGAGATACAGGGAAAATAAGTCTTCAATAATAAAACTAAATTTTATAATGAAAATCTGTAGATAGAGGAATGGTCTAAGTTAAAGTATATCGTGTAAAAAAATATTTAAGTTAACCTTGTATATACGTACATATATACTTATTGTATATAATACCTATCTGAATTAAGTTTTATAAATATAATCAATTTTATTTAAATACAAATATTTTATAAATAAATCTAGCTTTCCGCCCGCAGCTTCGCCGGCGTGTAGTTCGGTTATATCGCGTTTCCAAGAGAACCTTTCAAAAGTCTGGGATAAAAACTATCCTATATTCTTTCTCAAGGTTAACTCCATCTCTGTACAAAATTTCATTAAAATCAGTTCAGTAGTTTAGGAGTCAAAGCGTAACAGACAGACAGACAGAGTTATTTTCGCATTTATAATATTAGTAGGGATAACGTCCTTAAAATTGAAGTCAAATATATTATACTAAAACAATATGTTCGTCACACAAAAAAGTTACATCTGGACAAAGTAAGTCTCGGACTGCTTTTAACTCATTATAAAATTAATATAAAAATGTATGCGTCATTATAATACTACGTGTCCACTTTGTGTGTTGTGGTCGCTTTGAGGTTCGCCTATTATATATAGGGGAGAGTTGGTTATATCGTACTAGCATTTAAATCGTACCACCTCTAAATTTCCCATTTAATGAACATTTTTTTCTACACTGACAACGCCAAATCGTGGCTCTGTACCACCCCTCTTCACCCACTAGTTTAAATCGACGTGAGTTAACAACTGTGCACGTAATAAAAGAAAAACATTTTTTGTAGGAATTAATATAAATATTGTCGTACATTCGTAAGGAGATAACTCGTAATCAAGGTAAGCTATAGTTATTCAATTTTTTTTTAATAATTCCACAATTGTATACAAGATTATTGGTGGTTTTTGTTGCGTGTCTAAGTTTTGAGTTTATGCCGGATATTTGCTTTTGTTTTAGAAATGCCTTAGTTGGTTTAATCGTACCACTTGCAGTTGGTTAAGTTGTACTGGTACGATTTACCCGACTACCAACCGCAAGTACCTATAGTACAAGTACGTATAGTAAGTACTACCCAAGGGCAAGAACAAAAGTTATAAGAGGAAACGATCTCATTCCATCACCAGTAGCGATGATTCAGGAGAGACACTTGTTGTAGAACTAGATGATGATGATGACAGCGATGATTATCTTGAAAATATATGTCGAAAGTGCAATTGTTCTTACTATGATAAGAAGGGTCCAAAAGTTGATTGGATTCAATGCGTTCGCTGTAAACGGTGGCTACATGAGACATGTACCTACTTCGAATCCAGACATTTGTGACGATTATTTCCATTAATATGCACAATAATTATATTACAAATAAAATTCTTGTTAACTGTTACTTTATTATTATAGTTTACTGTTTTTTTATGTCTCATTTTTATTAGTTATGTTGATTGATCTCATTATCATAGTATAATCATGTTATTTTACTGAGAAAGCTTATATGTAGTTCCTTTATATAACTTAAGAGTTAAAAATTATGTTTCTATTACCTATTAGATATAAATAATGTTATTTTATTACATACCTAACAGTTAAAAATAAATAATCTGATTGAGAATTTTAATGTCTTTCATTCAGTGGTACGACTTAAACACCCATGGTACGATTAAAACGACTAGTCGGCTAAATCGTACCGATGGCAAGCCTCTATAAAAAAGCATTTTTAACAATGTTAGAATAATCGCAATGATCTGTTCTCTTCTTCTTAGGAAGCTAAAATATGAAACTTTATTTTACATTTGTATTAATTATTATAAGACGTGTTATAGTCGAAATATTTGAGTTAAAGTGAAAAGTGGTACGATATATCCGACTCTCCCCTACCTATATCTATATAATTCTACCGTGCTTTTGTACGTCACTGGACTCCTAAGTCCTAAATGGCTGTACCGATTTGATTTTTTTCGTAACTATTTTGGGTGAGACCCACATGGTTTATTTTCGCGAATCATTCCAACAGATGGCGCTGCAGTCGGTATCTTAGCTATTAAAAATGAAAAGGCGAGAAATGTTTATATATAATATATGTATTATTTTAACAAACTTGCTGTTTGATGATCACGTCAACACGAGAACGTAGTCACAGACGAAAACTAGTATATAAAAATATAAAATTCAGTTTAAAATATAAGCTAGCATTATCATCTGACACTCAACGAAAGATTATTGTGAATATTATATTTAGTACCTAATTAATTCAACCTCGTAAATCTTCATCATTATCACGTTTTATATTTTGTAACGTATACATAAGTTAATTAAAAATAATATGACTGTTAAATCTCATTGTATTTCTGGAAGACGAATAATTTTATTTTACATAGACAGGATTGTTATACAAATAAAATAATATCTAGTATTAAATCGAGGTAAGAGTACTTTTTAACAAGTTATAGTGGCCTAGTGGTTAAAGGCCCGCCTCTCGTGCATGAGGGTGTGAGTTTGAAACCTGGAAAGTACCAATTGGGTTTACCGAGTTATATGTACTTTCTAAGAGTATTTAGACCACTTACAGACGGTTAAGGAAAACATCGTGAGGAAACCTGAGCTTATAATTTCATATTATAAGTTTGAAATCTCCAATCCGCTTTGAGTTAGCGTGGTGATTGATGCTGTAATAATCTCTATTTGAGAAGAGAGCTCTGATAGGCTGATGATGAAAAATATTATTCTACAAGGTGACTGGTGAATTACTATCGATATTTGAGGACGTGATATTTGACGACCATATATGACAAAATAAAAATTAATATAACATAAATATTAATAAACTTCTAAGTTAAGTAAACCAAAAGTTATGTAATTAATTACGCATCATGTGATCACCCTACAGATTAGGTAAACACACACACTCACACACTCGCGCGCGGCGGTGTGTTGTTGTATCAGCACGCAGCCGCACGCGTCCACACTTGGAACATTTGGAACGTGTACACACTTTATTTATTTATACGGAAGTTTGGTCAAAAATTAAGTACCTATTTTTTTTACATAATTCGAATGAGAATCATGTACCGAGTATGCTCCTTAAATATTGATAGTAATTCACCAGTCACCCTGTATATTAATAGAAAATATACACTAATCTAGTTTTTTTAATATATTTTTTGTAGTAACATAAGATGTGTGCTTATCGTGTTAGATAATTATTAGTAGTGAAAAAGACGACGTACAAAAGTTTATTTTGTAACATTATTGTTATACTTATCGTGGTCATTATTATCAATATAACTAGGCTTTTTATCTTAAAATTAACGTAAATACGTTATTCAATAATATAAACAATTCATAGCTAATTTCATAATTATCAATTTATAAAAACATAAGGAAATTATAAGTGTATTTTTTGTCTGTTTGTTAGTTTTGTCTGTTTTTATGTTCGTTATGAACTCGTAATGTTGAAGCCCTAAAATGTTTTTGTTCTTTGAAACTATGTTATATATTACTTATTTCACTAAATTTTACTCTCGATTGTCTCCTTAATTTTTACTCACGAATTTTCGAATTTTTGTATATCGGAATTTCGTTAATTTTCCGTAATTTTTTTTTTTTTTTTTTATGTTATAGGTGGCAAACGAACAGACGGCCCACTTGATGGAAGGTGGTTACCGTCGCCCATGGACATCCGCAACAAATATGTTGCGGATGCGTTGCCAACCTTTTTTTTTTTTAGGGATAGGGAAGGGTGGGAATGAGGAAATACAAGGAAAGGTTGGGAAAAGGGAAAGGGCAACCGGCTCTCTCACTCATCGGACGAAACGCAGCCATTACTGACTACTTCACGCCGATCTTCTGTGAGAGGGTGGTACTTCCCCGGTCGAGCCAGGCCATGTTCGAGCTGTAGTAACATAACCACAGCTAGGCTCTACCACCTATAAAAAATATACGTACTATCGTAAAATATACGTAATTTTTTTATATATCGCGATAAATAGAACGGTCGTGACTGAATCCGAGTTATAGTTATATGTATTATTCTATTAGATGTAACAAAAGTTGTCCTTTCATGTCAAAAACATCAGTTCAACCAGGGAGTTGGGTAAGGGTTGCGACTTGTTCATAACATAGGCCATATATATCTACTATAAAGACATTGATTCCCATAGAAATTACTTACTGACGCTAATATAACGATCGCTTCCTCTATTTTTTTTTGGTTATGGCGTTTCCTTATAGATTTCGTCATGTGTGAATATTATATTAATAATTACCTAATATAAACAAAAAGGGATTTGCTAATAAACAAGGAGACATATATGCCAGCGATCTGTCCGAACAAATGACAGTTGTTTCATAAGTTCTTAGCAAATATGTAGTATATTTAAAAAGAGTTCATAAAGATTGTGATTGTTAAATTTTCTTAGAATATCTTAATTTTGCCCTATTTTTGCCTATTTTTATTAACTTTAGAAGACGACGAATAAAATGTTTTACGCGGTAGCAGTTCCAACAATAAAAAATTACGTATGTTATTACTACTACAATTATACTATTATTTTTTTAACTTACGTTGCAGCTTTTTCATTTTTAACAAACTAGATAATGCCGGCAGCGAAATTTGCTGGGATGTTTTGCAAATCTAAAACATTTGGGGAATCACACAAAGCATACAAAAAAGCATTTAAATTGGTGCAGCCGTTTAGGTGAAGAGTGACATACATATGTACAGTAGTAGTATATATTATTCCTACTAATATTATAAATGCGAAAGTAACTCTGTCTGTCTGTCTGTCTGTTACGCTTTCACGCCTAAACCACTGAACTGATTTTAATGAAATTTGGTACAGAGATAGAGTTGACCTTGAGAAAGAACATAGGATAGTTTTTATCCCAAACTTTTGAAAGGTTCTCTTGGAAACGCGATATAACCGAACTCCACGCGGGCAAAGCTGCGGGCGGAATGCTAGTATGTATAGATATATGGGTATCATCATAATTAAACATTCGAACGGCGTTCTGATCTTTTTAATCGCAATAGACTCAATAGTCTAAAATATCATTAATACGAACTTGGAAAGATAGTAATAATATTGTTTAGGACTTCTTAGCCCTTTCTTATATCACACATTTGTTTCGCGTAATATTAAAAATTACAAATTTCTTATATAAACACACGATTTTACTACACAAAGGCCTTTTTAATTATTTTTTTATTACCTATATATTCTTGTGCACTTTATTGATTTAATTATATTATTTAAAACATAGAGATTTACTTAACACGTTATTCTATTTTCATATTTTTCATCGCCTAAGTGATTCTGAAACGAGTTTATCAAAAAAACAAAAAAGTATAATAAAATGTATACAGTATTTCGTGAGCGTAAAGAAACATAAACAAAATTGTTTTGAAACGAAATATGTACGACTATGAATTATAATATAAATATGATTCTCATGAAAAAGCTTTTATTTCCATCGTATTATTTTTAACATAATACATACAGGTACATTATAAAAAAATTGTATGGCTTATACATTATTCCTTTATTACACACACTAACTAATCGTAGAAAATAACGTTTTGAGCTGTTAGTAATATAATACTGAATTAAAAGTATGATTAAGGAAACTATTAGTACCAAGGCAAGTATCAAAGTGATTTTTCTGAGTCATATGTACTTTTTAAGAGTATTTAGACATCACTGATTAATGCATTCCCAAAGAGAGTTGATGTCAGGTAGGCGGTCGGTCGTAAAACCTATTAGCCAAAACTATTCACAACATGTAAGGCAGACCCTGGCGAAAGCTGGGAAAATGCCAGGTAGGTATATATATATATATATATATATCTATATATATATATTATATTTACTTTTCTAAATCAATATGTGATATTTCGATACCGATTTTATATTCTACCGTGATGGTCTTTACTCTCTAGAGATACTTCGCGGATATATTTTAAGTAGCCACTCGTATATTATTGACGTAATGAATATTTTATTTTCATTCTCGGAACTAGATTTGTATTATCATTATTTACATATAAGGATATATTGATATTGCTATTTTCATACAAAAGGCGTTATGTTTATTAAATATCTAAAGACATATACATATATCTAAAAATAATTAAATTATTGTGTCGTATTGAGAATCTAGGTGTTACGAAATGAAGTTATACATAATAATATATCTAAAAATATTTATTTAATTTCAATGTAATTGGTACCATCGTATTTTTTAAAGAACCGTTTGTATTAAGAATTCATTATGATAAACAAGCTGTCGAAGCGATACTTCGATGTTTTCACGTCGCACTGTGTGGTATTTAGCCTCAAAAGTTGGCCAAAAATATTTTTTGTTACAGGAAGTTAGATATACACCTATTATTTGATTTTACATAAAAATAAAATAAAAACAATCGTTTATTTAGGTAAATAATTATTTATTCATCATCACTGCTATCATCTATATATATAAAATGAATTGGTGTTCTTTAGTCTCACTAAAACTCGAGACCGGCTGAACGGCTTTATCTTAACTTAGTCTTGAAATGTTTGTGGAGGTTCAAGGAAGGTGTAAAAGCTGAAAAAATTGATTCATTTCCGGGAAAACCCTAAAAACAGCCCTTTTCTATTTCTCATACAAACGTGTTTTTTTAATATTAGATTTGACAACTAACTAATATGTGAATCATTCTGTCGCACTTCAAAACACGGAAATTTATGGCTTAAAGGTAAACTCCAAAAATATAAATAAAAAAAACACGTAACAGATATTTCTTGATTATAGAGCGATACGAAGTTCGCCGGGTCTTCTAGTCTAAAATATTAATATTGGTAATATCAGTTTCACATAATAAATTAATAATATCTGACGATATTTTCTTCTTCTTTCTTGAGCTACCCCTCATACCAGTTACCAGAGGATCAGAGGTCAACAAAAGTCGGTTTAGGACGTCCATGTTGCACTCTACTCGCGAGAACTTTCTTGTGAAGTTCAGCCTGAAATGACCTAATGTTTTTGTTACGAGCTTCAGCAGCTTCTTGGGATAGCTTGTCAAATGGGAGTATTGCTTCCTTGATAACAGATGCTCCATGTCGAAGAATTTTGTGTAATGTCGGGGTCATGGGGTAAAATGTATAAAGTGAGACATATACATAGTTCAGCAGTTTTTTGGCAATATTTTCCTAATTTTTCAACATTTATTTTCATACCAGAACATAATGCATCCAGAATGACCTTTAGCCGATAAATCAAACATTTATCCACCCCTGTTATTTCTGCTGAAATTTCATACTACTCGAAAAATCTCCTACTTGTATTACCATTTGTATTTCCAAAATTAGTTCTGGGCATGTCAACTAAAAGTCCAAGTTTTTCTTTAAAGGTATTTTGAATATCTTTTTTTATCTTCCACTATTTGTTTCTCCTCAGCAGAAAGGCGAAAGTGCCATTTTTTTATAGGCAACCTATGAGTATATATGCCACATGTAGCATTGTCTCAAATGCCACATGTAGCATTGTCTCAAATAAACGTATTCTAGCATGTAATAACGATAGCCAGAGCCACTTGGTATTTTTTTCTTCGAATCTCTTTCTCAGTTTGCGAGATGTCAACCATTTTTGTTTGAATTGGTGTTTAATAATTGATAGTTTGTGCTTTATATCAGTTATTTTTAGATCGTCTTGAGAAGTAGCCTTTAAACAATTCAATCTCCATAAATTTAAGTTTTTCATTAAATGTTGACCCCATTGATTTTTGGGCAATGTCATACAACTCATTCCGAGTCATAGTCTTCATACCAGAATGTCCTATAACAATTAAAACGAATAATATGAAATATATATTTTTTTATCAAATATTGTACTTCACTACAAAAAAATTAACCAAAAAAAGAGGTGCGGTTTCGTGCGGCTACTTTTCTTTTAAGTAGCTAATATACTAAATTGATCATGTTATGACATAGTTTTCAATGCTTAGAAATGTTCAGAAACATAACAAAACCCTTTTTGAAATAATAAATTATATATTTTTATAACAGTTAGTTACGTCTAGGTTGTCGGCTATAAATATCAAAATCTACAATATATTTGACAAAACTATGTCATGAAATAGAAAGTACATACCTGGAATAGTGCAATCCATCACAAAAACCAATACTAAACCACTTCACTTAACAGTAATAAGCGTTTGAAATAAGAGCGTATCGAAAAATCACGCGTCTGACATAAGCGAGCTGTAACTTCTCATGGACCGCCCGATGTGCTGAACGACGCTAGCCCTGAACTTTTTTTAGCATTGGGTGCAGTGACTTATTAGCTTTTTGGCTAGTAACAACACTAGATAGATAACGGAAAATTTAAAAAACCATTTTTGGCCAGCTTTTGAGGCTAAATACCACACTGTGCGTCGTCTAAAAATAAATTAATACTTTTTTTTATCATGAAACTTGAAAGGTTCAGTGGTTGTCAATAAGGTCGTCTTCTTCATTATCTACCTTCAAGGTTAAAGTAATCTCTGTCTAAACGAACGCCGGCGAATTGGCAGTTTTTCCCGGTATAACTCATAAAAATTATCATTATAATTAAAAATAGACCTCAATTTTGTTGAGATTTTTCTTTCGTATTTTCCTGTTTACGACTGTATTTTTTTTAACAATTTTTATGAGGAAACTTGAAATAATACCATTGTTAATATAAATTTATTTACGTTTAGAGATTACGTATTAAAATTATGATTTGATGAAGGTATATAATAATTTGTCAATCAAACATGTCTGAGCAGGTTTAAAATCAATCCGCAGACGTGATGGAGCCTCTTCCATAATTGATTTGATTTTAATTCAATGACGTTTTGTGTTTCGTTTAAATTTATTATGGAGTTGAAATTCGTAGCTGTCGTAGCTCTGGGCGGTTTCAGTCGTAGCCGTCTGTCGGCCCGCGTCCCCGCAGCCCACGGCCCGGACCGTTGGCCCCACAGACCCCCGACTCCGGTCTGCGGCCCCACAGCCCACGGCCCCGGCCCGCGGCCCCACAGCCCATCGCCCACGGCCCGTGCCCTCCTACGTCAGTCGCGATCGAGCCGCCGTACAGAACGCACGTGTCCCTATCTCCGCTATCACTACGATTCATATTGCGGATAACAAGTTGATACAATATTTATATCTTATCTCGTACCGTTTGTGATATGAACTTTTCGTGAATAGTTGTTGGTGATATACGTCTGTTATTATTCCGTGTGTTTGGATGTGTTGTGGCAGCAGTGTCTGATATCAAAGTGGGAACGGTCGGCCACCAATTGTTGATGGTGTTCACCCGATTATAACGCACTTTACAACGAACTGACGCTCGGATCGATAGGTGTAACAGCTGAGCTGATAACACTGTCCACATTACTAAAGGTAATTCCAGTTTGTACCAGCACACACACACACACAAAAATACACAAACATACACAGACATCTATATATATATATATACACACATGTCATGCTGCCAAAATAATTTACGACGATAAAATTGAAGTAAAAAATATATACATTGTGGTTTTTTTATCTGCTTTGTTAAAACTGTTTTAATGTGAAAATCGTTTTAGCAAACAATGAGCAATAAGAGGGGATGTCGTCATACGATATATGGCGAATCGTAAAATCGCTATGTACTTACGTACGTGAACGTAAGAATTTTTCCGTCATTTACGTTATAATAAAAGTCTGTAATGGCTGTCGTCCCGGGAAAGCTGAGTGATGTGTAATGCTTTCAAGCTATATGAAGTTTAAGTATTTAAATATTACTGTAAAAGTTACATATGAAATTTTAACATATTTAAAAATTTTAAGAACACTTCAATGTTAATTTTTCTCATCCACGGTAAGATTAATTTCGGTTTAATGTCAACATTTTACTTGTTTAATAAAAAATATATTCATAATTCAATATATATTTCGAAGTCTGCAATCTGAAACCATTTTCACAAGTCGATTTTACTGATTGAAGAACTGAGTTTCACGGGTTCCTTTATTTACATAACATTGAAGAAAAACTAACCAATTATATGGTAAGTTTATTTTTATTTTAATTAAATTTCAAGTCTTAAAATAGTTATTAATATCGGGATATACGTATGAAGTTTCTTAAGAATAACTCGTCATAAATCCATATCTCTTATTGTAAATTTTACACCACATAAAAACTAAATATTAAAGTTTAATTTGATCCAATGAAAAGAAATTTAAAACTTGCGGAATCGTATTCAACCAATCATTAGTATCTTAACAATGAGTCTCCAATGTTTTGTTTACTTTCCTCCATCGGATTAAACCTAATTGTATTTGCTCGTCTGTTTTCTTACGTTTAATCAAAAGTAACTCTGATTGTTTTTTTCCGGGCTCTACTCTTCAGTCAATACTTTCGAAGCACGCGGAAATCTAAAGTTGATATTTTCATTTGTATCAATTGGTTTTATACTTTGAAGAAATTAGAAGAAAGTGGGTATAACAAATGTAGCAATAGAATCAATGTTTGCGTAGTAATAACTATAAATAAATTTTAGCAGTAATTTCACTATGGAAGTATTATGTTATGATTCGTCCGTTTTTTGTTTATACGAAGCAAATGCTCAGTATATCGTGTCTGATATCTGAGCATATCTGCCGTAACTGAGTCAAGTACGTTTTTCCGCATCAGATGTGTTGTGCCACGCTCCCATTCCTCTCTTGGACCCATTTGCGTGAAGGTTTCCATATGGTGTGCGTGTAACAATCATTGTTGTTTACTATTATAATAAAACAAAAGCCGTACGGCTTTTGTTAGATAATGTCCATAAGAGGTAAATGATCTCATGCCATTGATGTTAAATACAATGGTTAATATATGAATGAAACTCGTAATTGTTACTATTACGCTAAAAAATATTAAACTTTTATGACATAATCTTGAGCGTATGATTAATGCTCAAACCTTCTTCATGTGAGAAGAGGCCTTTGCTTAGCAGTGGACTCTGATAGGCTGATGACGATGACATAATTCAGATGAAGTTCTTATAATTTGTAGAGATATTCGTTTGTGGTCTATTTGTATAGGTATGAGTGTATAAACAATTCACTATCTTCAGTACACTTCTTACGTGATTTATTGATGCTCCTATGACGTGAAGATGCTGTTCTCATGTATTTTCTTGTCATTATAAATTTTTCACCAGTCTGCCGGCCACCTCGCTATTCGACATTGACATTAAAATTTCTGTTAACTTCGTATAAATTTTTTGCATTATTTTAATTTAAAATAGTGCGTTTTCTTAAATTTGGGACATTTGTTTTTAAACAATTCATCTGCGCATAAATTTTTCTTCAATTTGCGTGTCTGTATGGTAAAAATGAATAGGCTATTACTGGGATATAGTCATCCACAATATACAGTTTAATTTCTACTTACCTAAATGGAACACGGTTAAATCCATTGTTTATTAAAAGAAATCAATCTTTCATACAAACATATGTACCCTACTTCTACTAAGTGTTAATTATTATCTGTATAATTTAAATTACTACCAAAGATAATTCTATGTAGAATTACCAATAGATTGGTTCACGTAACACATACATCGAGTATTACAAAACAGTATGTATGTATTGATGTGTGAACTTATCGTATCGATTCATAGTTTTTATCGTATTTATTTATTAAGAGCGTGTGAAGTGTCGCGTGTGTGTGATTCGTGTATCGTTGTGTAATCTGATTACAACTTGTGTTATAATTGCGACACATTACAATACTTTAAAATACATAATCTAAAAATACCTTATTGAAATTTTGACATTAGTTTTGATAGGCTTTTGGCAGACTTGGATTGGTTTTTTATAAATCTCATCGATGGGTGATTGACGTTCAATTTAACAATAATCTTTTCGTTTCTATCCTACATAAATGTATGTTTAGCAAATTAAATTATTTCGACTAAAAAGATAACGTTATCAAATTAATATAATCCGGATGCGTAAGTAGTATTTTAAAGTCTACTAAGAGACTATAAAATTTAAATTTATTTGCAAATGTATTGGGTACTTTTTTAATCTAATGCAACTTTGTTTTTATAGAACATAATTTTTATATATATTTTACATAACAATCATGTAAAAATTTGTGTCTGTAATATAAATGATAGTACTGGATTGTATTTAAACCAGTTAGAATAAATTCCGTCATTCTTACAAAATACAGTAAACGTAATGTTTTAAGTAATTCACGTAATAATGTAATTTTTCATGGTCTTTCGGGTTTGTAGAGCACATCAAACGAAAGTTAAAAATGTTACGTAAATATAGAACTGTATCCTTAGTCTAAGTTTCCACAGTAAATACTTCTCGTCTATAGTTTTCCATTGATGAATGTTCGCACATTATAGCATTAATTTCACCTATTTTATTGAATCAGAAACGGTAAACTCTTCGTAAGTATTGTGATGTCAACTTGGATTAAGCATACTGTTATTCTTGAATATTATATCTCGAAATTACTCTCTGAACTCAAATATTTTTATATACAAAAAATATAAAGGAAAAAAAATACGAAATTTATGATTTATTTAACAGGAATATTGTTAATTTCGTTTGATGATGAAAAAGAAATATAATAATATAAATTTCGATAACATACCAAATTCATTGATGTGAATATAAATATTTGCATACGTTATAATCATTGTGAGATATAAAAAAATATTGTTGAATTTTTATTATAATGTGTTTTACTATATATGTATAAATGGTGAGTGTTAAGAACCAGTCAATCAAGGTAATATCTCTAGAGCTCGTCTAAGCCGGCTCTATACTACTCCTAACACGGTTCAAGCCATATTGATTTCTATGAACTAATTTTTTCATGTGACGTCGCCTAGTTATCTATTTTATAGTCGACCTCATTTATACTTATTATCCTCGACTAGCCAAGTCTAGTCTAGCTATGATGAGTACTTAAAATATTGTCGTGTTGAATAACAAAACAATAATAAGATGCAAGCGAAACGAAAACATCGTGAAACGCAATTTTAATTGCGCAGTTACACTCCATTGTTTTGCTAAATTTATTCCGTATTTCTATCTATATTTAATAGATAAAGAAGTTTATAGATAAAGATGGTTTTTTTTGGGAGTGAATTTGTTAATTTTCCTCATGTCTATATATATACGAGTTATTTCGGACGCGGTGAAACGTTTGGGGCTTCCCGGATCAAACATATGTTAGTTGTGACGTAACTTGTGGATCGATTGAATGTAAACATCGTTATATATCTTAGTACAAGTGTTGATGAATTAAAGACTGAAAGTATGCAGTATCAATACAATCTTTTGGTATGGATGCTGGTTCGTTCTTCACCTTGTCAAGTTATCCGTGTGAGTCATCACGCCAAGGTCTCAGCCGTACCCAGAGCCTCTAGACTACTGCGTTGTATTGTAAATGTTGTTGTCGACTTGTTTTTTATATAGCGGCTAGGTTGATCGCGTTACACTTGTATATATCTTGTAAACAATTCGTTAATCATTATAATATACTATGATATTAAGTGGATGTAGTTAGTTTTTAGGGTAAACATTTAATCTAAATGAGTATGGAGTTCGAAATGTAATGGAAATTGGAAAGTCAATACTTTTTTCGCTATATCCGTACGAAGTCTATATAATATATAGTAAAAGTTATGACCAAATATGACTATCAATATCTTTGTCGCTAACCGAGTGTCAAGTGGGCGAGGTGGCGAGACGGTCACAGCTTGTGAATAAAACGGAAAACGGGCGAAGTGTTCTACAATGTTACATTTAATGTCATGTTAATGTTATTCTATACAGAGGCCCCTTTCCATTTCATTTGGTAATAATTGAATTTGAAGGAAAACACATGTCACATGTGCTATTATTACGTACGCTACCAAAAAATGTTGACCGATTAAAATTTACATAAAGTTTTGTCAATACACAGTCATGTTCGAACAGCTTCGAAGTAGAGTGTTCTACGCTAGTAGTATTTTTTATCGTGTGGTTTCAATATTGATATTAGAAAATTAGAAGAATTTTAGATCACAATTTTTCACACCTAAAGTTCTTCATTACATAAGGAAACAGTTAAACTCTAGCTGTTCATAAATATA